CACTGAAAACTGCCTTAGGACGACTCAGACTGGACAGTCGCCAACCCCTGACACAAATCCACCCAAACTCTCAGGGAAAACCCACGGAGCGGTCGGACGCTTCGCCCCAATACCTGCTGGCCCTTGGATAAGCCCAGCAGCACACCTCCCCCCCTCACCCCCAAATAACCTCCCGCTTCCCTACTCCCCTTACCCAACCTCCCCCCCTCGTGGTCCGCGGCCACTCAGACGCGCAACCCCTGCTATCCCAACACCGCGCACCCGAACGGAACACCACACCGCCACAGGCACCATGCCAACGTCCATACGCTGCATCTCTATCAACGCCAAAGGACTTAACTCCCCCAACAAAAGACACAGCATCCTCCGCTGGGCACACAAACAACAAGCCGACGTACTCCTCATACAAGAAACCCACTTCACAACCCATCGCACGTTCCCACTCACAAATAGATACTACACACAAAGCTTTCATGCTCCTTCCCCATCCACCAAAACTAAAGGCGTAGCTATCCTCCTGAGAGCAAATAGCCCCCTCACAGACATTACCTGCTCTAAAGACCCACAGGGCAGATATGTCACCATAAAGGGAAAAATAGGCACAATACAATACGCCTTCTCCTCGATATACGCACCCACAACACCAGATACTTCCTTCTGGCAACAGCTAACAACCCACCTCAACATTTACTCAACCACACGACTCATAGTGGGTGGGGACTGTAACGCAGCCCACACCCCTGCCATAGACAGGACTTCACTCACGTCCACGCGAACGCGCCCATACCAAAATGATATCCTCTTCGCCCAATTTCTAGCCTCACAAAAACTGGTAGACATCTGGAGGGCACAACACCCTACCACCAAAGATTACACCTTCTACTCCCACACACACGGAACTTACTCGCGCATCGACCATTTCCTCATCTCCCCAAACTTGGTACCCCAAATCACCAAGTCAGAGATCGGACCAATCTCTTGGTCCGATCATGCCGAAATAGCAATCACTCTACACCTACCAACCATTCACACACATTGGTCATGGCGACTGAACCCAATACTCCTTCACGATAAACTGATCAAAGACAAGATAACCACGGCAATCAAAGACTACTTTGAACTAAACTCGCCCACAACCACCTCTCCCATGACCCTATGGGCTGCTCATAAAGCAGTAATCAGAGGCACATTCATCAACCTAGCCTCTCACAAAAAAAAACAGGCTCAACGACAAATACTTGAGACAATGACGGAACTCCGTCGTCTAGAGACAGATCACAAAAAGGATCCCAACCCGACCACCCTGGCCAACCTTACCACAGCTAGAAACCTCCTTAAAACCCTCACCCAAGCAGACACAACCAAAGCTCTGATGTGGCTTAAACAAAAATATTACGAAAAGGGAAACAAAGCCGACACCATGCTCGCACGCAGACTCAAAAAACGCACCGAGGCCAAACGAATTACATTAATACGCACAAACACTGGCACTATGACTGACTGTCCAGATAGCATAGGCAAAATCTTCCAGGACTATTACACAGACCTTTATAACCATGACCACCGACCCCAAGACACCAGGCCAACATTGCCCGCACGCATAGAAACATTTCTAAAAGACGCAACACTGCCCACCCTCACCCAAGAGGCCCAAGCGACACTAAGCCAAGAGGTCACGATAGAAGAAATGGCGTTGGCAGTGGGACCCCTCAAACCAAACAAAAGTCCAGGGCCGGATGGTTACACAGCCCTATACTATAAGGAGTTTGGCCCACTGCTCCTCACGCACCTATGCAAGGTCTTTAACGCAGCACTCAAGGGGGAGAACCTCCCACCAGAAATGACTGGGGCGAACATCTGCCTCCTCCCCAAACCGGGAAAAGACCACACGGAACCCGCACACTACAGGCCAATCTCCCTCCTCAATGTGGACCTTAAAATCATGACCAAAATTATGGCTAACCGACTAAACCCATATCTACAGTCCCTCATACATCCAGATCAAGTGGGATTCATACCACACAGACAGGCAGCAGACAACACCCGGAGAGCCATAGACCTCATCTGGCTGGCCAACCATAGAAAGATCCCGACGGCGATCATCTCTCTAGACGCGGAAAAAGCGTTTGATCGCCTGCTCTGGCCGTTCCTTCATCACACACTAACACACATAGGGATGCCATCCGAATTCACCTCATTCCTACAAGCCATTTATCACGCCCCCCAGGGCGCACTCCTACTACCCAACATCCCCCCACCACGATTCCCCATCTCAAACGGCACGAGACAGGGATGTCCTTTGTCCCCCCTGCTTTTTGCCATTTCACTGGAACCTTTACTACAAGCGGTGCGCAGCAGCCAGGAGATAGAGGGGTTAACGATTAGAGGGGAAACCTTCAAAATTTCTGCTTATGCAGATGACATCCTGCTAACCCTAACAAGACCAGAAAGATCCATAAACTCCCTCCTAAACATCATCCAAGAATACTCCGACATGTCGGGGTACAAGATCAACCTGACTAAATCGGAACTCCTCCCGATACAAATAGACCCCCCAAGCTTAGCCATAATCAAACAAACATGCCCAATGAGGATCTGCCACACAACGATGACATACCTCGGGATCCATCTCCCATCAGACGTCACCACCCTATACGAAACAAACTACACTCCCCTGCTACGAAAGGCCCACTCAGACCTCATCAAATGGAGACCCTTAGGAGTCTCGTGGCTGGGGCGCATCGCCACAATTAAAATGAATCTACTTCCCAGATTCCTATACCTCTACCAAACCCTACCCATACCGATCAATAAACAAGACTTCAAGGCACTGCAGTCAGCTATAGACACATTTATATGGAATGGACACAAACCCAGAGTGCGCCGAAACACACTATACGTACCCAAGAAGCATGGGGGACTAGGACTACCACACTTCACACACTACCACACGGCAGCACACCTAACGCAGATACAACAATGGCACGTTCCACCAGGGGAAAAAAGATGGGTGGACTTGGAACACAACATCTTCGGTCGGGACCACCCGTCCCTGTACATGTGGGTACCCAAACCACATAGACCCCTACCCCCTCCCACCGCACCCTCAATCACCCATGCACTTGACACATGGGACAAAACGAGGGACAAATTCGAACTGTCATCGTTCCTATCTCCTATGACCCCCATATGGAGGAACAAGCTGTTCCCACCAGGACTTACCCCCAAGCACTTCGCCCACTTTGAACACAGGGACATCTCCCGTCTAGGGCATTTATACCAAGACGACGACATTATAAAATTTTCAGATATCAAAGACTCACCCTCACTCACATCATTCGATCACTTTAGATTCATACAATTGCGCAGCTTTGCAGCGACTCCAATCATAAAGCAAGCAGGCACGGCTCAACTCAATCGATTTGAAAGAGACTGCATTGCGCACCCCAACAGACAGGGACAAATCTCCGACATATAGACACACAACAGTCTCTCCCATACATAGCAGCATGGGAGGCAGACCTCGGACCCCCAGATGAAACAACAGATTGGTCAGACATCTGGGAAGCCACGGCCTCCATCTCCATATGTGTCACGCACACTGAGCAAGCCTACAAAATGCTATTCCGTTGGTACCTCACCCCCCAACGCCTGGCCATCATGCACCAAATACCAGCCAATACCTGCTGGAAACAATGCGGAGAAACGGGAACGTTCCTCCACTGTTGGTGGACGTGCCCAAAACTCCAACCACTTTGGCAAGACACCACACGCCTAATCTCCAAAATAATAGACAAACCTTGTCCCTTAGACCCTTGGATGCTCCTACTCTCCAAGCCAATAGACCAATACACTAGAGCTGAAAATAAGCTATCCGCCCGCATAGCCCTTGCAACACGTAGAGCCATAGCAGAAGTTTGGTCAACAAACCGCATACCGACACAAGAAACAATCAACAAGAAAATAATAGATGGCATGCAAATGGATAGGCTCACAGCACAATTAAATGACTCGCCCAAAAAGTTCCACAAAATATGGGACCCATGGCTGGAGGGAGACACGACCATTCCGTGGTAACACGATAGGACACTAACCGCCCCCCTAGCACAGGGACCCCCCAATCGAGGATATCACACACCTTCAAACAAGTACAACCCTCACCCAACCACATAGCCCCAAACACCAACCTAGGACCCCCAAGAGGGGCCCGCGCGCGGGGTGGCTCGCGGACCGCGAATCCTCCCCCCCATGCCCACACCGCCCCATCCCACAACCCTTACCCTAAACCACTCCTCGACTCGGACAAGGCTGCACCCACACATACCGAGACAGGACTCAAAGAGTCGACGAGCGACAAAACCCATCCCTTAAGAACGCAGAAACGGCAGAGAACTTAAACAAGCGTTCAATGACGATACAATGTTGATACGAATGTAAGCTAGTTTCAATATGCAACAGTACCCTGCGTTGGTACCGACATTAAATTTGAAAGTACTACTATGTCTTGAACCACCCCCACCCACCCCTCCTTTTATTTTCTGTACCCCACTCCCCTCCCTCCTACTTTCAAGGAGAAAAACCTACAAATAAAGAATTTAAAAAAAAAAAAAAAACATAGCTTTATCCTGCACTGCCTGTGTTTATGCTACCTGGCTTATAATAATGCTTTGTAAAATATAGACTACGCGTTAAGTAAAGGGCTATGATGGTATCAGTTGGCCACTCACAGGGCACATCATGGTAAGAGAGTCACCAGACCATTTACCTGTGTTTAACCCCTTAAGGACACATGACATGTGTGACATGTCATGATTCCCTTTTAATCCAGAAGTTTGGTCCTTAAGGGGTTAAAGACTGAATATCCTTAAAAACTGATTGGTTAACAGAATTTAATGACATTGAAGATACATGAAGTCTAATGACCCAACTAAGCTGATGTACCAAATGTCTACAAGAGTGAACGTGACGTCCAGGAGATCACAACCAGAAAGGGCCACCAATCATACAGAATCCCCATGGTTCACCTGGCCATCCGTTGAAGCCGAGAAACACTCAGTGCCAGTTTTTGATTGGAGCCAGATGACTTTGTAGACCGGGTCTCGGTGGCTGTGCTCGATGACAGACAGCTCCACAGGATGTCCCCCTTTCCGCGTGTCCCAATATGCTAGAAAACAAGCAGAAGAAATCAAGTGGTGTTTCAGAGAAATTTAGGCAGGGATTAGGGCTGTTTTGTACATGTCGGAGAATAGCAAAACCCCTTGGTACATTGTCCTGGTATATTATGTACATGTCGGAGATTAGCAAGACCACTTGGTACATTGTCCAGGGATTTTACATACATGTCGGAGAACAGAAAGACCTCTTGGTACATTGTCCAGGGATATTATGTACATGTCGGAGATTAGCAAGACCCCTTGGGACATTGTCCAGGGATATCACGTGCATGTCAGATTAGCAAGACCCCTTGGTACATTGTCCAGGGATTTTACATACATGTCGGAGAACAGAAAAACCTCTTGGTACATTGTCCAGGGATATTATGTACATGTCGGAGATTAGCAAGACCCCTTGGTACATTGTCCAGGGATTTTACATACATGTTGGAGAATAGCAAGACCCCTTGGTACATTGTACAGGGATATTAAGTACATATTGGAGATTAGCAAGACCCCTTGGGACATTGTCCAGGGATATTACGTACATGTCAGAGATTAGCAAGACCACTTGGTACATTGTCCAGGGCTATTATGTACATGTCAGATTAGCAAGACCCCATGGCTCATTGTCCAGGGATATTATGTAAGTGTTGGAGGGTAATTTGCAGAAGAAACCAAGTGGTGTTTCAGAGAGATTTAGGTAGTGATTAGGGCTGTTATGTACATGTCGGAGATTAGCAAGACCCCGTGGCTCATTGTCCAGGGATATTATGTACATATCGGAGAAAAGAAAGACCCCTTGGTTCATTGTCCAGGGATATTATGTAAGTGTTGGAGGGTAACTTGACTCCCTTGGTTTATAGTATGGGAAGGAATACTTCATAAAACAGAATTAACTACAATTATTCTCCGTCTGCCCATTTAGTGATGTTACAGGAACTCATCGTGGTTTTGATTGCTGTATTTGTCTACGGGATATATCGACAGAGTGATCACAAAGAATTAAAATTCCCATAGCCCTTCACCAGACTTTATAACCCATGGTTGGCAAAGGATCATGGTATTTTTAGCTCTTTAACAAGTTAACATCCCATGTGGCGCTCCCTATTCTAAGCTCACATAATCAGGAGCAATAAATTTAAAAAAAATGTTGCTGGATGTGACTGTGACATCTCATTCTGATTGCCCTCCCTGAGAACACATAGCGGCTCATAAGGGGTCAAGTTATTAAATGTGTTAATTGATCTCTAACGTAAATAACTGCAATCTGAGAAAGATATTTAAAACAGACCGATTAGAGCATTCTCTTTCTCCCCCAATGTCAATCACTGTGACTCTGTATATATTGATTGTAGGTAGCAGTAATATGGCTCATCCTGTGTGATTAATGGAACCACGGCTGTGAAATAAACTACATGTCCCAAAACCCTTGTTCAATAGGTAACTGGGGTTCTATGGTTAAGATCACACTCCACAGACCAGAGTAAGAGGTAGCTAAATGGTGGAACCCACTTACTGATCTGTCCATTATAGCAGCCCCCAACCAGGATATGTGAGTCTTTAGGGTTGTATTCCAGACTGACGAGAGGAGAGACAGGCTTCAAGATCAATTCTGGCTTGTTTGGACTTTCTAGGAAAGGAAGAGAATAGTGGTATTAATTGTGGACTCGTAACATGTTACACAGCATTGTGTCCACTGTCACCCCATCAGAAAGACTATTTAACGACCAAATGACTTGTCCTTGTCCAGTTATAGAGCAAACACCAATTACCTGTCTACTGTCCAGTTAAAGGGAGGAGGGGTGCACACACTGGAGAAAACTCTAGATATAAATGGAATTTGACTTTGAAGTCATTAAATTAGAACTACTAGTAAAGCTGCAGAATCCTCATTACCTGGTTTACTAACTAAACTAAATTAAAATCCAAATATGAGCTCACTGGACTCATCACTGGGACACTTCACTGTATAGTTGCTAAATGCCAGAAAAGTACAGACTCAATAACACCTTGAATCAGCTTCTAATTTCTGATCAGCTAACAGAAAAAGGAAGAAATTGTCCTCACCGATGTCCCAGATGTACGAGTCATAGCTCATGTCTTTAGAAGCTTGCTGGAACTCGAGGGACGAATAGGCCACAGCTAGTTTCCTGCCACCATCTGGATGCCATGAGAGGTGCGTGGCGGTACGCTTAATTTCATTTGGATCTCTATGGAAAAACAGTATAAAAATGACTGATTTCACCTCTATTTTCATATTTATAGACCACAACCACCTCCAAGACTGAGGCTGGTTAATATTTTACCCATAGATGTTTCTCAGCACTGATGAGAAACTAAGATTCGTGGGAAAAATAATTTTCAAATGTCTGAGAAGCCGAGGCTAGTTATTAATATGCTCTGCAGTTGAAAAATGAGTAATATGATTAACAATTAAGGTAACCTTCAGGCACCGAACAAACTTCATCGGAATTAAGTTGTTACCCAAAGGCTGGAATCCAGTGCAGTTTAGCTCTGCCCCGTCCTACCGCCTCTGTCCGTGGCTTGAAACAGGAAATCTCACAGAGGGGCGCTGCTGATTGGATTAGTCAGCTCACGCTCAGTCAGTATCTCTCCATTCATAAAAATGGCCTAAGAAACATATGTAGAGCAATCAGCAGAGCCCCTGTTCGAGGCTGTCCCAAACTTCGGGTTTCATGAATCAAAAAGAAGCAGAAGATCAGGGGCTGGGCTAAACAGTGCTGGATTCCAGACTTTGTGGTTAAATCATTTTAAATGGTTTAACCCCTTATGGTGCCCAGACTGTTCCATTAAACACTGATGACTAACTATATGAAATCAACACATGTTGGAAATACATAATTAATAAATAATAAAATATACAACTGGGAAAGTACTCCCTTTGGGTGAAAGATGTAAAACCACAGTCAGTGCATAAAAATGGATTAGATGCTTCTTAAATATAAACTTCATTAGTAATAATGCCCGTAGATGGAAAGCTTCAGGTAAATGTCTAGCTATGAAGGATGTTCCTATATCACCATAATGCCAGTATGTCTACTGGAGACAGCCAGCAGATGTCACTAATACGGTGACGTGTAACGCAATTCAGCCAATGTCCTGTGTGTATTACCTGAAGATATTTATCGTCTTTGCTGACGGTGCTTCATCTATCCCTTCCAATTCTTCTTCCTCTTCAAAATATTCCTCGTAGATATTGATAGCATTATTCTGTTTGATACAGTGCTCCATCACCTAGTATAACAACAGGACAGTAACACATTGTTATTATAATCACTGATACAGGGCTCAGTCACTCAATATGATAACAGAGGTCGACCCTTCTTTTGTTACTAATATTAGGGCTCCCACCTGCTGGCATGGGTGGGGGCCCAGAATATAACAATATCTGCCCCCGATGTAGTTTATCTTTGGCCGTCATGCGGCTGTTGATAAATCTCTTTTGCTGTAAATTGGTTCAGATGCGAAAATAACTGATTTTCTGAATTAAACTAATGTTACAGAATTGGTTGGACCGACCGAATTAGGACCGCATTAGGCATTGGTAAATCTAAGAATTGCCAATGCAGTCAAATATATTCCTGTTTTGGAGAAATATCTTGCTCATTCAGTGTGGCGGCATCTTGACATCGACTTTGTGAGTGTCTGAAACTCCCAAATATGATTTCATTGTTCCCCCGGGATGACCTGTTGGGTACAAATGAAAATACCCGACATGCTTCTCTACCTGTTAGATATGTATAGGCCTCGTGATATCTCATTTAGCTCACTACAAAGGGAACGTGTCTAGTACTCTGGAATGAAGAAATTACTTTGGCCAGAAAATAAAGACAGTGTGATCTTTAGGTGTAACCGGCACCAGCCTCCATCTACTGTTGGGTTATATGTTTTAAAGAATTATTGCCCAAAGAACGCTGCCCTATATAGACTAACCATGAATAGCTCTCTCTCCTTGAAGATTCCAAAAATGTTTGAAATCCATCACTTCCAAAATGTTGGGTGGCATCTCTTAATAGTGGTATGTGTTTCCCACAGTTAAGACACCAATCAGCAGCTTGTGGAAGGAATTCCTTTTTGCTGTGGATATTGTGTGTACTTTTTTGTGGTATCAGTGGTACAAACCCTTAACGAGACAATTTCCCAGCACTTACGCTGCCCAGTTGTGTGATTGTGGTTATGTAGTGGTCATCCTTCTCTACTTTTTTCCGGTAGCGAATGGTCTGTTCCATCTCTTGAGGATTAATATCTTTGGGCCATCCACCTTCCACATGGTTTATACCACGCACTTCCATTTCAAACCTTTCTGTGTTGACCTAAAAAGCATTAGAAAATACATAACTGGTCAAAGCAATTGTGAGTGTGAATATCCCTGTATGATGTCCAGGTGGTTATGCCACCTAACCCCATTTGTGTCCAGTAAACCATAGCAGCCCTGATCTGGAGATCTAGTGGTTTTCCGATATAAGCAAAAAGTCTACACAGACCTTTCTTCATTGAAACGTACCCATTCCACATGGTGTCTATTTACTAACGTTTATTAAAGTGTTCCCTTATGCTTGGGACAGTGCGCAGATAACTTTAAATTTATTCTCAATCAACACTGGCCTTTTACACCCCATATTGCTCAGATTTGCAGGAACAGGGTGTTGATTTACAGCCACACACATGCCCAGCCTCGGCAGCCACCATGAATGTGACAGCTATTACTGTGAGATTTCTGGCAAAGGCTCTTCAGTTCTCCCTAGGATAATTAGCAGTTAGCACTCAGAGACTGGAATATGATTAACTGATTAACAAACACTAATTAGCATTCGCTATAATTGCCATTTGCATTCTATTACATGTGTTTTGGCGTGAGTAAGATTCTGTCTTTTTGTATTTCAACATTATAAACGCAGGTCCCATCGGTAATTAAAAGGTTAATTAATGCCTGTCTGTCTGCTATTAGAATTAAGGAAAGTCAACTGGATTGGTAAATATCTGCACAACAGAAAAACTACGACTAAAATATAGATTCATTCTCTGCTAGGAAAGAGCCATTTGCTAAAATACAGAATAATCCAACACATGTATTTGCTGTGGCTATACAGGATGACATAATGCTACTTTATAAGGAATCACATTAATCTATACATTGTGCTGGGCAGATTGCTCTGTAGTGCCACTTTTCTCTAGCCTTTCCCAAACAGACCACATGCTGTGTGGTGTAAATGTAGAATAATTACTTACCTCATGTTCAGACATGTCGTGGGCGCATTGAATGGCAGTGTCGCATGGATTCCTTTCTATAAAATTCAAGGCCTGGGTAGGGTCAGGCAAGATGTCCACATGAAGCTCCGCTGGACGATCTGAGAAGTTGCACTGACGCCCAAATTCGCTACGTTTCCTCGTGTATACGTACACAATCTCCATTTTGTCTAAAGTAAAATATTATGGGAGGCATTTTTAGTTCTCGCATTCTGATCAGCTGAGACCTTTCCATTTATACAAAGAATACAAACACACGGAAATCTGATAGGTATGCGGGAGCCACAGATGGAAATGTGTGGAAATTGTATTGTACTAAAAATTGAATTGCAAAATTTAGAGAATAGCTGAATTGAAAATTTCCTTTTTAGATTTAGTTTTCAATCTACTACCAGCCAGCGTTTAAAGGGACACTATGAAACTCTGAGCGTTAAGTATATCATCCTGTTATGAACTGTGCCATCGCCATATTCTGTGCTTACAGAAACATAACTAAACTGTCCTCAGGAATTGTTTTTGCAATGGTGACAGAAGACATTGTGAGTTCATTAAGATTTGGGGGAGCGTTGAGGATAAGTGAAATGGTGGGATAGTCTTTTCACTGACAGACACCTGTCTCAGTGTGTTGTGCCAGGAAGTCTTGCTGCGGCCATATGTCGTGACCAAAGGCTACTGGTTTTAAGCGTTTGCGTTAAACTTTTTCTGCCCAGGAATAGTGTGAGATAGAAAATGACTATTCTTAACCATATATGTGGATTAGACGTGGTGATGGTCCACACCCCTTATACACTGCCACAGTTATAAATCCAATATCTTAGGATGCATTAGTAGCTTTCCTCTGTAATGCTCCAATTTCATGCCTTGGGATCCTGTCCCACCATCCCACATTAGTTCTGTCGTATCCAGGGAAAACAGAGAACTGTCCCCGGGTAGCACAACTTGAGCACATCATTGGACATGCTTGTGGACCATGTGTAAAGTGCTTTAGCAGCCTCCCTGCATGTTTTTTTTCAGTAAGGGTCAACCTGACAGGCAGTCACGCCCCTTCATTTGGCAGAACTGCCCCTTTTCTTGGCAGACCATCACTGGGTGATGCCAGAGCCCACCACCCCATTCCCATTGTTACCTGCCAATGTTGGTATGTAGCTATGCAATATTGCTATATGTATCTATTCATCAAAAGAGCTCAGAATCATGTCCAGCTCAACAATGACAACACATGTAGCCCATGATCAGCATAACTTAGTGGAATAGGGCCTTCACAGAGCTAAGAGGCGAGCATTCAGAGTTAGTGTGTTTGGATTGGTTAGTTATCTGGGATGGGCCGTGACAGAGCTAGGAGGCGGGCATTCAGAGCTAGTGTGTTTGGATTGGTTAGTTATCTGGGATGGGCCGTGACAGAGCTTGGAGGCGGGCATTCAGAGTTAGTGTGTTTGGATTGGCTAGTTACCTGGGATGGGCCGTGACAGAGCTAGGAGGCTGGACATTCAGAGTTAGTGTGTTTGGATTGGCTAGTTATCTGGGATGGGCGTGACAGAGCTAGGAGGCGGGCATTCAGAGTTAGTGTGTTTGGATTGGTTAGTTATCTGGGATGGGCCGTGACAGAGCTTGGAGGCGGGCATTCAGAGTTAGTGTGTTTGGATTGGTTAGTTATCTGGGATGGGCCGTGACAGAGCTAGGAGGCGGGCATTCAGAGCTAGTGTGTTTGGATTGGTTAGTTATCTGGGATGGGCCGTGACAGAGCTTGGAGGCGGGCATTCAGAGTTAGTGTGTTTGGATTGGTTAGTTATCTGGGATGGGCCGTGACAGAGCTAGGGGCAGGCATTGGCATAGTCAGAGTGGTTTGGATTTAGGCCGTGACAGAGCTAGGAGGCGGGCATTCAGAGTTAGTGTGTTTGGATTGGCTGTTAGGGATGGGCCGTGACAGAGCTAGGAGGCGGGCATTCAGAGTTAGTGTGTTTGGATTGGTTAGTTATCTGGGATGGGCCGTGACAGAGCTTGGAGGCGGGCATTCAAAGTTAGTGTGTTTGGATTGGTTAGTTATCTGGGATGGGCCGTGACAGAGCTAGGAGGCGGGCATTCAGAGCTAGTGTGTTTGGATTGGTTAGTTATCTGGGATGGGCCGTGACAGAGCTTGGAGGCGGGCATTCAGAGTTAGTGTGTTTGGATTGGTTAGTTATCTGGGATGGGCCGTGACAGAGCTAGGAGGTGGACATTCAGAGTTAGTGTGTTTGGATTGGCTAGTTATCTGGGATGGGCCGTGACAGAGCTAGGAGGCGGGCATTCAGAGTTAGTGTGTTTGGATTGGCTAGTTATCTGGGATGGGCCGTGACAGAGCTAGGAGGCGGGCATTCAGAGTTAGTGTGTTTGGATTGGCTAGTTACCTGGGATGGGCCGTGACAGAGCTAGGAGGCGGGCATTCAGAGTTAGTGTGTGGGCCGTGACAGAGCTAGGAGGAGTGCATTCAGAGTTAGTGTGTTTGGATTGGTTAGTTACCTGGGATGGGCCGTGACAGAGCTAGGAGGAGGGCATTCAGAGTTAGTGTGTTTGGATTGGCTAGTTACCTGGGATGGGCCGTGACAGAGCTAGGAGGCGGGCATTCAGAGTTAGTGTGTTTGGATTGGTTAGTTATCTGGGATGGGCTGTGACAGAGCTAGGAGGCGGGCATTCAGAGTAAGTGTGTTTGGATTGGCTAGTTACCTGGGATGGGCCGTGACAGAGCTAGGAGGAGGGCATTCAGAGTTAGTGTGTTTGGATTGGCTAGTTACCTGGGACGGCCTTCACAGAGCTAGGAGGCGGGCATTCAGAGTTAGTGTGTTTGGATTGGTTAGTTATCTGGAATGGGCCATGACAGAGCTAGAGGGCTTTCTCACTGACCTTGTTGTTGTCCCTCTCACCCTCCCTGATTTTGTGTTAGATTTGGAGTTATCCTCCGACTGGTGACAGCAGCAGGGGGCTGAATAAGTAAATTGGGGGGTGGAATGGGTTTTTTAAGGGATTGAATTATGTGTTTTTAAAAGTTGGTATGATAGGTTTCGAGATGGCTTTTGGCTCAGAATCTGCGGGTCTAGGTGTATCTTGGTATACCCCAACATTTGCTCATTTAGGCAAGATGGTATATTAGGTTTCGAGCTGGCCTTTGGCTCAGAACCTGGGTGTGTCACGTATCTCAGTATACCCCTACATTGGATAATTGGTATGGTAGGTTTCAAGCTGGCCTTTGGCTCAGAACCTGGGTGTGTAGGGGTATCTTGGTATACCCCTACATTGGATGATTCAGACAAGTTGGCATGGTAGGTTTCGAGCTGGCCTGTGGCTCAGAACCTGTGGGTATAGTGGTATCTCGATATACCACTACACTGGATCATTCGGACAAGTTGGTATGGTAGGTTTCGAGCTGGCCTGTGGCTCAGAACCTGGGGGTGTAGGGATATCTCAGTATACCCCTACATTGGATCATTTGAACAAGTTGGTATGGTAGGTTTCGAGCTGCCTGTGGTTTAGAACTTGGGGGTGTAGGAGTATCTCAGCATACCCCTACTTTGGATCATTCAGACAAGTTAATATGGTAGGTTACAAGTTGGCCTGTGGCTCAGAACCTGGGGGTGTAGGGATATATCAGTGTACCCCTATATTAGATCATTCAGACAAGTTCGTATGTTAGGTTTCGAGTTGGCCTGTGGCTCAGAACCTGGGTGTGTCGCGTATCTCGGTATACCCCAACATTGGATCATTGGTATGGTAGGTTTGAAGCTGGCCTTTGGCTCAGAACCTTGGTGTGTAGGGGTATCTCGGTATACCCCTACATTAGATCATTGAACTTTATTATATTTCAAGTTAATATGGTAGGTTACAAGTAGGCCTGTGGCTCAGAACCTGGGGTTGTAGGGATATCTCAGTATACCCCTACATTAGATCATTGAACTTTATTATATTTCATGATGTTATTTATATTGTTATAGTGTTATGTTGTTAATATTGGGGTCATTGTAATATTGTGGGGGGTTAGTTATATACTGTGTCATAGGGTTTATTTGACAATGACTTTTCGCATTAAATTGATATTTTATTATATTAAAATCTGATGACAGAATTTTACCCAACATATTGGTGTCTGTGCATTATTGGGTATGTATGGGGGGGGGTTTATTCTTAATGCCCAAGGGTTCGACAATGCGACTGTCATGACCACTAGAGCTCACTGCTTTCTTATCAAATGGCTTGGGAATGCTTGATATAAACTGGAATGGCAAAATTTAGGCAAAAACAGATGATCTGGAAAAATTCTGCCACAGCTATTTTTGCCGTTTGGATTTGAATCCGCTGCAGTCTGCTGTTTAGTGACAGTAGCACCTCTATTAATGCCACACTAGCTGTAATCTGACACGGCTGTGCCATAGCGCCCCCTTTCTGGGTGTAAGCTCATTCTGGCTGTGCAGGGTATTCACGGTGAATCGGAAGTAACTGGAAGTATGTTTTTAGACCACGGTAGCCAGTTTGGCTATTTTAGTCTGAATTTTGAAATCCGCTTTGAATTCCAGCAAGGAACACTGTTTGAATAACCCTGGCCGAGTGTTTAGTTTTCCTTTAACTGGGATTGGTGGAGAATAACATGAAATAGCTAAATTTGTAATCCTTTTATCAATTCTCCATTACTCTTGGTTTATGGGTTTATTACAAAAAATTCCCCGCTAAGCTATCAATTTACAATTCACTACAATGTAGTGTTAGGTGAATAAGCCCCTTAGTGAATATTAAACATATTTTAGTTACTTTCAGAGGACAATCTTCAAGTGTGCAGGATATGTAGACAAACGCAAACAAATCTTGAAATTCTTAATATGACCTCTATATGCTTAATGCAAACAAAATAACTAGAGATTGACAAGAATTGGGATAGAGGATTTCCTGGGCAATCACCATCCCTCTTCTTACCACTGCACTTTGACCTCAGTAATCTCATCTGCATTAAGTCTGATCCAGTTGTGAAATCGAAATCTTTGCTTGGCTGCATTTATTGATTGATGTTTCATGTTGACGTAACCTACTTCTAGAAGACTGGAGACCTGTGAGTGTCAGAAGTGATGGGGTTCTGCTTGACCAACCTTGTATTATATATACAGGGATATCATTTCTAATTAGTGGGGTAATAGCTGCTTGATCCAAGGATAAATCTGACTGCCATTCTGGGGTCAAGAAGGAATTTTTTCCTAGTTTGTTGCAAAATTGGAAGCGTTTCAGACTGGGTTTTTTGCCTTCTTTTGGATCAACAGCAAAAACATATGAGAGGAAGGCTGAACTTTCTGACACATTTTTCTTTTCGGCTATGTAACTATGTAACTATGTATATACATAATGCAAAACAGTTTGTTTCCTATTTTTCTCTCTTATCGGTGTAACAGTATTTTAAGAAAATTCTGTGAATAAAAATTACATTTGCAAAAAACAAGAAAAAGAAAAAAAGACTCCCCACCCCTACATTCCATTCATGGTGCCAGTGTTTGTGTAGGGATTAATTATGGGCTGATAAATCCACCATGTTCTCCCAGACACCCATCACTCAAGGGTTAATTAGTGGCAGATCTCCCTGAAACCGGTCACTGAAGGGTTAATTAGTGGCAGGTCTCCCTGACACCGTTCACTGAAGGGTTAATTAGTGGCTGTGCTCCCTGACACCGGTCACTGAAGGGTTAATTAGTGGCTGTGCTCCCTGACACCGGTCACTGAAGGGTTAATTGGTGGCTGTTCCAATATCGGTCACTGAAGGGTTAATTAGTGGCTGTGCTCCCTGACTCTGGTCCCTGAAGGATTAAATAGTGTCAGTTCTCCCTGACACTGTTCACTGAAGGGTTAATCAGTGGCTGTTCTATCACCGGCCACTGAAGGGTTAATTAGTGGCTGTTCTGACACTGGTCACGAAAGGGTTAATTAGTGGCCATGCTCCCTGACACCGGTCACTGAAGGGTTAATTAGTGGCTGTTCTGACACCGGTCACTGAAGGGTTAAATAGTGGCTGTGCTGACACCGGTCACTGAGGGTTAATCAGTGGCTGTTCTGACACCGGTCACTGAGGTTTAATTAGTGGCTGATATAAATCACTGTCTGGCGATGCATGTAAAGTGCTGTCCTGATCATGGAAAGCCCTCACTATGGGACAAGGCGGCCCTGGCAGTGCAAGGGTTAACAGACCGTGGGTTTAACCGGTGGAGACCCTGGCAGTGAAATGTTTATTAATAATAATAATAATAATACTGGGGGTGCAGGGGTTAATACTAATACTGGGGTGCAGGGGTTAATAATAATACTGGCAGTGGAGGGGTTAATAATACTGGGTGCAGAGGGTTAATAATAATACTGGCAGTGGAGGGGGTTAATAATAATAATACGGGGGTGCAGGGGTTAATAATAATACTGGCAGTGGAGGGGTTAATAATAATACTGGGGTGCAGGGGGTTAATAATGGGGTGCATGGGATTAATAATAATAATGGCAGTGGGGGTTAATAATAATGGGGTGGAGGGGATTAATAATAATGGGGTGCAGGGGTTAATAATAATAATACTGGCAGTGGAGGGGTTAATAATAATACTGGGGTGCAGGGGATTAATAATAATGGGGTGCAGGGGTTAATAATAATACTGGCAGTGGAGGGGTTAATAACAATACTGGCAGTGCAGGTGTTAATAATAATAACGGGGTGCAGGGGGTTAATGATAATACTGGCAGTGGAGGGGTTAATAATAATACTGGGGTGCAGGTGTTAATAATAATAATGGCAGTGGATGGGGTTAATAATAATACTGGCAGTGGAGGGGTTAATAATGGGGTGCAGGAGTTAATAATAATGGGGTGCAGGGGGTTATTGATAATAATACTGGCAGTGGAGGGGTTAATAATAATAAGGTGCACAGGGTTAATAATAATGGGGTGCAGGGGGTTAATGATAATAATAATAATGGGGTGCAAGGGTTAATAATAATAATGGGGTGCTGGGGGTTAATGATAATAATACTGGCAGTGGAGGGGTTAATAATACTGGCAGTGGAGGGGTTAATAATAATACTGGGGTACAGGGGGTTAATAATAATAATGGGGTGCAGGGGTTAATAATAATAACACTGGCAGTGGAGGGGTTAATAACAAAACCCGGGGTGCAGGGGTTAATAATAATGGGGTGCAGGGGGTTAATGATAATAACGGGGTGCAGGGGTTAATAATAATAACTCTGGCAGTGGAGGGGTTAATAACAATACTGGGGTGCAGGGGTTAATAATAATAACACTGGCAGTGGAGGGGTTAATAACACTGGGATGCAGGGGTTAATAATAATAACACTGGCAGTGGAGGGGTTAATAACAATACTGGGGTGCAGGGGTTAATAATAATAATGGGGTGCAGGGGGTTAATGATAATAATGGGGTGCAGGGGGTTAATAATAATACTGGCAGTGGAGGGGGTTAATAATAATAATACAGGGGTAATAATAATTATGGGGTGCAAGGGGTTAATGATAATAATGGGGTGCAGGGGTTAATAATAATAATAATGGGGTGCAGGGAGTTAATAATAATAATGGGGTGCATGGGGTTAATAATAATAATGGCAGTGGAGGGGTTAATAATAATGGGGTGCATGGGGTTAATAATAATTGCAGTGGAGGGGTTAATAATAATGGGGTGCATGGGGTTAAAAATAATAATGGCAGTGGAGGGGTTAATAATAATGGGGTGCATGGGGTTAAAAATAATAATGGCAGTGGAGGGGTTAATAATAACACTAGCAGTGGAGGGGTTAATAATAACACTGGGGTGCAGGGGGTTAATAATAATGGGGTGCATGGGGTTAATAATAATAATGGCAGTGGAGGGGTTAATAATGGGGTGCAGGGGGTTAATAATAATGGGGTGCGTGGGGTTAATAATAATAATGGCAGTGGAGGGGTTAATAATAATGGGGTGCATGGGGTTAAAAATAATAATGGCAGTGGAGGGGTTAATAATAATGGGGTGCATGGGGTTAAAAATAATAATGGCAGTGGAGGGGTTAATAATAATGGGGTGCATGGGGTTAATAATAATAATGGCAGTGGAGGGGTTAATAATAATGGGGTGCATGGGGTTAATAATAATAATGGCAGTGGAGGGGTTAATAATAATGGGGTGCAGGGAGTTAATAATAATGGCAGTGGAGGGGTTAATAATAACACTAGCAGTGGAGGGGTTAATAATAACACTGGGGTGCAGGGGGTTAATAATAATGGGGTGCACGGGATTAATAATAATAATGGCAGTGGAGGGGTTAATAATAATGGGGTGCATGGGGTTAATAATAATAATGGCAGTGGAGGGGTTAATAATAATGGGGTGCAGGGGGTTAATAATAATACTGGCAGTGGAGGGGTTAATAATAATGGGGTGCATGGGGTTAATAATAATAATGGCAGTGGAGGGGTTAATAATAATGGGGTGCATGGGGTTAATAATAATAATAGCAGTGGAGTGGTTAATAATGGGGTGCAGGGGTTAATAATAGTAATGGGGTGCAGGGTTAATAATATGGCAGTGGAGGGGTTAATAATAATAGGGTGCAGGGTTAATAATATGTGAAATTGGAGGGTTAATAATAATGGGGTGCATGGGGTTAATAATAATAATGGCAGTGGAGGGTTAATAATAATGGGGTGCAGGGTTAATATATGGCAGTGGAGGGTTAATAATGGGGTGCATGGGGTTAATATATGTGGCAGTGGAGGGTTGTAACACTAGCAGTGGAGGGTTAATAATAATGGGGTGCATGGGGTTAATGATAATAATGGCAGTGGAGGGGTTAATAACACTAGCAGTGGAGGGGTTAATAATAATGGGGTGCAGGGGGTTAATGATAATAATAATGGGGGTTCGGGGGGGGGGGAGAGACTGAGAGCTATGTACGAAGCTCCGTTACCTCGAGCGAGCTGGCACCGGGATTTCACACTCGGGATCCAGAACGTTAAGTTTACCGTAACCAGGCAACAGGCCGGAACTAACTGAGGGCGAGGTGCATGCCGGGAGGACCTTGAGGAAGGAACTCTTCCGGCTTCCCAGTGCCGCCATCTTGCTTGTGGCATCTGATCTCTGAACATGTTATTATGAATATTAATTAAATAACAGCTGCAAACATTGATAATAATATAACCACTGACAGTGAGATAATATCCCAAGCTGCATGTGTTCCCTGCTGTGATAGCACATATTAAATTATCTATATAATAAAAGAATATTGCAATTCAGATAAAGAGAAACCCAGCTTCCAGTATCTCTCCATGTGTGTGCAGATCACCATGTTTTTCTGTGAGAGCATGGTGCTGACCAGCTGTATGTGGCATTCATGTGCTTCAATGCGATAATGCTTTATTATGGCTACTTCTGTGGGAGCCTGGCTGGGGATAATTATTTTATTACACACCATGAGCACATGAATGCTACATACTCCAGGGGAGCACTTGCAAGCCATGCTCAACCGTACGCAGAATTCATACGCTTCTGGCATGTTTTATCCACTGTTACCATGGCAACACACACTTCACTATGGAGACCCGAAGATGGGATTTCCTCACTATATCAGTGAACTGTAGTGAAATTAACAACTTTGGGTAAAGTAGCTCATTTCAATCCCGCTAGAGACAGCTATTCTTCACTGAGGGACATCGAACCATCTATTCTCCCGAAACATGTTAACCTATTTATTTATTTTTTAACACCAGAAGTTGGCATTCAATGCATCACAACCATTCTGTACTTTCAGCACTCTAAGGCCAATACCAAGATCGTCATGTGTTGTTATCAAACTTCTTTATTGCTTATGTTTGTTGTCTATTCGTTCATAGTGCACTCACATCTCTCTCTCAGGAAAAATACAAAATTGAGAAAAGTGCTCTGTGTATACAGTATTATTTGTAATCACATTATCCAGACGTTCAGTGCAAAGCTTTATAGTCTAATTTTGCTTTATTGAGCGTAGGACTCCAGCCACACCATCATTTGTACAATCATCATTCATTCCTTGGGACGCCACTGCAGGAAGGATAAACTTTGGGGGGAGCTAGCTAGACCGCCGATGCTCTAATTTTTATCACCCAGTGGTTCCATATCTTATAATACAAATCAAGGTTATTAGAATTTATAAAGGGGGCGAAGCTTGGATCTGAGCTACAGCGAAGGAGATCTCTACCCAAGGTGACTCCCATGCTGGACACCTTAATCGACGCCCGGAGGCTCAGAGTAGGTGGCAGGTTGTGGCCTACTGGAGTCGGAGTGGAGGAGAGACAACTGCAATCTTTCCTCTGAATCCAACCACTCAAGACGAGACTCTCCTTGCCCCGTCCCACCCCCCCCCCTCCGGCTACCAACTCTGCTTTTCACAAAAAAACTGTGCAGTCATCGCATCGCACAATAATGGCCCAAGATGGCGGACGCCGGGTGCACAAATGCACAAGGCACGAATACCACAAAGAGGGCATTCAGCGACTCCACTGCCTACGCCCTGTGGCGGCTAGATCAGATATTCCAGAACTTCTGGTGGAAGATTCAAGCACGTAGAACAGACACCACAACGCTAAAGTCTGAACCGCGGAAAGGAAACCGGAGAAAGGAGCAGCCACGCAGGGTAAAGTCTCCTCAGAGCACAAGACCTCAAACAAAGCGGACACGACCCCATGACCACTAACCAAGGCCGGGGGCTACCCAAGGAAAGTCCTCCAGACATCCATTATCAGCGGAGACCGCCACTCAACTCCTCTGCCCTGCCTCTGAAGGGGATAGACTTGGTCTCTCGATGAACCCAAGTCTGTGGCAAAGAGATGCCAGCCCTCATGCAGGCCTGGGGACGAGAAGGTACCCTGTTCCAGAGTAACACTTGCCCAAGCGAAGCAGCAGCTTTGCCACTCAGAGGAATAGGCTGAACTCGCTCTTGGGACTGCCGTCTGAGCATATCCCCTCTTCGATAACACCTGATTTTAAGTGTATTAAACGATATGCATTAAGTTTTCTTTTATGTCTTATAATTCTCATTTCCCTGCTTTTATCTATCTCTACATTATAAGACCTACTACTGATGTGATAAAGTACCATATTGATAATGCTCCCAGGGGTACATTGTAAGCGACTCCAATCCGAGAGCTGTCTAACACGTGTCCATACATAGAATACCCAACAGTGTCTAAGGCATACCTTTACCTCTGTGTAAAAATGAAGTAAGTCATAGCGTCGGACTAGCCTGCTAGTGCCCTACAATGATTTATAGTACATGTGGCAAAACGCTAACGCACCTAATTCTAGCAACCGACCCATCTTACTGGGATACCCCTAAGCCTTACTGCTACAGTTTCTATAAAGTTAATGTTTATATAACACTAATGTTTTGTTATGCACGAGACTCAATGCCTCGCACTGAATTGCTCTTTCACCAGTAGTTATGTTCATGTAAAGGGCACCAGCGACCAGCGACGATTAATATGTTATGCCTAAGGTCCTGTTGGAATAGTGGTTGGACATGTCCGCTCTTAATCTAACCTAACTTTATTTGCTATAACCTGCAATAAACAATTACAAATTTAAAATGTATATAAACAGCTTTTTCCATTAATCTTTGGAAGTCAACCTGAACTTGAATCTCAGTCCAGCAAGGAGGTTTTGTTTTCTTCCAAATCTAACCATGCAAATTTTCATAGCCATCAGAATATGTATTAACATGTGAGAAGGTTTATCTAATTTAGGTAAATTCAGGTAAAATAGAAACCGCAGTAGAGTTAAATGTATAGGTAGTCCCATTTCTTTTACAGAGTTCAGTTTCCAGTTTGGTTTTCAGAGGCAAGAGTTTTGGACAGTCCCACCAATACAGGTGATACTCTAAAAATTAGAATATTGTGAAAAAGTTAATTTATTTCAGTAATGCAACATAAAAGGGGAAACTAATATATGAGATAGAGGCATTACATGCAAAGCAAGATACTTCCAGCCGTGATTTGTCATAAGTGCGATGATTATGTCTTACAGCTCATGAAAACCCCAAATCCACAATCTCAGTAAATTAGAATATTGTGAAAAGGTGCGATATTCTAGGCTCACAGTGTCCCACTCTAATCAGCTAAGTAAGCCATAACACCTGCAAAGGGTTTCTGAGCCTTTAAATGGTCTCTCAGTCTGGTTCAGTAGGAATCACAATCATGGGGAAGACTGCTGACCTGACAGTTGGCAGAAAGCCATCATTGACACCCTCGTAAGGAAAGCCTCAAAAAGTAATTGCGAAGGAAGTTGGATGCTCCCAAAGTGCTGTCCTAGGGCAGCACAAAACCGGGATACACCACTGCCCACACTGCCAAAAGCACCAAAGCCTGGTTCAATGACCGTGGGATTACTGTGCTTGATTGGCCAGCAAACTCGCCTGACCTCAACCCCATAGAGAATCTATGGGGCATTGCCAAGAGAAAGATGAGAGACATGAGACCGAACAGGGCCAGCCTTAGGGGTATGCGAGCTGTGCGGCCGCACAGGGCGCCATGGAGCAGGGGGCGCCATGTGGCCGACACAACTTACACATGGCCGGCCGGGATTAAAAAAAAGAAATAATAAAATAAAATAATAAAATGTGTGTGTGATTGTATGTGTGTGTCTGTGTGTATGACTGTCTGCCTGTGTGTGTGTGACTGTCTGCATGTGTGTGTCTGTGTGTATGACTGTCTGCCTATGTGTTTGTGTGTGTGTGACTGTCTGCCTGTGAGTGTGTGTGTTTGTCTGTGACTGTGTGTGTCTGTGACTGTCTGCCTGTGTGTGTCTGTGTGCATGACTGTCTGCCTGACTGTGTGTGTGACTGCCTGTGTGTGTGTGTGACTGTCTGGAGAGAAATTTGCCTTTTAGCTGATACCAGCAAGGTGATTTGTATGTTATAGCCCTATTCAGGGTTAAATGTGAAAGGGTTTATAAAATACCCCTTCCTGTCTCATTAGAGATGTTTACACTTTGTCTGATACCAGCAAGGTTTATTGTATGTGTAGAAGCCCTATAAAGGGTTAAATGTGAAAGGGTTTATAAAATACCCCTTCCTGTCTTACTGGAGATTCTTGGCTGATATCAGCATATCTAATGGCTAGTGTAGGAACTCACCTATTGAGGCTTGCCTTGACGTGGCAGGTGAGCTTATATATTCAAATGGCCATTGGAATAAAACTAAAGAGCCTCCATTTTGTTTAAATGTACATGGGATTTAGGCCAGAGCGCAGGTAACGTTCTCTTTGTTTTTACTATGTATTTTGAGCTGTTGGATACTAAGCTACTGCTATCACAGTGCTTTATCTTTGTGTTTGTGTGACTGTCTGCCCGTGAGTGTGTGTGTCTGTGACTGTCTGCCTGTGTGTGTGTCTGTGTGCATGACTGTCTGCCTGTCTGTGTGTGTATGACTGTCTGCCTGTGTGTGTGATTGTGTGTGTGTGACTGTATGTGTCTGTGTGTATGACTGTCTGCCTGTGTTTGTGTGTGTGACTGTCAGCGTGTGTGTGTTTGTGTGGCTGTCTGCCTGTGTGTTTGTATGACTGTCTGTGTGTGTGTGTATGACTGTCTGCCTGTTTGTGTTTGTGTGTGTGTGTGACTGTGTGTATGAATGTCTTCCTGTGTTTGTGTGTGTGTGACTGTCTGCCTGTGTGTGACTGCCTGTGTGTGTTTGTGTGTATGACTGTCTGCCTGTGTTTGTGTGACTGTCTGCGTGTGTGTTTGTGTGGCTGTCTGCCTCTGTGTGCGTGGAAGTCTTCCTTTGTGTGTGGATGGCCGACTGCCTCTGTGTGGCTGTCTGCCTGCGTGTATGTGTATGGCTGTCTGCCTGTGTGTGTGTATGTGTGTGGCTGTGTGTGACTTTCTGCATGTAAGTATTTGTGTGTAAGACTGTATGTGTGTCTGTGTGTAAAAGTGTGTGTGTGGCTGTCTGCCTGCGTGTGTGGCTGTCTGCCTGTAATTGTGTGTGAGTGTGTTTATCTACCTGTACCGGTGTGTTTCTGCTTGATCCTGTGTATGTGACTATCTGCCTGCGACTATGTGCATGTGGTGGATTTTACAGTGTATTTGTATTACTGTGTGCATCTGACTGTGGTAATGTGTGCACATAACTCTGGAAAAATATACACCTGCATTTACACACAGGCCTAAATGCATGTTTTTATCTGAATTAAATACCCATCACACACAGCCAATAAACCCAGCACAAATATCACATACAACAATACACGCATATCACAGACTGTTAATCCACCCATTACAAATATCACACGTAGCATACATATCACACACAGTCATCACATCTATCACATACACAGACAACACAAACATTACATCATACATGGATGATGGGAGGGGGGGGGGAGGGGAGAGGGGCGCTGTGAAGATTTTTCGCACAGGGCGCCTAAAGGCCTAAGGCTGGCCCTGAAACCGAACAATGCAGAAGAGCTGAAGGCCGCTATTGAAGCATCCTGGTCTTCCATAACACCTCAGCAGTGCCACAGGCAGATAGCTTCCATGCCACGCCGCATTGATGCAGTAATTGCTGCAAAAGGGGCCCAAACTAAGTACTGAGTCCATATGCATGCTTATACTTTTCAGAGGTCCGATATTCTATGTACACTCCTTGTTTTATTGATTGCATGTAATATTCTAATTTACTGAGATTGTGGATTTGGGGTTTTCATGAGCTGTAAGCCATAATCATCGCACTTATGGAAAATCACGGCTTCAACTATCTTGCTTTGCATGTAATGCGTCTATCTCATATATTAGTTTCCCCTTTTACGTTGCATTACTGAAATAAATGAACTTTTGCACGATATTCGAATTTTTCGAGTATCACCTATATATGTTTGTGTGTGCCTCGGTTTAGAGTGCATCTCCAGCAACTATTTTGCACATTAGATTGAAATTTGGAAGCTAAAGTGGGTATCAGATACCATCTATGTAGTATCTTAATATAGTTTTCACATACATTTTTATTATGAATAGTTTTTTTATAAGTGCAAATGGCCTAGCCTTTTCAGCCCCCAAGAATTCAACCGCCATTTTATGTTCCCATTTAATAATACTGTTCAATATCCCTTCCTATTTTTAGGAATATAACATCGTATTAATTCTGGATATGATTATCATTTCCCTCAAACGAATATATAGTATCTTGAATGTTTTTACTCAATAGTTTATTTCTCAGCAAATTTTTTATTTTTAGATATGTTAAAAATTCCTTTTTAATGGAGTAATTGGCTTCTTGTAGTTCGGGAAACGTTAATATTTTATTCTTTAGGGAGGTCTCCCACAAGATTAATGCCAATATCTTTCCATTGAGGTATGCTTACGTCAGTTTGATATACTGACAATAACTCTATAGGGGTCGCAGGGGAGAGGTTGCTTTTAATCCCATACCGTTTTTTTTTTTAAATAGTATCTATACAATATGACAATTATATTTGGATTTTTCAGGGTTTTTTTGCAGTGCAAGATGATTGTACAAGCAGGTTAAGATATATAAAACACGAAGTAGGATTACATAGCAGGTTAACCAAATATGTCACTGATTAATACCGCACTTATTGTTATATTAAGTATGTGATGAGGACAAGATAAGGTAAGTCCTGAGACAGATAAGTGTGAAGACCGGGAGACTGCTAAGTGAGCTGTGTTGCCCAGGACGATGAGTGATTAAGTAGCACAAGCCTTTAACGTACATGCATATCGGTGTAGATACGCGTACTTGTGCCTACCCGGGAGGCCCTGTGCCAGGTAAGTGGCGGTCTACCACGGAGCTTATTGAAAGATGCATACATAATCATTGAGGCATATTAATAAAAGGTAGAAAACAATAACAGAATAAGCCAAATAAACGTAGTGAGCCGTTGCAACTGGCCATCTTGCCGTGATGTAGAGTGAATGCGGGATAGTCCCTCTCCGCCTATTCCCATCAAGGGCAGTTTGTGCACCCACTGAAGCCTTAGACACAGTCCACTGCTTCCCCTAACGAGCTGCTGCGGCATTATTGCGGTGAGGACAATGGTTAAGCCTTGAGGTACTGAAAGCTGTGGTTGATTGCTTGTTGCTGCTCCTAGTCCCGTGTGTAGAGCCTTTGGGCCCAGACCTGTGGCATGTTTGGATGCTTTCTTGCCATGTGGCAGGTAGCGCTTCTTCCTTCGTTTGATCCTGGCTCTTGCAAGGATCACGGTCGCTCTCTTCCTCATTGCGCTGGGTGGCAGACACCTAATGGAACCGCTTGTCAGCACATGGTGTGTAGATGATTGTATCCGCTCGCTCAGCATGCTCCAGCTTAGTGAGGGTATTAGCAGTGTCATGGTTGGGAGCTTTAGCGCACATGATATTCGCCATTACCAGAGAGTTCCGGATTTTAGTAAGCTTGATGTTACCACCGCGGCAGCATGCAAGTGGGCCTCTGGGATTAGGACTGGGATCACCCCCGCCTGTCCAAAGGGGGGGAAACTGGGCAGCAGTCGGATTTGACAATAGTTCAGCATTCGGCAGGGCGGGAAAGCAGTCTCCTCTCCTGTCCGGCAGCCGCACCGCGTCCTCTGTAGCTTGTATAAGGTAGGCCAGATTTTAGTAGCTCTACAGGAGCCCTGTTGTTGCAGGGTGTCTGTAAGGCACAAACAGCCAAATAGTAGGCGCATAAAGCGTGAGAAAGTCAGTGGCTAAGCTTTGAGCTCCTGCAGAATGCGTCCAGCCACCATGCAGGTCAGGCCCCGTCCCCAACTTTTCAGGTTTTTAATAGCATCTTTATCCAACCATATTGTCCAAATATGATCTAAGTTTTGAAATTCTAGGTTTTCAATTTCATACCAAGTAATATGATCTTTTTTTGTTTTTGTTTTCCAGGTCAAGCTATGAGAAATCATGATTGAATCATAAATGAGATATAGATCAGGAAAAGAGACTCCGCCGACCAAATTTCTGTGAGAGATTCTTATTTTTCTTATTACCCCATATAAATTTTAGAAACATATTGTGAAAGTCCCTTAGAATGTTTTTGGGTATGTGCAAGGGAATTGATTGCATTAGATATTCGATTTTTTGAATAATATCTTTTATGGAGCTAATTCTGCCCATCAAAGAAATGAAAAATGGCTTACCATTTAAATAAGGAGTTTCTTATTTCCTGAAGAAGAGTGGAGTAATGAAGCTCAACAATTTAATTCCAGAAGAAGCCTAAATTGATCCCTAAATATTTCAGTGTTTTGGAGGACAAATTAAATTCATATTTCTCTTTAAGCCCAGTTAAGACTGGAACCGACAAATTAGAAAGAATAGCATAGGATTTGTTTAAGTTCAGTTTATAATTTGGCATGGTACTGAACTTGTTTAAGTTGAGTGCAGCAGGAATGGATTTTTCAGGACTAGCAAGGGTGAGGATTATATAGTCCGTGTATAGCTAAACTTTATAATGTTGGTTATCTATTTTGGCTCCCTCAATCTCTTTCAATTGTCTGATTAGAGAAGCGAGGGGTTCAATTGAGAGGACATAAAGCATTGGGGCTAAAGGACATCCTTGTCTTGTCCCTATATTTATTTCAAATATATTAAACTCTAGTCCACCCCTGCAGACTTTTGCAGAAGAAGAGGAGTACAGGCACATAATCCTTTCGAGAATAGAACCATCAAACCCAAAAGGTTTTAAGGCCTCCAACAGGTATGGCCAACTAACTCTGTCGAAAGCCTTTTCTGCATCTAAGGCCACGGATACCGTGGGATCTGAGCCACTGGTTACTGCTTGTATAAATTTGTAAGAGTTTACGTAAATTATCACTTCTGGATCTGTTCACAACAAATCCTGATTGATCTGGGTGGATCAGATTTGGTATCACCTTCTTTATTCTTTCTGCTAAAATCTTAGAAAATAATTTTATGTCAATATTTAGAAGGGAAATAGGTTGATAGTTGCTGACATTTAGAATCTTTCTCGGTTTTTAAGATAGGTTTAATGAGTGTCTGGAGCATTTCTTGTGGGAATATGTTTACTGATTCCATTAAAGAGTTTTACAGTAGTGGAGAAATCAACAAATCACATTTTTAACCTTTTTATTTTAACCTGCAAGGTTAAACTTCACCACACTCAACTTTCTGGTCTTCCACTAAAGGGAGAATTGCCAGGAAATCAAAGCGACTTCCAAACATAAGGCCAATGTAGTCCTAAAAGGACACTGTAGTCACTAGAACAACTACAGCTTAATGTACGGTATACAACTTATTATATAGTATACAGCTTAATGTACGGTATACAACTTATTATATAGTATACAGCTTAATGTACAGTATACAGCTTAATGTACAGTATACAGCTTATTTAGTATACAGCTTAATGTACGGTATACAGCTTATATAGTATACAGCTTAATGTACGGTATACAGCTTATTATTTAGTATACAACTTAATGTACGGTATACAGCTTATTTAGTATACAGCTTAATGTACGGTATGCAGCTTATTATATAGTATACAGCTTAATGTACGGTATACAGCTTATTGTATTTGTTCTGGTGAGTATAATCATTCCCTTCAGGCTTATTGCTGTAAACACCGTCTTTTCAGAGAAAATGCAGTGTTTACATTACAGCCTAGGGATACCTCCATTGGCCACTCCTCATATGGCTGCTAGAGGTGCTTCTGGGGCAGTGCTGCAGACACTGAACTTTCTTCATAGAGATGCATCGATTCAACATACCTCTATGAGGAGATGCGGATTGGCCAAGCCTGTGTTTGGCTCCACCCCCTGCCCCACCTCCATGGCAATCTCAGCCAATTCAATGCTTTCCTATAGGAAAGCATTGTGATTGGCTGAGATCATCACTTCTGATTATGTCAGCCACGGAGGCAGATCAGGGGCAGAGCCAGCAGCAGTAGACTTGAATAAAAGTAAGATTTTACTATATTTATAGGGGCATGGTAGTGGTTTTAACACTATAGGGACAGGATAACAAACCTGTATTTCTGACCCTATAGTTTTTTGTTTGTTTGTTTTAAATATGAAATACATTTTAAATCTGGAAAATTCTTTCTATAGCAAATAACCCAGTGTATGTTGATCATAAAAATAAATATAAAGGTGAGAAATAGTTCTTGGGTATTGGAAAGCTTAAGTATCTTCAGTTTATAATGCGTTAAGAGATGTGATTGCTGCAAAAAAAGGAAACAAAAAAATAACCAATGTATTCAAATATTATATGTAAAATTTATTGTAAATTCACATAATTGTACAGGAAAAAACATATAAAGCCATAACCCCTCTCCCCCCCACTCCTTTACCAGTGCAGAGGTAAGTACACACATTGTCTACCTACTTATAGACACGCAGAGCACTCAATGCATGTCATGGTTGGGAGCGAGCTTATGGACATTGTAGTGGAAGATATGGTTTGAACCCAGCCTCTAGGATGCCTCTTCGCCATTGTTATCAGGAATGTTTATTAAAAATCCATATTCCAGTGCTGTATTTCTATGGTACTCGGCATATACAAGAATTAAATGTGCAAAAACAAATCGAAAGCCTAACCCCTTTACTGTTGCTTTTAATTAATAGAGGTTACACCTTATCTTGCTAAATTTCACACAGATTCAGAAACAAAGGCATAGAAGTATAAAATCTATTTTTTGTCAAACAGACAAAATTGTAAAAATGGTCAAAGAAATTGCACAATACCCAGCGTTAGGATATTTGTAAAGGACTTGCGATTTTGGGAATACATGTTCCCAGTTATGTCAACAAAATGTAATAAAGAATGTAAAACATCGTATGTAAAATCCGCATACAGTAAGTACAGTTGCCTGGCTAGATCCAGATATATATACCAGTGCTAAAAATTTCCACTCATAACTAGTTATTGGCGAGTGAAAATTTATCCCAGACGAGTAGAAATTTACCCTCATCTGTGGCTTGCAGTGATGGGTAACTTTTAAAACCTTTTTTGTTATACAGTCTGTACTATGCCTTGTATTTTTTTTTTTTTTTTTGATTGTTCCAGTTTTATACATCTACCTCTGTTGTCTGGTGTAGTATTTGTGTTTTATTGTATACTTTATTTTGAGTGTTGGGGGATACTCTCTCACTACACCTGTGTGATTTCTAATTTTGGGTAGCGCCTACACACCGTTGCGCTTTTCTAGGTAAACATTTTAAACCATGATCTATACGTTACGTGGCATTTCAGCCTCCAGGTTGTAGAACGTCACACCCTGTGCTACATCTCTGGATGTAAACGGTGTGACAAGGTGCCATTAAAGCTGGATGCATCTGGTTTTTATTTTTTTGGTTTAATCAGGCTCCATGCTTGTGTCTCTCTTATAATCCTGCAATTATGGAGAAGAAGCCCCTTCAGAAAAGGCTTGGCCCCAAAATGATTGCAGATCAGCTCATTAATTACATTTCCAGTTGGAATTGCAGAATAAGGTGTTCCTATATATTTTTTTATAATGTGTGTTTTCATACCTGCAAGGGGACTTAATCACATTATACAATGTTCTTCAAATTTCACATTATTCATTACAGTTCTGAAATATGCATTATTACAAACCTCCCTGTTCACAATGTCAACGTGGCACCACTACTACTGAATTGGCATTATTGCATTTTAGGAGCATTGCCCAGTGTTGATCCTGCCACATATGGTTAGCTGTGGGAGTGCAGAAGATGCCCAGATCTCACAATAGACTAGATGCACACCTTAGTCCTGCCGTCAACACCCGGCGTCCTCTTGTCCTGTCCCTTCACTTTAGTTTACACAGGAGTGAATGGAAGAAAATCAGCATTACCTAATTGGAGCTTCACTGCTAGATAACTAGCAAGATAACTAGCTACTAACTCAGTACGCGCACTGCTCTAGTTAGTAGTATCCAAATTTCAGGTCTAAATGCCCCGATTAGAGAGAGTTCCAAAGCAGGATTGTTTTGGGTGCATGTCTCTGTGGGCAGCCTAGTGTGGGCAAGTGGCAGGTGTTGGCAGCCTAGTGTGGGCAAGTGGCAGGTGTTGGCAGCCTGGTGTGGGCATGTGGCAGGTGTTGGCATCACTCTATCTGATCATAGGAGCCAACTTTTCACTTATAGGTCATCTGATTAAGGAGCCACAAATCATTTCAGGATTATTTGAGACATCTGTAGCCTCATAGAAAAAACTTGAGCATCTCTAATACAGAGCATTTAGGTGACAAAATCACTTTTAAAGCATGTATTATAAAAAAACATTATAGACAATTCAACAGAAGTTCTGATTTCGTTTTTTTCCAGGTAGATGTTGGCAAGTTACTTCATTAATGTGTTATATCATAGCTCAGGATGAAGGACTTTATTAAGGGAAGAAATAAATTAGCTACAAGATTAAGTCAGACTATGTAGACTAGGAGTTGTAGGTCATGGTATATGTGGTGCAGCCAGTCCATCACAGCAACAGAATTGCCAGCTGAGGCTCATGGGAGTTGTAGTTCTGCATAAAGCCACAGGACTGCCAACAAATCCACAAGTAGGAGATGTGACTTTTAACAGCTGAACCAGCTGGCTTAGAATTCTGGGACCTGTAGTCCAGTGATTAGCTGGGGGCTAAGGTTGGATACACCTGCCTTGTGCAAATTATACATACAAATACACTAAATGTTAACATTATTAAGGCTAATAATGCCGATTGTGAGCATATTTCAGTAACCGTCCAGACATGACTTATTGGGGGAGATTTATCAAAGTGATTGGTTCTAAAAATTGGTCTCAAGCAGTAAAAGTGGGGAATCACCATGGAACCCAGTGGGATCAGCAGGCTCATTCCATTGGTGACTTCTCTCCTCTTACATTTTTGCACCATTTCCTAAAACTGACCACTTTTGTAAATGTCCCCCATCATCTGTTAATTCTACAAGTTATGATCAAGGCTGGAAGTAATTTCCATTTTCTATTCATTGCACAGATAAAAGAAAAAAAACGGTCGCATTTCACATGCTTTGCGTGGCTGCACAGCCATGTATCAACAGCAGACATATCCATCCTAGACCAGGAAGAGGCTGCACCAATCAGACGCCTCTCATTCTGATCTGTTTGATCATCTCATAAACCATTGTCCAGCAGGGTCTTATGAGACACACTCCATTCTACCCGGCGAACAAGCTGATAAAAGCCGAAGGGTTGAGTATCTCTTAGTACTGATTCGCTGTCCTGGTCACACATTTGTGAATGTGAGAAGTTGACCAGAAGCACTCCGTGAGGGTTCGCTGACTACAAATTAATAAACTATGAATCCTAACTCCCACGAAAGCTTCTGGTGAGACTCATAGGTCTCAGATCCCTGGGCATTGCAATCGCCGTAGCGGATGTGAAACAAGTAAAAATAAAAATAGGGGTTGGTTCCCACAGCAGTTGGATGGCATGAGATAAAGAGTATTTACATTGGATGGGCAAAGCTTGGTCTTCTTGGTGGTGATAAAGTTAAACAGATCAGTCTTCCCCTATGTACGAATAAGCTGTGGCTAATATCCTGCATAGTATTAAGGTAAGAAAAAGTTGGTGCTATGCGTAAAAAATATAACTTACTTTAGCTAACACCCCGAAATATATCTAAACAGATCAGAAAATGGGAATAATAATATCTAGAGTTCTGTGGGTGTATTTTAAAGATATTACTTTCCTGAGCAACAGAGAGCAGAACACGCTCTGCCAAGTTTACATGTTTATACCATTAAATAAGAAACGCGCAGGAAATTGGTTCGTGGTCTACATTAACCCACAAATGGTCCGTGCCGCTAACCATGTAACAATTAGAGGTCAGTTGTCACCTCGCCATGACATTCTCCATCGTTTTCAGGAAAATTTCCAGTAATACAAATGATCACTTTTCAGGTAGCTCTCACAGCGTTCTGTGTTACACAGTCGCTGGTTAACCCCAATGAATGACTAATGTTTTTTTTTTATGTTGTCACTTGTCATGGCTCGCCCCATGAATCATCCGTTGCATCTCCTGCTGATTGGTTCACTACAGCAGTTATGGTTGCGGGACACGACCTGTCCGGCCTGAGGATAACAGGGGGTGCCAGGATTAGGCTGGAAACTCGTTCCCATAAATACTTGATGGCTCTTCGTTCACCGAGAGATATGTGGCTCTCATACTTGGCGAGTACTAGACGGGAGAATAAAAAGGAAAATATTAAATAAGTTAAAGAAGTGCACTTTAAATCAACAGTTACATGAGAGCACGTCATCTGCGAGGATTCTAAGCCACTTTATTCAGGAAAAGAACGAATGCACATTTTACAATAAAGAGACCTTTTATAAAAGCAGACAGCCATCAGACAGGTAACAAGGTTGCCGACTATTGTACGAATGATCAAAGCATTCTACTAATGAGACTGTGTAGACTGAGCAATGCTTTTAGAATCTGAGCCTAATCACCTGGAGAAAACCCAATCTCTTTGATCATAAAATCTACAATATAATTACAATAATTATGTATATTTCTGGTTTAGGATATAATGACCACTGACCTATTAGAAAAGGCCCTTTTATTAAAGCCAGAGGTCTGGAATCGAAAAAAAGAGAAGAGGGGGCGGGGGAAACCAGAAGAATTGCTTTTAGATATTTTTACTTTTTTTCTATTAGCACCTGGCATGGAGACACTTGCCTATGTGACATTGGGGTCAAGTTGTGTTATTAGTAAAAAGCTATATACACTGAACAAAATTATAAACACAACACTTTGTTTTTGCCCCCATTGTTCATGAGCTGAACTCAAAGATCTAAGACTTTTTCTATATACACAAAAGGCCTATTTCTCTCAAATATTGTCCACAAATCTTTCTAAATCTGTGTTAGTGAGCAGTTCTCCTTTGCGGAGATACTCCATCCACCTCACAGGTGTGGCATATCAAGATGCTGATTAGACAGCGTGATTATTGCCCTTAGGCTGGCCACAATAAATGGCCACTCTAAAATGTGCAGTTTTATCACACAGCACAATGCCACAGATGTCGCAAGTTTTGACGGAGCGTGCAGTTGGCATGCTGACAGCAGGAATGTCCACCAGAGCTTGCTTGTGCCTGTGAATTGAATGTTCATTTCTCTACCATAAACTTGCAGTTGAAGAATAGCTTAGATGTTTAAAGTGGGTTGTATATTATATATATATTTTTTATATGTGGACCTTGTAATAATTGCCAAGTGTTTCATTCTGTTTACATGTCTAACTTGTGCTTCTTGGTCCTGTTTGTGTTTCATGTTGAAGCCTCCTCATTAAAGACCTTTAACCGGTCGCACAGCATTCCGGGGTTTGTCCTGTGTTCCGCATATTGGGCTTTGAACAGCAGAATACCAATGGTGAGCGCTCTCTTTGTTGAATTGTTAGTTGAGAAACGCATGCAGTCACAGTGATTATAATACTTCACTACCACCTGAATACTGTGTAAATCTGCAGCCTGGACACAATGTGAGAATGAACGTGTCTCCTAGCGTCTGCTGCCAATTGCTGTTGGCCTAAATTTCCCATAATTACCGGCTAGCCAGTGGCTAAAACTGGACCCTTTCTGGCTTGCAGACAAACTGAAAAAGTGTTTCCAAAAAATAAATAATAAAAATGTGTTTAAGTTGGTGTGTTCCTTTAACATATTAGTTAATTACAAAAAAACAACAACTTTAAAACACAATGAAACTGTCCCATAATCCTGTGTCGGTACAGACTCTCACAGAGGCCCGATCCTCCTCCCGTGAGATCATGAGGTCTGCTGATCTGTGTCCAATCAAAGTGAAGCATTGCGGACTTACGCACATGCATGGCCAACACCGCAATCTGCCAATCAGATGCTTCGGATAGAGAGCACCTGGTGACAGCATGCAAAGTATACCGATAAGGGATGTAAAATAGATTCAATTAATCTATTTAATCCAAAGCCCCAAGAGTAAGTCTGACAGCCACCAATTGGCATAGAAGCCACTATGTAAACTGTGACATTTCTCAGGAACAGCACTGCTGCCACTATATCACTAAAGATGAAGAGTGCTTTTTTAAGAATGTTTATTTATAAATTAAGTAATAGGATATCTGCTTAATTGGGTACGTTTTATTAAACCTCTAATCTCAAATTGATTCTCCTCAACACAAATGTTGCAGCTGAGGCTAGAATTTTTTTTTTAATTTCCCTATCATTATCATTTAGAGATTATGGACAATGGAACTGGGTACTTGCTAATTTTAGCTGTCTCGAGGAAGCTATGTAGTCCGTTGGAAAAATTTTGGCCTAAAATGTTAAATTTATATAAATTTCTGAAATTCACACTTTAGAAATTGACCACACAAGTCAGTATCAAGAACAACGCAGTAAACCAGGATTACAAGGGGAACACTAGATCAAAGTTAGTTATGGTTTCCAGACCTCTACCGGTGGACACTTAGAAAGACCATAATTAAATCTAATCTGGGAAAATGGAAATCTAGCTCCCTTTATGCTCGAAAGAAAATGCTCAGTCCTGAGAGACAAACAGGGTACAAACAGAGTGTTAATGTCACACAGCAAATAGACAGAAATGGGCAAGAATTCTACAGACAGACACAGAAACATAAAACCACACAAAAGAAACTTACTGTGTACCTTTTAGCTCCCGAAAAATGAGGCACAAACAAAGAAATAATGAGGGTTTACCAAAACAGAATGTTACTAATTACTCCTTACTGGGGACTGGCTGAGGTTGGTATGTGTGGCAGTCCAGAAACAGCTGATGTATTGGCTTGGGGAATCTGCTTTAACTTCGCTTAAATGTATTATTGTCGCGAGTTTTGCTACTGTGTATTTTCCACAAAATAGACAGATTGAAAACAAATATTCTCCAACATTGCTCCTTTTCCAACTAGGATAGTTTGGCATAAAATTGGCGGTAACCGTAGCAATTCTCCACAATTCCCGAATAACGGATTACTATCAGGTTTTAAAGTGAATTATTGAGTGTGCCCAACAAACCATGTATAATCCCCTGCCAGGTCTCTGTCTAACAGGGTAAGTTCTGGCATGGCACTGCCTTCACAGTTTGGTTTATCCCCCGACTGGCTCCGTTAATGCGGCATTTTGAGTACTATGACCACTTCAGCTCACTGACGTTTTTATGGTGTTTGAGTCTATGGGCTCCCTCACCTGGTTTTATCGTTTTGTATAACAGGTTTGAAGTAGTTGTAAAAAAAAAAAAAAAAAAAAAAGATGGTCTCTGCCCTGACCCATAGCCCACCCACTCTGCGGCTGCACAGAGAATGGTGCGGTTCTGTCCAACAGACTGTGAGAAGCCTGGGTCATTGGCACTCGGTAAGTCTATAGCTCAAATCGTTATATGCTCTTAAAAGAGGTTATAGCATGATTTTATCATTAGCAGTATAAACAGGGCACATTCTGGCTACATTTATTTTCAGAATACGTCCTGTATTACAGTAACTGCTGATTTAAAGCCGGGAAAACTTCACCCAAAGTTCTCCTGATGGAACTGCACGGCTCAGTTAGACTGTAAATCATTTCTGGTGCTCATCAACACTCCTTATTAGCTCTCAGGAAGAGAAACCTATAAGGTAAAGTATTCTCTACAGTTACACACCACCAGCTATAAACCAGAACAAATCCACAACATGTAGGCAGAATCACAAGAAAAATAATATGTAAATAAATAAATGACAAGTATATGTTAATGTAAACCTCGACTCGCTGGTCATTTAAAAAAAAAATGTTAATATCAGCAATGATAAAAAATAAATAAATAGGTAGTTAAAAATATATTACGCTCCTGTGCATAATCTGATAAATAGTGATTTGGAAGAAATGTAATAAGTTAAAAAAACAAGCAGGGAGTTGTAAGTGTGGCGGTGGGGATAGATGTTTTATGTTTTATATTAGTTTGCCAATGATGACTATACTTACTGTATAGACAATGTTTAACCTCAGAGGAAATGAGTTTGATTATTCCAAACCAACGATATTCTGATCAATATTATGATTTCTATGAATTGTTCATTAAAATATTTGATGTATCTTTACAAACTAGATTATTTATAAGTATTGATAAATTCATATTATATTTTAAATATGTCTCACGTTATGGCTGGGTTCATGGAGTTTTCTATAACAAGAATTGCAGACTATAAGCACCTTCCATTGGCAATTTGTTTTAACGTGATTATAGTTTAGATCATTGCAGCAAAGGGTACAAAATTATTCCTTTCTTTAATCTTTTAAAAAGATAGTTGCTTCCCAAAAAACTACTTCTATTTGTTTTAAATGATTAAAATAAAAGAATTCTGTGCCACTCCGTTACAAAAATGATTTGGATTCTGAGGCCCATCGTACCGTTGGTGGAGGGGAACCTCTGCCAATCAGAGGAACATTTTCATATCGAGGGTTACCCCCAAACAGAGCCGCCTGATTCCTATAAGAGAAAAGAAAAAAGGAATGTTTGTGAAACGCACCTAGTGTCCAGATCCGTTTTACAAAATCTTTATTCAACTCCAAAAAAGACCACATTCAATATGCTGAAGTTATCCTCTAAACTGGAATGTTCTCTCATGGTAATGATAGAGAATAAATTGGTTCAAGAACTGGGGGAACAGAGGGCACGGCACTGTCAGAATTTCATGTAAAGACTATGGTCTTACTGAAGACAACAGCAATTATACACAGATAGTATGGCACAAAAACAGCTATAAACTCACTATGATATCACTATATATAGAATTCTGGCACACACAGCTATAAACTCACTGTGATATCACTATATATAGAATTCTGGCACACACAGCTATACACTCACTGTGATATCACTATATATAGAATTCTGGCACACACAACTATAAACTCCCTGTGATATCACTATATATAGAATTCTGGCACCCACAGCTATAAACTCACTGGGATATCACTATATATAGAATTCTGTCACACACAGCTATAATCTCACTGTGATATCACTATATATAGAATTCTGTCGCACACAGCTATACACTCACTGTGATATCACTATATATAGAATTCTGGCACACACAACTATAAACTCCCTGTGATATCACTATATATAGAATTCTGGCACCCACAGCTATAAACACACTGTGATATCACTATATATAGCATTCTGGCACACACAGCTATAAACACACTGTGATATCACTATATATAGAATTCTGGCACACACAGCTATAATCTCACTGTGATATCACTTTATATAGAATTCTGGCACACACAGCTATAAACTCACTATGATATCACTATATATAGAATTTTGGCACACAGCTATAAACTCACTGTGATATCACTTTATATAGAATTCTGGCACACACAGCTATGAACTCACTGTGATATCACTTTATATAGAATTCTGGCACCCACAGCTATAAACTCACTGTGATATCACTATATATAGAATTCTGGCACACACAGCTATAAACTCACTGTGATATCACTATATATAGAATTCTGGCACACACCGCTATAAACTCACTGTGATATCACTATATATAGAATTCTGGCACACAGCTATAATCTCACTGTGATATCACTATATATAGAATTCTGGCACACACAGCTATAAACTTACTGTGATATCACTATATATAGAATTCTGGCACACACAGCTATAATCTCACTGTGATATCACTTTATATAGAATTCTGGCACACACAGCTATAAACTCACTATGATATCACTATATATAGAATTTTGGCACACAGCTATAAACTCACTGTGATATCACTTTATATAGAATTCTGGCACACACAGCTATAAATTCACTGTGATATCACTATATCTAGAATTCTGGCACACACAGCTATAAACTCACTATGATATCACTATATATAGAATTCTGGCACACAGCTATAAACTCACTGTGATATCACTATATATAGAATTCTGGCACACACAGCTATAAACTCACTGTGATATCACTGTATATAGAATTCTGGCACACAGCTATAAACTCACTGTGATATCACTTTATATAGAATTCTGGCACACACAGCTATGAACTCACTGTGATATCACTTTATATAGAATTCTGGCACACACAGCTATAAACTCACTATGATATCACTATATATAGAATTCTGGCACACAGCTATAAACTCACTGTGATATCACTCTATATAGAATTCTGGCACCCACAGCTATAAACTCACTGTGATATCACTATATATAGAATTCTGGCACCCACAGCTATAAACTCACTGTGATATCACTATATATAGAATTCTGGCACACACAGCTATAAACTCACTGTGATATCACTATATATAGAATTCTGGCACACACCGCTATAAACTCACTGTGATATCACTATATATAGAATTCTGGCACACAGCTATAATCTCACTGTGATATCACTTTATATAGAATTCTGGCACACACAGCTATAAACTCACTATGATATCACTTTATATAGAATTCTGGCACACACAGCTATAAACTCACTGTGATATCACTTTATATAGAATTTTGGCACACACAGCTATAAACTCACTGTGATATCACTTTATATAGAATTCTGGCATACAGCTATAATCTCACTGTGATATCACTATATATAGAATTCTGGCATACAAAGCTATAAACTCACAGTGATATTACTATATATAGAATTCTGGCACACAGCTATAATCTCACTATGATATCACTATATATAGAATTCTGGCACACACAGCTATAAACTCACTGTGATATCACTATAAATAGAATTCTGGCACACACAGCTATAAACTCACTGTGATATCACTGTATATAGAATTCTGGCACACAGCTATAAACTCACTGTGATATCACTTTATATAGAATTCTGGCACACACAGCTATAAATTCACTGTGATATCACTATATCTAGAATTCTGGCACACACAGCTATAAACTTACTGTGATATCACTATATATAGAATTCTGGCACACACAGCTATAATCTCACTGTGATATCACTTTATATAGAATTCTGGCACACACAGCTATAAACTCACTATGATATCACTATATATAGAATTTTGGCACACACAGCTATAAACTCACTGTGATATCACTTTATATAGAATTCTGGCACACAGCTATAATCTCACTGTGATATCACTATATATAGAATTCTGGCATACACAGCTATAAACTCACAGTGATATTACTATATCTAGAACTCTGGCACACAGCTATAATCTCACTGTGATATCACTATATATAGAATTCTGGCACACACAGCTATAATCTCACTGTGATATCACTATATATAGAATTCTGGCACACACAGCTATAAACTCACTGTGATATCACTGTATATAGAATTCTGGCACACAGCTATAAACTCACTGTGATATCACTTTATATAGAATTCTGGCACACACAGCTATGAACTCACTGTGATATCACTTTATATAGAATTCTGGCACACACAGCTATAAACTCACTATGATATCACTATATATAGAATTCTGGCACACAGCTATAAACTCACTGTGATATCACTCTATATAGAATTCTGGCACCCACAGCTATAAACTCACTGTGATATCACTATATATAGAATTCTGGCACCCACAGCTATAAACTCACTGTGATATCACTATATATAGAATTCTGGCACACACAGCTATAAACTCACTGTGATATCACTATATATAGAATTCTGGCACACAGCTATAAACTCACTGTGATATCACTATATATAGAATTCTGGCACACACAGCTATAATCTCACTGTGATATCACTTTATATAGAATTCTGGCACACACAGCTATAAACTCACTATGATATCACTTTATATAGAATTCTGGCACACACAGCTATAAACTCACTGTGATATCACTTTATATAGAATTTTGGCACACACAGCTATAAACTCACTGTGATATCACTTTATATAGAATTCTGGCATACAGCTATAATCTCACTGTGATATCACTATATATAGAATTCTGGCATACAAAGCTATAAACTCACAGTGATATTACTATATATAGAATTCTGGCACACAGCTATAATCTCACTATGATATCACTATATATAGAATTCTGGCACACACAGCTATAAACTCACTGTGATATCACTATAAATAGAATTCTGGCACACACAGCTATAAACTCACTGTGATATCACTGTATATAGAATTCTGGCACACAGCTATAAACTCACTGTGATATCACTTTATATAGAATTCTGGCACACACAGCTATAAATTCACTGTGATATCACTATATCTAGAATTCTGGCACACACAGCTATAAACTTACTGTGATATCACTATATATAGAATTCTGGCACACACAGCTATAATCTCACTGTGATATCACTTTATATAGAATTCTGGCACACACAGCTATAAACTCACTGTGATATCACTTTATATAGAATTCTGGCACACACAGCTATAAACTCACTGTGATATCACTTTATATAGAATTCTGGCATACAGCTATAATCTCACTGTGATATCACTATATATAGAATTCTGGCATACAAAGCTATAAACTCACAGTGATATTACTATATATAGAATTCTGGCACACAGCTATAATCTCACTATGATATCACTATATATAGAATTCTGGCACACACAGCTATAAACTCACTGTGATATCACTATAAATAGAATTCTGGCACACACAGCTATAAACTCACTGTGATATCACTTTATATAGAATTCTGGCACACACAGCTATAAATTCACTGTGATATCACTATATCTAGAATTCTGGCACACACAGCTATAAACTTACTGTGATATCACTATATATAGAATTCTGGCACACACAGCTATAATCTCACTGTGATATCACTTTATATAGAATTCTGGCACACACAGCTATAAACTCACTATGATATCACTATATATAGAATTTTGGCACACACAGCTATAAACTCACTGTGATATCACTTTATATAGAATTCTGGCACACAGCTATAATCTCACTGTGATATCACTATATATAGAATTCTGGCATACACAGCTATAAACTCACAGTGATATTACTATATCTAGAATTCTGGCACACAGCTATAATCTCACTGTGATATCACTATATATAGAATTCTGGCACACACAGCTATAATCTCACTGTGATATCACTATATATAGAATTCTGGCACACACAGCTATAAACTCACTGTGATATCACTGTATATAGAATTCTGGCACACAGCTATAAACTCACTGTGATATCACTTTATATAGAATTCTGGCACACACAGCTATGAACTCACTGTGATATCACTTTATATAGAATTCTGGCACACACAGCTATAAACTCACTATGATATCACTATATATAGAATTCTGGCACACAGCTATAAACTCACTGTGATATCACTCTATATAGAATTCTGGCACCCACAGCTATAAACTCACTGTGATATCACTATATATAGAATTCTGGCACACAGCTATAAACTCACTGTGATATCACTATATATAGAATTCTGGCACACACAGCTATAAACTCACTGTGATATCACTATATATAGAATTCTGGCACACAGCTATAATCTCACTGTGATATCACTATATATAGAATTCTGGCACACACAGCTATAAACTTACTGTGATATCACTATATATAGAATTCTGGCACACACAGCTATAATCTCACTGTGATATCACTTTATATAGAATTCTGGCACACACAGCTATAAACTCACTATGATATCACTTTATATATAATTCTGGCACACACAGCTATAAACTCACTGTGATATCACTTTATATAGAATTTTGGCACACACAGCTATAAACTCACTGTGATATCACTTTATATAGAATTCTGGCATACAGCTATAATCTCACTGTGATATCACTATATATAGAATTCTGGCATACAAAGCTATAAACTCACAGTGATATTACTATATATAGAATTCTGGCACACAGCTATAATCTCACTGTGATATCACTATATATAGAATTCTGGCACACACAGCTATAAACTTACTGTGATATCACTATATATAGAATCCTGGCGCACACAGCTATAAACTCACTGTGATATCACTGTATATAGAATTCTGGCACACAGCTATAAACTCACTGTGATATCACTTTATATAGAATTCTGGCACACACAGCTATAAATTCACTGTGATATCACTATATCTAGAATTCTGGCACACACAGCTATAAACTTACTGTGATATCACTATATATAGAATTCTGGCACACACAGCTATAATCTCACTGTGATATCACTTTATATAGAATTCTGGCACACACAGCTATAAACTCACTATGATATCACTATATATAGAATTTTGGCACACACAGCTATAAACTCACTGTGATATCACTTTATATAGAATTCTGGCACACAGCTATAATCTCACTGTGATATCACTATATATAGAATTCTGGCATACACAGCTATAAACTCACAGTGATATTACTATATCTAGAATTCTGGCACACAGCTATAATCTCACTGTGATATCACTATATATAGAATTCTGGCACACACAGCTATAATCTCACTGTGATATCACTATATATAGAATTCTGGCACACACAGCTATAAACTCACTGTGATATCACTGTATATAGAATTCTGGCACACAGCTATAAACTCACTGTGATATCACTTTATATAGAATTCTGGCACACACAGCTATGAACTCACTGTGATATCACTTTATATAGAATTCTGGCACACACAGCTATAAACTCACTATGATATCACTATATATAGAATTCTGGCACACAGCTATAAACTCACTGTGATATCACTCTATATAGAATTCTGGCACCCACAGCTATAAACTCACTGTGATATCACTATATATAGAATTCTGGCACCCACAGCTATAAACTCACTGTGATATCACTATATATAGAATTCTGGCACACACACCTATGAACTCACTGTGATATCACTATATATAGAATTCTGGCACACAGCTATAAACTCACTGTGATATCTCTATATATAGAATTCTGGCACACACACCTATATACTCACTGTGATATCACTATATATAGAATTCTGGCACACAGCTATAATCTCACTGTGATATCACTATATATAGAATTCTGGCACACACAGCTATAAACTTACTGTGATATCACTATATATAGAATTCTGGCACACACAGCTATAATCTCACTGTGATATCACTTTATATAGAATTCTGGCACACACAGCTATAAACTCACTATGATATCACTTTATATATAATTCTGGCACACACAGCTATAAACTCACTGTGATATCACTTTATATAGAATTTTGGCACACACAGCTATAAACTCACTGTGATATCACTTTATATAGAATTCTGGCATACAGCTATAATCTCACTGTGATATCACTATATATAGAATTCTGGCATACAAAGCTATAAACTCACAGTGATATTACTATATATAGAATTCTGGCACACAGCTATAATCTCACTGTGATATCACTATATATAGAATTCTGGCACACACAGCTATAAACTCACTGTGATATCACTTTATATAGAATTCTGGCACACACAGCTATAAACTCACTATGATATCACTATATATAGAATTCTGGCACACACAGCTATAAACTCACTGTGATATCACTATATATAGAATTCTGGCACACACAGCTATAAACTCACTGTGATATCACTGTATATAGAATTCTGGCACACAGCTATAAACTCACTGTGATATCACTTTATATAGAATTCTGGCACACACAGCTATAAACTCACTGTGATATCACTTTATATAGAATTCTGGCACACAGCTATAATCTCACTGTGATATCACTATATATAGAATTCTGGCACACACAGCTATAAACTTACTGTGATATCACTATATATAGAATCCTGGCGCACACAGTTATAAACTCACTGTGATATCACTATATGTAGAATTCTGGCACACAGCTATAAATTCACTGTGATATCACTATATCTAGAATTCTGGCACACACAGCTATAAACTCACAGTGATATTACTATATATAGAATTCTGGCACACAGTTATAAACTCACAATGATATCACTATATATAGAATTCTGGCGCACACAGCTATAATCTCACTGTGATATCACTATATATAGAATTCTGGCACACACAGCTATAATATCTCACCGTGAAGTCATTATATTTTGGAAATTCATTTTCCCAATGGGCTTACAGCACTTGATTCAGTGTCCTTGAAAAACCAAAAGTCCTTAAAATATTGTTAACCCTGACCGGCTATAATGTTCTCTGGGCTTAGTCCACTGCCCGGTTAATGCGGTTATTTAAGTGTCAGAGAGATTAAACACAAACTCCCCCACTGGCCCTCAATAACATTTAAATGATGTAAGTGATGGTATATAAATGTGATAGGGCTCTGCAGGGGCTGGGGTTTAACGCTAAGCTCCACTCTCTTTCTTGCCATGGTAAAGCAGTCACTAGCAATTTGCAAGTCTGCCTGAATGTAAAGTCAATGTAGAGTCAAGTAGCTGCACTCACATGTATTCCGCGACGGGTGCGTTTGAGACGGCCTGGGTGGGCGGATGGAGACTGGCTTGGCTGCCCAGGCTACTGCTGTAGCTGCAGAAGCTCCTGAGTTGAGCACGGTTGGGGTTGTGCACTGCAATGCGTTGAGCTTGTGGATTAAAAGGGTCTTCTTCATCAATGTCATTATATTCTCGATCCCTGAGAGTCATACAGACAAAGTTACATACAAACCAAACCAGCATGGGTGAAAAGATAACCTCACGGCTGGCAAAACATTATGGGAGTGTTGGTTGTTGGGGGCCACAATAGTACTAAACGCTGTTGCTTTTTGCCACAGTAAAATATAAAATCAATGTTATACAATATTAATATGTCACTGGAGCTGCTGATCTGGCAATGAAAGGGTCCTATTCATGTATTCATATGGTTTAAGTCCAGAAACCATGAAAAAACTTAGCTGATTCCTTATTTGCCGTTGAATGCCTACTGACTTCACATAGCACAGGGTGTTGAAACACAAAGTATTTGTTATGGAACTTATAGAGAACATTTGCTGCCCTCTCCTGGCCAATCACATCAATGCAATCTGAAATAAGTAAGTACATGGGTCACCTGGCTGCCAGTAGCTTCCACGCTCGGGGAACTGCACACACCATGGCGGTAAACGCCAACGCTGCCATGAGAGAGAACAGTGCCAGGTAAAGGAGTCCTTCCACGCCATCATAGCAGACACCTATCAGGGCCTCCAGGTAATCCTGTGACAGATGGAATTACCATGAGTAACAACGTTATGATTTAGAACAGCGACATGGGCAAACAGCCTCATCCAGCTGGGTAATATCGCACATTTAAACGGTTCTGCTGTGTGATTGGCTACCTTATGAAGTCCTCTGCAGTCCAGCAACGCAGTGATTTGGTGGAGGTTGGACTCTGATGTGTTTAGAAGAAGCTGTATTCCTAGGAGATCTTTCTGTGATTCACAGAAATAGGACACTGTTAATCACATGGATATGGCGGGACACACAGTACAGCTCAGACAGGTTACACATGGAAAGTCCATTCAGGAAGGTGATGGACAACTGGTGGCTAAACTTGGCACCACTGATCATTCTACAAATACGTTTCCCACGATGCTCAAATAGCCTTTACGAAAAAATGTATTTCAGAAGTGTCTGTGACACCAGTGAAAACCATCACAATAGTAGAAATATTTTGTAGTCATTAAATTATCTCCTTGATAATTCTATCAATACATTTTACTCTGAAGATCTAAGATCTATAAAAACCTCAGATTTCAATAGATCTATTTATGATAAAGTGGTCAAAGCCATTAACGTGCCTTTGCCTGCAGGCCAAATGTTGCTCTAAATCAGGGACCAAAATTTCCACTCGTCCATTAGACATTAGAGAGTGTAAATGTTGTACTAGTGTGAAGAGATTCTCCCTCGGTGAGTGTGCCATGGGCTCTCCAAACTCTGAGTAGTGAGTAACTTTTAGGACTTTCTAGTAACTTAGGACTTGAAATTTGGAGCCCTGCCCCAAATGACTGAGCGATCGAGTATAAAACGAACAGCACGTCTCGCCAAATATCTCCAGATCATATCATTAATGCCAATTTGGTTCCGTCAACAGAGACATTTATTTTGAAGGGTTTTTAAGATAAACACATACGTTTCTATTAAATTTTCCATCAGATCATACCTGTGCGGTGGGAAATATGGGTACTGCAAATTGGAGTAAACCTTGAATCTGAATTTGCATTGTAGAAAGTGATCTTTGGAAACTTGTGAGAGCCTAAGAAGAAAGTAAAGTATATTCGTTAAAACAGGGCTGACCTGTAAAACAGCATTAAAAAATATTGTGTGGAATGGTTTTTGTATCCACATAAAGTCTAAAATAAGGGGATCAATAGTAAGACATCAATAGAATTGCACCTTTCATGATGTGTTGCCAGCATTATGGTGGAACAGACCATATCTTGGAGAGGATACTATATAACAAACATGGACCATATCTCGGAGAGGATACTATGTAACAAACATGGACCATATCTCGGAGAGGATACTATGTAACCAATGTGTGGATTTGTGGAATTAATTTTTTTTTTTTTTTTTTTCAGTTTGTAATTTTATTGAATTTTGCATAACAAATGGGATACAGAAAGGAAGAAGGGTAAAAGGTAAAAAAAAAAAAAAAAACAACATGTCCATTCACGGGATCAGCTTATTCCAGAACCGGCATGATCTGATTTTACATTTAGTGACATTCCATTCATGTACAATATCCAATAGCATAGTTTTACAGGTGTATGTGCTATGAGTGATATCTTGAGCGGTACCCTAAAGGGCTATGGTACCCTTACGGTCTAATTGCAGGTGTGACTCTTGTCTGAAGAGCGTATCTGCATGATTGTCTGCAAGCTGTACCTCTACCCGAGGTTGGTCGATTCAACCCTAGGTTCGAAGGCGGTCTTTCTATGGCCAGTGTTGCTGAGATAGAGAGATATATATATATTGCAAAAATCCCCTGCACTCACGCTTCAATCACTTCACTGCCGGGTGCATATACCAGGGCTCCACATAACACAATTCCAAAATAGTAATGGCTGCTCTCCGGTCTTTAAAAGTTTAAAGACCAGAGAGCAGCCATTACTATTTTGGAATATATATGTGTATGTATGTACCAGCGCTGCCCTCTGTTATTGTGAGGTCTTCTGGGCTGCCCTCCCATTATACCTGGCTATCTAATACCTGTGTGGGTTGTTAGTCTCAGGCTATGGCGCTGACGGTGGATCGAAATTGATCAATTTTTGCCAATTATTATGTGTGGCATGCCTATGTTTAGGCGTAGCCGTAGACAATTGTTCGTACCTAAGGTATTGTCGTATTTTACTATACAATAGTTGTGACGGTGGACATACTTTTTGTTTCCAATGCTATGCTAGGAGGTTACGTGCTGCCATGATTACAATTATCATTAGCTGTCTATCTGGGAAAGGGGTGTTTGTAGGTAATAGTAGAAACAGACCTATATCAGGTGTGATCTTTCCTTTGAGGACCCCCAGGGAGTTACATATTTTCTGGACCTCTGTCCACAACGGTTGTATATTCGGACAGTGCCACCATATGTGACTCATTGTACCTCTGTGCTGTTCACAACTCCAACATTGTGCTGAGGATAGTGGGTGAATTTTTTTTTAGTTTATCTGGTGTGAGGTTCCATCTGTAAACCAATTTTGTGTGTGCTTCCACATGTGAGTAGCAGGATGTTATACCCTTTAGTGCTAAGATTGATCGCAACCACTGATCTTTTGTAAAGTGTGTTTGTTCCCTATTCCACTGTGCCATAAAAGAGAAGTCTGGGGTTATGGTGTTATGCCTTAGGGCTGCATAACTGAGGGATAGTCATACAGCGTCAACAACTCTTTGCTGGGGGTATCCGCATGTTGTGGGGTATGTATTACCCAGGCTTTGATTATGCTCTTTAATTGAACATGTGGAATTCAAATTTTAAGAAAAAAAATAAATAAAATTATAACAATTCTCAGTCCAGCTTCGGTTTCATTCTGTTCATTATTTCAATCTTAAAATTTGTAACTAACTTCAAACTCCTGGCAAGTCACACGTATGTGTAGAGCCATGCAAGTGAGAGGTTTCTGTGATCAGAGATCTAAACTAATTCTGAAAGGAATTTTACATAACCACACCGGCATTAGAATATAAAAGTGCAGTTTGCTCATGCAGATATTTGTTTCTTGACTGTACAGAAAAATGCTTTGAGGCAACCTCAGTCGTTGTCAGAACAGCTCCCGGTCTGATCTTTCTGAAGACATTGGGAAGAGGTTACATATTGTCACATTGTCATTTCATACACTGTACCTGTTGGAATGGGTTCCTCAGAGTCTGGCTGCAGTAGAGATAGTAATGAACGACTTCTACAAGACAAACACATTTCATCAACTTTGGCAATATTCAGAGTTACAAAGTATCCATATCATAATTCACTGGGTAAAATGTTGAATTCTGGAAGATGAATTGAGCCTGCGCATTGAAATTATATACGATTTATTTTATTTCATTTTAAAAAGGACCCATCACACACTGATAAAATATTGAAACCACTCAATACTTGTGAATAGCTTTTTTTAATGTGATACTCTAGTTTAAATACATATCACATATTTAGCATATGACACCACATTCAAGGCACACATTACATTGGTGGGGTTAGAGGTAAATATAATGGTGTGGATTCCCCCACTTAATTTTACTTATCAGACCTCACAAACATATTTGTTAAATAAATAGGGGATGTATAAACACGGAACAGATGGTTCCCCTTTAATGAAATGCGGTGCCAACGGAAGACCCCTAAAACTAGTGATTTTATTCCACAAACACAGAATCTATAGGCCCTCTTTAGAAAAGCCTTTGCAAATATTTATCTCATTATATAACCCAGCAATTAAAATGAAATGAGAACTAAGCTGTGCTGTACATTATTTTTTATAAAGCTGTGATATTTTGGACGGAGAATTCCCGCAGAGGAATGTGGATTTCTGTTAAAGTAAATGGGTTATTTTCCTAAACGACACATCTAGGGTTTTATTAAGAATAATGCCTTGGTGGGCGATGCGGGCTGGGGGTCTGTACCTGCAGTGACTTGATCCTGTGTCATGTTCATTATAAACTTGTCGGGAGCTGCACAGAAATCACCGGTTCCCTGAAAGACAAAAAAAAAAACCCCCAAAAAACCACGTAAATGAGACGTGTAACTGGGCCGCGTTTATCAGGGAATGTAAACATATTCTGTCTTTTTTTTATTTATTTTTTTATTCTTTATTTAGGTTGTGACATAGTGCAATAACATAATTGTCATACAATCTTTGAGGCTTACGCAGAAGCCAAAATTGGCATCGTATCACTTGTGTATGTTTCGTACAACAGGTGGATTTTATATGCTGTCACGTTTTATATTTTTGGGGGAACATACAGAACAATAAATCAACATAACAGTACACAAAGGGTGCATAGGACAATTCGCATAGGCCCAGTGGCAAGCGGTGGCCGCGCTCATTTGCAGAGCGGGTAACCATGTGGCAGCTCTAAGGTGCATGCCCTTAGCTACCTTTCTTGAGTCATGGCCGTAGCACGTCACTGGTATTCCTACTTTCAATTGTTTTTTTTAAATAAATTCTTTATTTTCAAAGGAACATGGATAGTGTCACATACAGGTTTTGGACATGGTGGTACACCGATGATGTCAGGTTTCTTAGTGCTGTCGTGTCGTTCAAAATAGTTTTGCTGTTGATAGCTGCTGAACACGTGCAGTTCTTAGTCTTTTCCATGTCCAAACTGGATGATTTTGTACATTGTCCGTTTTTACCGGGTGGGGGTGAACTGGGGTCTAGCTGTACCTGTGGGTTTTTAGCGTTATCTCTTCCTTTTTCTGTTGGGATGGAAGGGAGAGGGAGTACCGTAGGAGAGAAAGGAGGTGAGAAAGGGCCGGGGAGAGGGAAAAAGGGAGAGAGAAGAGAAGAAAAAAAAAGGGGGGGGCTGAGGCTAGTGAGTAATGTGGGTGCGTTCGGTGAGCTGTGCTGCCCGCCTTTTGCATTTCGTAGGTGGGGGAGAGTGGGTATTCTCACTGTTAGCTCCCTCTCTGCTCGTGTTGGGTTTCAGTTGGTCAGTCGGGGGGGGGGGCCTGGGGTGATGGTCTAGTGTCTACGGGTTTGTCCCATCGTTATGCGGTGAGAGGTCCCGCCTCTGATCCTGTTGTCTGGCCTTGGCGAACCAGTGCCGTGTCTATCGTGGTGGTTGGAGCTATGGGGCTGTGCCGTGTTGGGGCCCTATCGGTCTGGTGCTGGGGCTCAGGGCGGGTGATTGTCTTGGGTGGGGATCACCCCTTCGGTCCGTGTCGGCCCGAAGGATGACTATGGTCCTTCCGTCGGGGTCAGGGACTGCTAAGGTGCAGTTCCCGGGGTGCCCCTTCCTCTCCAGGGGCTCCTCCTCCTCTCCTATCGGGGGAATCCTGTGGTAGGGTCATGGGTGTTGTCTCCCCCCGGCCTCCCGCCCGTCGGGGCCCCCCGTGGGGGAAGTGGATGCGGGGGGTGATGGGTTGGTGGGGTTGGGGGTGTAGGGTGATGCCAGCATCCTGTGTAGGGTCCGGCGTGTGCGGAATGGTTGCGCCGTGGCATTTGCCTGGTAGTAGGGCTGGTGGGGTCGCCTATCCAGTGGGGCCTTTATGTCACTTCAATGTTGCCCAGCGTCGGGTAATTCATGTCCCAGGGGTCCCAGGTTCTATGAAACGCTTTGTAAGCGTCGTGTATCTGCGCGGTTAACTCGTCCAGATCTCGGGTTTCTATGATCTTGTTGATGATGGTTGAGAGTGCAGGAATTCGGTGGTCGGCCCACCGTTCTGCGATCGCTCTCCTGGCCGCCAGCGTTATCCTAGCCGCTAGCTTGTTCTCGCTTCTGGTGAGGGAGCCCAGAGGTTTATTGAGTAGTATCGTCCACGGCTGCGCCAGATAGGGTTTATTGAGGATCTGTTCTATGAGACTACAGATTGCCGACCAGAGCGGTTTAATTTTTGGGCATGTCCACCAGCAGTGTATGTATGAGCCAGTTTCGCCACACAGCTTCCAGCATTGGGTGTCGGGTTTTTGGCCCATTTTGTGGAGTCTGTGTGGTGTCAAGTACCACCGGAACAGCGTTTTGTATGCCTGTTCCTTGTGGGTGACGCATACTGTCAAGGAGTTTGTTGCCTCCCAAATTTCCGCCCAGTCACTCGATTCCTCCGGCGGGCCTAGGTCCCGTTCCCATGCGGCGATGTAGGTGAGGTTAATGTGTGAGGTATGCGTTGTCAGGGTTGAGTACAGGCTGGAGATTTGTCCTGGGTGTAAGGGCGCGTCAAAGCACCTTTTCTCAAATGGTGTCGGGGGTGAGGTCCCCGCTTGTTTAATCATTGGCTGTCTGGCTAGATCTCTCAGCTGGATGTATCGAAAGTGGTCTGCAGTTGTAAGTGTTTCGCTGTCCGGTAAGTCTTTGTAGTCTATGATTTCTCCTTGGTGATATAGGTGAAGGAGTCTGGAAATGTCCCTTTGGTCAAATGCGCGGAAATGTTTTGCCACCATCCCTGGTGGGAATAGTTTGTTGCGGTAAATAGGTGTTACCGGGGAGATGAAGGAGGACAGTTCGTACTTGGGGTTCAATTTGTCCCACAGCTCTAGCGTGTGAGTAATTGCCGGGGAGGTGGGTGGTGGGAGTGGCCGATGTACGGGGGGTACCCACATATATGATGATGGTAGGTCCCAACCCATGACGTCGTGCTCCAGATCCACCCATCTTTTGGTGCTCGGGGGAGCGTGCCAGTGTTGAACATGGGCCAATTGTGCCGCATTGTAGTATTGTTGGAAGTTGGGTAGTCCGAGGCCCCCGCTGGTTTTGGGGACGTACATGGTTGATCTGCGAATGCGTGGTCGTTTGCCCCTCCATATAAATTTGTCGATGGCGGTCTGAAGGTCTTTAAAGTCTTTCTTCTGTATGGGGATGGGTAGTGTTTGGAAGAGATACAGGAAGCGTGGTAATAAATTCATTTTGATGGTTGTGACTCTGCCTAGCCAAGAGATCCCCATCTTGTCCCAGCGTTGGAGGTCCTGGTGGGCTGTTTTTAAAAGTGGTCTGTAGTTGAGGTCGTAGGTGTCTTCTAAGTTAGGAGACAGTTGGGTGCCCAGGTATGTGAGGTGAGACGTGGAGATTTGGAAGGGGAACGAGTTTCGTAGGAGCTGGATTTGTCGTGGGCCCATCGCTATGGGTATGAGGACGGATTTCGTCTGATTGATTTTATACCCGGAGAAGCTAGAGTATTCGGCTATCACTTCTAGCGTGGCATGTAGGGATGGTATCGGGTCCGCAAGGGTTAAAAGGACATTGTCCGCGTACGCCGCCACCGCGTATTTCTCTTGTCTGATTTGGATGCCTTGGATGTCCGGATGGTTGCGTATGGCCTGTAGGAGTGGCTCTAGTGAAATAGCGAAGATTAAGGGTAACATATTCTGTCTTAAATACGGATATTCCTAAAACACCATCAATGTTCGTTATATTCTGGGAATATCAAAATCATCCAAAAAATATATTATAATATAAAAAAACCCTGCATCACAGAGCGCCATGTCCGAAATCGCTAGTGAGCACAGAATGCCCTGCGCCACCTTTAATAAAATGGATGTCACCATTAATTACAGTCTGGTTCTTACATCTGAAATATGTCTGGGTTGCTCCAACACCAATGACAGAAATTACGTGCAAACTGGGCAAATGTGAGCATTTTAACAAAGGCTTGCAAAAGCCGCGGAATTTCATTAGCAATGATCGGGAGACCTGGGGAGGGGGGAGCTGGTATGGGATCATCAGGGAAATCAGATCAGAGAATGGAAAGTACTCAACAAATACCCAGTCCCTTATTCCCTGGTGAGGGGGGGCGGCGGAGGGGGGGGGAGAATCCGACTGATCAGGAATTAGCCTATTGTCTTCAAGACATGAACAGGTCACGAAGTACAGGGCGATCAATAAGTGCAAGGAAAATCTTTAGGGCAATTAAGACATATAGGGGCAATCATTTTAGGTTAAGAATAATAGGGCAATTAAGATATAAATGGACAATCCTTTAAGGGCACTTGGCAAGTACAAGGCAGTTATATTAGGGGAATTGTGAGTAAAGGCCAATTATTTTAGGATTAACGAGAAAGAAGAGCACTATAATAATACGATAACTCTCACATAGAAGTAGGATACAGTCATAGAAATAGAAATAAAAGCAATATGTGGACTTCATAATGTCCCAGGACCCTGTGCTCCAATAAATAAATATATTTTTAAAAAATGATTCAATTTTATTTTGAGGAAAATAAATCTCTGTGTAGCTTTGCTGGAAAGAAAAGAAAAATTCCGGCTCACTTTCCAATGTGCTTTGTTCAAATTCTAAAAACCTAAGCCAATCCTGGCTTCAAGCTCTTAAAGGGACTCTCCAGTGCAAGTAAAACAATCCGTTTTCCTGGCACTGCAGGTCCCCTCTCCCTCCCATCCACCATCCCAGGTTGCTGAAGGGGTGAATACCCCTTCAGTGACTTACCAAAGTCCAGCCTTACCAGGGTCCGCCCACACGCCTCCCCCGCCGACGGGGGAGACCGACTGCGCATGTGCGGCCACTGGCGGGGGAGACCTAATGCGCGTGAGCGGCAGCATTAGCCCTCCCCATAGGAAACCTTTCAATGCTTTCCTATGGGGATTTTAGCGACGCTGGAGGTCCTCACATTACAAAATCTTATCGACCAAAAACACTAAAACAGTCCTACCTCCTAAGCGCCATGTATCTGATGGAGATGGTGCTGGAGGGAAACTCATAGGATGCAGCTATGAGAAAAAAAAACAAAAAAAAAAAACATACCCAATGTTTATCTCACACTTTCATGTTTCACGTAAATCCATGCCCTCTAACAGCAGTGTCCAGTAAAGCAGGAAGTCTATAGATGGGGTAAAAGGGTGGGCCACTGGTGCAAATCACGTAACTAGAACTGCTGAAAGGGGCGAACATACCCAAAAAGGGGGCATGTATGTGTCCCCATGTCTCCCAGTCCCTTAGTGTCTGTGTCCCCATTTCTCCCAGTGTCCCCATGTCACTAGGGGACACAGACATTTGGACACTGGGAGACATGGGGACACTGAGATACTAGGTAACACAGGGAGACCTGGGGACACAGACACTTGGGGACACTGGGTGACAGACACAAAGGGACACTGGGTGACAGACACGAGTAAACACTGGGAGACATGGGGCACTGAGACACTGATACATAGGGGACACTGGAGACTTGATAAAGACCTGGGTACAGGCCAAAATGTTGCAGTGTCCAATAAACCTGCTTAAATCTATCACAGTGAGTGCCTGAGATTTTTTCTTTTATACTAGGGGACACAGACACTGAGAGACAAGGGGACTTCGGGAGACTAGGAAACACAGAGATACTAGGGACACTGACTGGGAGACATGGGGACACTGGGAGTGCCCCTTGTCCCCCAGTCAGTGTCTGTGTCCCCATGTGTTTGTGTCCCCATTTCTCCCAGTGTCCCCATGACTCTGGGAGACTAGGGACACAGACACCAGGGACAGTCACTAGGGGCCACTGTGTCCCTAGTGTCCCCATGTTAAGCAGTCTCCCAATGTCTCAGTGTGCCCAAGTCTCTCACCGTCCCCATGTCTCACAGTTTCCCCTAGTGTCTCAGTGTCCCCTGGTGTCTGTGTCCCCATGTCTCCCTGCAGCCTTTCCCCCCCACCCCTCTCTTACCTGAGCTGTAGGCTGTCTCTGCTGTCTGGACTTTCTATGCAGAGCTGCTCCCCCTATGGATCAGTGATTAGAGAGAGGCAGGGATGGAGATGCTGTAACTTCTTATCCCTGCCTCTCTCCACACACACAGTGACCCCTACTGGCCAGCGCTGGTATTTCAGAATAATCTGTTTATACTGAGACTGACATTTGTATTGCCAGTATTACTGCAATACCGGCACCGGCTAGGTAGCCTCAAATACCAGAGAAATACTGGCCAGGTGGCAACCCTAAGGTAGATTTTTTTTCAATCAATGTACCTGTGACAAGACCAGTCTCGCCACATTGCATTGGAGAAGCCTGGTTGCCTGCCTGCTGCCTTTGGACTATGGCCCCATGTTAAAAGACTTTGTTTCGCCTGCAGAAAAGCTTTATTTGTGCTTTTCTGCCGGTTGTTCTGTGGATTCAATCTACCGAACAACCGCACGAATGAATAGACCACCTGGGAGCTGGAGTGTGCCGGCAATTAGCCTCCCTGAAGCTGCAGTTAACCGCGGCTTAAATTGACGAATACTGGGTAGCTGCCATTCGTATCCTGAACACGAGGTCGCGGCCATTTTAACCATGCGAATGCACAGCGGTGTTCGACGCTTAATTCATGGAACTAAAATCGGACACAGTTTTGCGCGAACACCGCTGAAGCCGCCGGCCTCCCTTCTTGTTCGGTAGAAGTACAAGAACGGCCGGTGTTCAGTAGTTTTACTTGTCTATGTAATACCCCAGATAGGAATCCCATGGAACCCATTCGCATGAAACTGACTGTGTAAAGACTTTGGCTCCATGGCGATCGAACTGTATTCATGTGGTCTGAGCGCCATTCGCTTAATAATGTGCGCTCAGACCTGAGCTATCTGGGGATATGTTAAATGTATAGTTTTAATGTAATGTGTCTTACATGGTGTATTTTAATAGTAATTCATATTTTAGTATCCCCACGTGCATAATGGCGATTTGCCTTTGTCTTGGGAGATAATTGAATTACTTCTCAATTATCTCCCAGGGCAGAGGGGAGGAAGCCAGGATGCATTGTGGGAATATACTGTGACTGTGTGTCCTATTTGTCTGCTTGTCTGTCTTTTGTCACAGTCTCCCATTTGGTCCCCTAGGGGAGTGTCCAACAGGTGGGAGACCTGCATAAATACTGGGCAGGTAGCCCTCATTAAACAGACCACTGCTTGACCCTCAACACGGAGCCTTGTCTCGTCTTTGGGGGGATTTACTGAATGCCGATAGAGACTGATTGCTAGGAGTGTAAGCCGCTTGGATGCTTTTCCTATTCGTCTGCTAGCAGCGATTCGTATGGTTCCTGTTCGTGTGTATGGAGTGCTATATTGGATGCCGTTCGGGAGTTTGGAGCATTCACTTATTGGCGGTTCGTGTGTTTGGTGTTCTACAATAGCTGTGCCTGCATCTCTGGAAAGGGGGACGATCGCCTAAACGGTTTTTACCCCTTGAGTGCAAAACGGTCCGTTACAGTACCTATTCCATGGGCATGGGCCTGGAGCTGCAGCTCCATCAGCCCCTATGTTAATCTGGCCCTGGCTACAGTAAGCCCCCACCAGTTGCATTCCGGATCCATCAGCCACCAGGCAGAACCTATATTGGACTAAATAGACTCAAGTTAACTTTTTCCAATTACTTATTATTTTATTTATTTTATTGCACATAGTGCATTTCATTGATTTTACTCCATTCAATAAAGTATCTTTTTGGGAATTGAGCAGTCCAATTTGCCTTTACTCCAGAAGTCCTAAAGATCATACAAGAACAACTGGAAGAAGGATGGGGACATCCTATTAAGAGACCCTCTGCACTACCCAGAGAGCCATATGCTATTATTTGGCTCCAGGCTTGTGAGTACTTGATACCCTACACATCTATACATTGTGTGTACTGGCAATACTGTACTATATTATTTTGTCTTTTTTTAGAGACATCAGATGTGTGATCCACCTATTGTATGTATTAAATGTTAAGCAGCGCTTCACCCCATACAAAATGCAAGAGGAAATATTTAGCTCTACTTTTTCTCTTTTTTTGGGAGGGGGTTGGACGGGAAGAAGGGTGGGGGTATAGTAGGGCTATATATATGCCTGATGGCTGTTTCCATTGTCTCTATTCGTGAGAAACTTAACCCCTGTTAAATTTATCTGTATGTAAAGATTTCACCTAATGTTCCTATGCATTTGTGTGTTACACACGGATACCGCTAACACGCTGTTTCAAGTTTCACGAACAGTGGATTACTACCCTGTTCATGAAATGAACAAAAGACCGAATGGGAGACGCCCCCAGAAGGTTGCGTGCCCCTTGTTAGTAAAACCGAAACATTGTATCCATCCGTTAACGAGCGTTCTGTGTGTGGCCGCCGTTCATGTACCGAACACGTGGCGGCGGCCATCTTTGCTTTGTTAGAGTTCAGCGGTGTTTGGTCGTCGAGTGCCTGGAACCGAAATCGGCTACTTGATTTCCCAACACCGCTGGACCATAACGGTCGCTGCCGGTTCCATTCTCCTCTTCTTAGGGGTTTGTAACCAGCGGTTTTGTTGCGTCAGTCTTGGTATATTTGGAGCTGGGATCCCGCCATACCAATCTTAGATCTGGATGTCAAGAAGGTCGAACTCCGGCAAGAATGCAGGTGCATGGTTGACTGATGCGATGGTGCGCGTGTTTCCCTTGTGCGTTGCTGTGAGTGAGAAGGGGAAGTCTCAGCGGTATCTCATGTTTCGTGTGCGGAGCTGGTCGGTGATTGGCTTCAGAGTACTGAGGGCTTGTAGTGTCAGCCAGGACAGATCTGGGTACACTGCTATGGGCGCAGCGTCGAACAGGAGAGGTTGTTGGGACTCTCGCAGTGCCTTGAGCACGCTATTTTTACATTCATCATAATGCAGTCTCCAAACCACATCCTGGGGTAAGTCGGAAGAGTTGCCTCATGGTTGTAGGGCTCTGAGGGCCCTGTCAACCCAGTATGTGTGGGTCGGCCTAGTATTAAATTGAAGAGCTCCTGTAATATGACTGCGAGATTTTCATGGTCGTTTTTGGGAAGGCCTTTCACTCTTAGATTGTTATGCCTCCCTCTATTATGAAGATCGTCTAGAGAGCGTTGCATATATGAGAAGTGTTCATTTTGTGCTTCCATATTTTCTTGCAGGACTTTCAGTTGGGTCTGCCTCATGTCCCTGTCATCCTCTAGGGAGCATATTCTTTGTATGGAGTGTTGGAAGTCAGCCCCTATTGTGTCCAGTTTGGTCTGGAATAAGGCCTCCAGTTTGTTCAACATGTGGGCTAGGTCCTGCTTGGAGGGTAGCGCTTGAAGCATCTCTCTGATGTCGGATCCTGAGGGGCTCGATGGTGAGGAGCGGAGTCCGGCGCCATATTGGGGCCTACCAGATCGTATTGTTTGCTCCGCCGTATCCCTAAAGTATTTAGTCAAGGCCCCGGATTTCCCTGCAGGGGTCTTGCCTGTGGGTTGATGTCCAGCAGTAGTGCGTTTTCGGTGTCACAGTAGATTGTAGTGCCCAACGGCAAAGGATTTGCTTTTCGATTTGGAGGAGCTCAACTAGCACACATCCATGCTGTTCGGCAGTCGGATCTGCCCCACCATTTTTCCCCCCTACATTTACCTAAACTGACCTTCCAGTCTACCGATCAAAATGAAAATGACTTTTTAATCAAAATAGTATGCCTGATCTTTAAAAAGTCAAACAAGTTTAAGCATGTTTAAAATTGCAAAACGTGTTTTTAAAACCACAGTAAAAGAGTCAAGCTTTTGCCTTACAATACATATAGACTAAGCATGTTTAAAACGCAACTTTTTACAAAAAAAAAAAAATCTATAATACATTTTTAGCAGCAAGAGTAATACAGAGACAAACAGACGTATCCTTGAAGAATCAGAGCAGCTTACGTTGCCATACACTATGGCTAGTACTGAAACCGTTAATTAATGTTAGGTAACGTGTGCCACAGTTTCAGCCATTCATTAAGCTGTTGCAGAGTGCAGGACACCGAGATGTATAAGTTGGCCAGTGATAAAGGGATTCAGGTGATAAATGTCATGAGAGTCTCTCTGGGAATGTGTGACAATCTAATTAATAAATTCATAATCCCACTAATGCAGCAGTGTCTGGGGGCTAAGGGGGCAGTTAATAGATTGCATGCTCTGCCACCCAGCTCTCTCCGTTAATTCTCTGGAGAAAGAAAAGACACTGATTCATTATTGTAACAAGGGGATGGGACGTGATGTGTGGGTCGGGAGGTGACACAATCCACTAATGGAGTCTCTTCCACAGATGGGACTAAAAGTAAATCATAACAAAGCTATGAATTTATTCAGGACTCAGAAATCAAGTGCCATGCAGAGCATGACAAGACGGGAAACGATAAATGATGGACTGAGAGGATACAGGACTCCGGGTGAGGAAACTTTGGGGTACAAAAATTACAAATACAGGAAAAAGAAATAGGGAGAGAGAATGACTAGAATTGCTGCAGAGAGTGCAATATAGTGTCATGCAGCAGAGGGCATCATATCACCAGCAGCACAAGCAGAGAGGTAAGAATGGATAAAATTATTTATTAAAAATCATCCTCCAGTCTCGCAGGCGTTATAGGTGCTCCTGATTCCACAAGCCATTAAGTTCAGGGATTTCAGCTCTTTTTCCTAGTCTACTCAGTTGGGCTTCATGACAATTTGCATGGACTTTCACAAGGTCTACTTTTCAAGATTACGAATTCTCACTTCTCTGAGATTAATATGTTGTTTGTAAACCAATTCTATTACTCTACCTTATAGGGAAAACTCCAACAGATTTATGGCTGGCGACAGTTGGGTCACAGGGAACACCTATAGATATGTTGTGGAATTGTCCATGGGTACGTAGTTACTGAGTAAACATCAAATCATGATCTCAGGTATTTATGGGCCCTTTGACTTGGATTCTTGGGCTTTCCGCTTGTCCAAGACCACCGACAATCTACCTGAACATTCCCAAAAATTGGTGAATAAAATCACACTGGCGGCGTGTTGGATGAATATACAAGTCTTGATTATGTCAGAGGTTAAGAGTAGGATAGACTATAACTTTCTGATGGACAAATTAACGACTTTGTTCCACAATTCAATGAAATCCTTGACTAGGGGCGTGGTTCCGGCTCTAACTGAGATGGCCGTGTAGAGGGAGAGCTCCGCACCACCGGACCCTGAGACAGCTTATAATACGCAGTAAACTCAGCTAAATAGGTCGCAATAAATGACCAGAGCAGCCCCAGACCCCAAGGAGCCTCCAACAGGGCCCCCTGGACGGGTTTCTACAACCACAACCGGGCACCAGCGGAAAGCTGGGAAGCCCCAAAATGGCGCCGACATCTCAGTCAGGGTCGGATGGCACAACCCTCGAAAGAATTGAGGATAGGCTGCGGAGCCTGACTGCCTCCATGGCCACAAAAGATGACCTCAGGACACTTACCACCACCATTCAAGACACTCTAAGAGCAGAAATGGCGGGGATCCGATCGTAGGTCGCATCACATGCAGGCCGCATCACAGCGGCGGAAGAGGTGTCTGAGGCCCTCACAGTGCGCACTGCATCTATGGACGCAGAGATAGCGCGCCAAGGCACGATGCTACTGTCGACGAGACGGCACCTCGAGGAGGTGGATAACAGAGGCCAGAGGTGCAATATCTGCATCCGCGGAGTGCCGGAGGCTGAGGGAGCAGAAAATGTCGAAGAGATACTTACCGAACTCTTCCAAACCCTTCTACAGCCGACCTTACCACATCACATGGAGTTCGAGAGGGCACACAGAACGCGGCCCAGAACTCTGGAAGAAGGGCAGAGAGATCTCATATGCTGCCTACACTCCTTCCCAATTAAATATGCCATTATGAAGAAGGCCCGGGAAAGACCAACATGGCCCTACAGAGGCACTCAAGTGGCACTGTACAACGACCTGTCCCCCATCACATTGGAGGCCCAGCGGGCTCTCCGTCCAGTGACGACCGCATTAAGGGAACGCAATATAACATACAAATGGGGGTTCCCATTAGCCCTGATGGCCAGACACCGCAATGGCTGGATCTCAATACGCTGGCCTGAAGAAGTACCAAGGTTCATGGAGGAACTGGGCCTTCCGACACAGGTCGTCCCCAACTGGATCCTGGGACCATCGCCCCCTCCGCAGAGAACACAGAGAGGACCCAGGCGGCGAGAAGCACGATCCCCCTCCGCTCAGCCTGCCAGACGGCGCAGGAACCCGACATCCCTGGAGGAGTGAGTACCTACCCACCCGAGATGACATCAGTACCCCAGAAACCTGACCCATGCTGCCTCCAAAATTAGACCCTATAACGAGAGCTGCTGGAGACTCCTTGAAGTGGCTGGGCAACTGTGAACTGCACCAACCCCCGATGATTGGAACACCTCAGGTACGCTGGGTCACCACTCGGGGGATCTTGGGTGGGGGGTGGAGGGGGACATGGGACCGCGGGCACACACCCGCTGGGTTACAGCCATCATGACTGCCCATCTGCCCCCCCTAAATTAGCACTCCAAGGGACACTTCTCCACAGAGGCCTGGGTCCACCTGTTTGGGGAGGGGGCTAACTGGGTGAGGGCATGGTCGAGCACTACGACAAACTGAGTCCCGATCTGCATTCAAGACACTGTCACGTGGATATTTCATGATTTTGTCACCGGTGTTTACAAGCGTATACCTATACATGCAGGATCCATGCCGCAGAGGGGGAGGAGGCACACGGGAAAGCTATAGGCTATATTTTGTAGGGGGGTGAATGAGAGGTAAGGGAAATAGGACGACGCATCTCACCACATACGACCTCCCACCACAGAGGCGCGACTATCACCGCTAAACGTGGGACACCCCCCCTTTTTTGGGGGGACACGGGTGGGAATCTCGAGGAGGGAGACATTAACTCCACACCCTCACAGCCAACTGGAAACCATGCCAGGTATTGCACCACTGATCAGGAGGGAACTCACAGACCTACATAGAGGGACACCTGAGTGACAAACAGGGGGACAGAAGCTACTAGACCGGAAGACACTGCAACCCAGGGCCCGGGGGGAACCCGGCACACACACGACCTGAGTAACAAGGGGGTACTCAGCGGGAATATGTTGGAAATGAGCAGATGCTGGTAGTCAGAGGGTTGGATGGGGGATACCAGGGGATACTGAAAACTCAACGTTGAAATTTGTTTTGTAATTGTTAAATGCACTATATAACTAGGATATGAACACACTCCTTTAGTATGAGTTATCACTAATAGTTAAACATTGAGACCGAGCGATACTCGACAGGAATACCATGGAAATGGGCAGACGCTCACCATTGGAAGGATGGATGAGGAATGCCAAAGGTAACAGAAAACGCTATACTGAAATATGTTTTGATAATGTCACTGCAATATATAACTACGATGTGAATATAACCCCTTAGTACACCCCACTGCTGAAAATTAAGCATTTAGGCCGGGGGATGATCGGCAGGGCCGTGTTGGAAACAGAGAGAGGGCTCACCGTCTAGGGGGTACATGGGGGAGACAGGGGATACTGGGGCGGGAAACATTAACGCTATCTGATGTACTGGCAATGTTATCGAGACATACAATTGAGACGCTATGGCGCACCCTCTACGTAGGGAAAAGCTGATAGCCTGACACTAGCTACAGGGGGTCGGGTGGGGCGGACAGATGAGTTGACCATATCCTTTGGCGGAGCCTGACTCGCGCTTCCCAAAACACACACTTGTGCTAAGAGCAGTGCAGCCAGGCTGTAGACACTCTTGACTCCTGGGCAGGAACCGGCGCAATACCCTAATAGTGCTGGTTGCAGCACGAGAACCCCCCCCCCACCCCATCTCCCTACAGGGGGGCTAAATTTCGGGATTAGCCCGACACCAGGGAGGACACCCACAACCCGGGCACACTGCTCCTTTTAACTACAACAGACCTCGGCTGACCCCACTCCCCAGGAACCTGGGCCCTGGACTGTCTATGAAACCTTAAACGCTACTTTTCCATCCCTCTCGTCCTTCTCCCCCCTCCCCACTCCACCTTTTCCAAGCTGATCTGTGTCGGGGGCGCGTGCCCTGACAGGTACCCCAAAGGGACTAACAGGATCTTGGATACAACACGGAACTAAGAAAGAACACACCATGAGAATAGCCTTCCCGAAAATACGCCCCTGAGGGTCCTCACCCAGAACTGCAGGGGCCTCAATATACCTGAACGCAGGACCCACCTGCTGAGGGAATTGAAGAAAAAGCACATAGCAGTGGCCATGATCCAGGAAACCCACTTCAAGGAAGGCGCGGCACCTAAACTACAAAACAGGCATTACCCAAACAATTATTTCTCCAACCATTCGACGGCTCAAAAATCAGGGACAGCCATAATACTAGCGGCCGAGCTTGAATTCAAAGAAATAGAGCGAGCACAAGATTCACAAGGACGGTACCTCTTCTTAAAAGGCGTCATAGCAGACAGGATATACACTTTGGCAAACATCTATGTCCCCAACCGAAGACAAGCCCCCTTCCTCCAAAATGCACTGCACATACTGGAGGACTTCACGGATGGAATACTGATTGTGGGGGGGGACTTCAATGTACCCTTGGACCCAGTGCTAGACTCATCGGGACATAGCTGTATTCCACAGGGTAGCATAAGTTCTATCCGTCGATCGCTGGAAGACCTGAGGTTGGTTGACTGTTGGAGAACGCTCAATCCATCGGTGGAAGACTATATCTATTATTCCACCCTTCACAATCGCTATTCATGCATAGATTACCTCTTCATTACACAAGAGGGACTTGCCCGCCTACTTAGAGCCGACATCGACCCAGCTACGTGGTCGGATCATGGCTCGGTCAGGATGAAACTGGAGTCCCCCATGTTCCGCCCATCAACTTGGACCTGGAGACTTAACGAGGCACTCCTATTGGACCCAGGCACTAAAGAACAGATAAACCAAGAGCTAGAACACTATTTTAGAGAAAATGGCCTACCGGAGGCATCTCTGATAACCGTATGGGAAGCTCATAAGAGCATTATCTGCGGCATACTTATTCGCATTGCATCGCAAACACGAAAAGCAAATGTGGTTGAGATGACTGACCTGTACCAAAAGATATCAACACTGGAAAGCCAGCACAAAAGGTCCCAATTAAATGGAGTCTACGGGGAACTGATGGAACACAGAAGAAAACTTAAAGAACACATCATAAAAAAGCATCTCCGAAACCTGCAGCGCACAAAGGACTTTTACTATGCCCACGCTAATAAAGGGGGGAAATACTTAGCAAGGCTACTAAAGGGTCCCATGCCCCGTAGACAAATACGCAAACTGCGCCTTGCCTCGGGGGAAGTGACCCCCTTTCCACAGAAGATCGCCGAAGAGTTCAGGACCTTCTACCAGACCCTTTACAATCTACACCCGCCTTCGGGGATAGCCCGAGACGTAAGCAACACCACAAACATAAGGGACTACTTGTCCAACACTATCACCAACATGATTAGTCAAGAATCAGCGTCAACACTCGACGCACCGATCAGCACAGAAGAGCTGGCGGCGGCACTCAAAGTGACCAAATCGGGCAATGCACCGGGTCCAGACAGCTTCTCGACTGGATATTATAAGAGCTTCTCAAGCCTAACCAAAGCTGCCATGGCTAACCAAAGCGAACAACGCTGTGGGAGACGGAGAGAGCCTAGGCGCAGAATTCCTGGCTGCGACCATTAAAGTCTTGCTTAAATGGGGAAAGGACCCACTGTCATGCAGCAGCTATCGTCCCATCTCGTTGCTAAACGTAGATGCCAAATTATTCCTGAAAGTTATAGCGAATAGGCTCAACCACCTCCTCCCAGAACTGATACAAGTAGACCAGACGGACTTCATCCCGGGTAGGGAGGCCAGGGATAGCACATTACGACTCTTCTCAATTCAACAACACACAAGGAAGACAAAGACCCGACTATTACATTCTAGCATTTGATAGAGTCGACTGGGCGTACATGATGGCGACCTTGCAACAGATGGGATGCGGGCAGAGGCTCCTCGCATGGATATCAGCCTTATATAGCAAACCACGCGCGACTGTGAGAGTCAACAGGGCCATGACAGCTGATTTTGCTATCAGCAATGGCACCCGATAGGGATGGCCACTCTCACCGCTGCTGTTCGCAATGTCCTTGGAACCACTACTACAGGCAATTCGCCTAAACCCAAATATTCAAGGGTACAACTGGCAAGAAACACATCAAAGTGGCCGCATACGCGGACGACCTCCTTTTTTTCATACAGAACCCCAGAACCACACTGCCGTGTCTCCTCTCAGAATTAGATAAATTCGGAAAGATATCGGGGTTCAAGCTTAATCTCTCAAAATGCGAAGTCTTGAACATCACAATCCCTACAGAAGAATACATATCCCTAGAATCGCAATTCACATTCCGCTGGTGCTATGGCAAGATGAAGTACCTGGGCATATGGGTGGCCACAGACTCAGAAGATATATACCGATTCAACTTCACACCTCTTCTAAAGACAATCCTCGCTGACCTGACTAGACGGTCGTACCCACGCGTAACCTGGCACGGAAGAGTGGCGGTGCTCAAAATGAATATACTACCGAGAATCCTATACCACATGCAGACTATTCCACTAGCTATACCAGGGATCTTCTCCTCCTTAAAAATGTCGATAATTAAATTTGTTTGGCATGGCGAACGTTCCAGAATCCGACACGACATCCTTTGCCAACCAAGGAACCACGGGGGACTAGCACTACCGGATCTTAAGAAATATCACCAAGCTACGGTAATGCAACATATACTGGACTGGCACTTGGAACCTACGACGAAACAATGGGTAGAGCCTGACAAAGGTCTCATCGGACCAACGCTCGAAATGAAGATATGGCGGGGCCAGGGAACTGGTGACCCAAAACAATAACGAGGGGTTAATACCACAAACGATCCTTAGCTGGAGGTCACAGAGACCAGAGCCACGTATCGCCTAAACCCAGCCTAATGATTCCGCTCACACATAACTGGGCCATAGGAGGGGTACTCCCCCCCTGGGGCATGGCCCATTCCGAGTACAAGGAAATATATCCCCATTCATAAAGCTCTAGAAGGGGGCAGGCTCCGGGACCTAACCTCACTGCTGGGAGAAGAACCAAGGACCCCCTCACGATACTCAGATACCTACAACTGAAACATTATTACGAAACGATGCCACATAAAGACCGCCTGCATAGTGAACTTACCTGGTTCGAGGATCTCTGTGACGAAGGCTTCCCATTAGACCACGCAATCTCGGCACTATCAACACTTAGTTATAGGAGATACAACCCAGACCTTTCGTCGCCAGTGGGAAGGACAGCTCGGAAAGACACTTACACCCTCACAATGGGATACGGCATTGCTATGGCAGCAGAAAAGCTTTACGAGTTCATATTATCAGGAGGTGAACCACAAATTGCTCTCCCTATGGTACAGAACAACATCCCTGTTACACCGGATCTTCCCATGGATCACCCCGATATGCTGGAGATGCCAGGCAGAACGTGGCACATTGATACATATATGGTGGGAATGCAGGGACATCGTCCCATACTGGGTAATGATTAAGGACACCGTGACCAATATCCTGGGACACATACCGGACTGGAATGCAGAACTGGCCCTGCTGCACATCTCGACGCAATCTATCCAGTCGTACAAAAAAATAATAATTTAAATTCGATACTGCGTCACCTGTTAAATGCAGCCAAAGTGAACATGCCGGCACACTGGAAAAAAGTGGTGGAAAACATCCAAGGAGCAGAAGAAATACATGCCTCCCTGACAGGAAGCGGAACAAAACATACAGAGATGTGGCTACCATGGTTCCTATATATAACCCGTTACAGGCAAGACGAGGACGCTCCCGAAGCCACTAACGGGGCAACAGCAGACACGAACCCTGCTTAATACAGATCACTCCCTGCACCCTCTCATTATACCTAAACCCTGTTCACACCCCTCCTATCCTCTCACCCATTAGACTAACAGATCCTGGGGCCCAGGGGTGGAGGTCGGAGAGCCACACCACCAGACATAGGACATGCTAACCTCCGAAAAAGGATAAGCACCCAGTTAAAAGGTGATGTGGGAGGCTATCCGATCCATAGAGAACACGAGATATGCCTTGCTGCACATACCATCACCGAAAAAGTAGATGGAAGGAAATACACACACATACAAAGCATACGATTGAACATTACTTAGATCTACGCCATACTCTCCTTAAGATATTAATGATGCACACACCTATAATGCAGTATAGAAAGCTACACACGAGAATCAACAACATCAGCAACAGCAACATGAAGGACACGACAAGGGAACCACGCGAACCGCAGACTCTGCCATAAGGATTAGCGACGACACCCATAGCCTACCAATTAAGCGAGAAAGACTAGGGCATCTCCCACACAATCTGCTAGTCGACACACGGAAACTATTTCTCACATTAATAGATCAGGAAGAGACTTCGACCCGAAGCGCAATGCATAGATAAACAGGTGAATATCTGATTAAATACAATACTAGTAACGATATATGACCCAGTAAACTCCATCACATCCGCACGGTAATGCATGCCCAGCAACACCAATAAGGACCTGTGAGTCCGAATTATACCTGGGCCTGCGAGCCACTTTACCTGCAACTATTCAGATATCCCTTCTGTCTGTACACAATGCATATTGTCGAACCGTATACATACTATAATTGTGGAGACCTGCGAGTCTCAATGTTATATTTAAACAATCTTCGCAAATAATAAAAACATTAAAAAAAAAAAAGAAATCCTTGACTAAACCATGGACTATATGGGAGGAATAGAAACACTCGGGTGTAGGATAACCTAGAATGTGTGTTGCGGTGGGGTGTTTACATCTTCTGGTTTCTGTATCAGTTTTCTTTTTTTGTTGTTTTACTTTAAGTGTAAAGACTAGCAGAAGTCAGATATGGATTATTATTATTATGTTATTTATATAGCCCCATCAAATTCTGCAGCTCTTTACAATGGGTGGACGAACAGACATGTAGTTGTAACCAGACAAGTTGGACACAGGAACAGAGGGGTTGAGGGCCCTGCTCAATGAGCTTACATGCTAGAGGAGTGGGGTAAAATGACACAAAAAGGTAAGGATAGTATTAGACTAGTGACAGTTGCAGAAGAGGAATCAGTCGGGAGCTATTAACAGTTTAATTGATATGCTTTTATGAAGAAGTGGGTTTTTAACGATTTTTTGAAGGAGTGGAGACTGGGTGAGCATCATAGGAGGAGGGAAGCGAGTTCCACAGGAACGGTGCAGCCCTCGAGAAATCTTGAAGGCAAGCATCAGAGGTGGGAGTACGGACAGAAGATAGACGTAAGTCTTCAGCAGATCGTAAGGGCCTAGACGGGACATACTTGTGTATAAGGGAGCAGCATTATGAAGCGATTTCAAAGCAAGAACCAGAATTTTAAATTGAGCTCTATATTTTATAGGAAGCCAATGTAGGGACTGACAGAAGGGTGAGGCATGGGAGGTGTGGGTGGACAGGAAGATGAGCCTCGCTGCCGCATTCATTATGGACTGTAACGGCGCAAGTTTGGAGCACGTAAGACCACCGAGAAGTGGATTACAGTAGTCAAGGCCCATCTGGCGTTAAGTTGGGGCGGATGCGCTTAATGTTTTTGAGATGGAAATGACAGGATTTGACGATAGACTGAACATGAGGTGTGAAGGAGAGGTCGGAGTCAAAAGAGAACACCTAGGCAGCTAGCCTGCATGGTGGAGCTGATGGTAGCACCGTTGACTTGGAGGGAAACAGACACAGGAGTAACAACACTTGAGGGAGGAAAGACCAGAATTTCAGTTTTGGTCAAGTTTAGTTTAAGGAAGTGGGCAAACATCCAGTTAGAAATAGCAGAGAAGCAGTCAGTCAGAGACACTAGTCAAGAGGGACGGGGAGAGATCAGGAGAGGACAGGTAGATTTGCGTATCATCTGCATAGAAATGATATTGGAAGCCAAAGGAGCCAATGAGTTTACCAAGGGAGGCAGTATAGATGGAGAACAGTAGGGGACCAAGGACTGAACCTTGGGGGACACCAACAGAGAGGAGTTGGGGAGAAGATGCAGAGCCAGAGAAAGAAACTTTAGTATTGGGGTTACAGTTGCATGTTTGAAGGGCAATGGAAATATACCAGAGGAGAGAGAGAGAGATTGAGAATTTTAGTGAGAGGTGGAGAAAGAGAAGAAGACAGAGTACAGATGAGATGCAAGGGGAAGAAGAAAGATGAGAGATCTCTTCCCTGATTGTAGAGATCTTATCAGTGAAGAGAGTTGCAAAGTCTGAGGCGGTCACGTTAGTAGGTGGAGGAGGAACAACAGGGTGAAGAAGAGAGTTAAGTGTGTCAAATAGTCGTTTGGGTTCGCGGGAGAGTGTGGTTATGAGGGTATTGAAGTAATTAACTTTTGCAGAGGAAAGAGCCAAGCTGTATGGGCTCAGCATAAATTTATGCTTTAGAGATATTTAGAGATTTACGCATTGAGAGAGATATCGTTATTGATTGTATTCCGTAACCTTAGGAAATGATTTAGGTTTAATACCCAGTCTCTCTATGGTACTGGATTACTGAAAGCTTTACTGAATGCTTACCCAATCGAAAAATAAAGAATTAGAATAATAGCAAGTCTCCTCCCTGCCCCCTGATCCTCTCCTACCCCGAATACTTGATATCACTCAAAATAAGGGGAATTTGAAAACTAAAGATCTGCTTCTGTGAGCAGAGCTGGCAAATTTTAATGTGAATTTTTTTTTTTCAAATTTCTTTTCTACTGGATTTGTTTAGAGTAAATCCTCTTGGAATTTGGTGTTTGATAAAGATAAAATTAGCATTTTATAAGGGATTATTAACATGCAAGAATTACTGATTTGAAATTTAGATTGAATTTGATCATTCAGTGAATAACCCGAACACTCTTTAGCCATGACACTTATCCATCTTGTGTGTTGTGTTTTCACGTTTATTTCGTTCGGTATAAAACATGAAAGCTATACATTAAAAGAACGATTATAACAACTGTCAGCATTCCATTACCAAAACACATGAAAACGCCCCAACGCAACGGTGTACTTGTGCAAGGAATACATTAGTGACCGCTGTTAAATGATTAAAATGAATGAAAATGGCCACTTTGTAATCTCTTTAGAAAACCCAAGGGATTGTTCTAAAACCACTTGGGGCCAATCTCACAACCCTTGTTCCTCTGATGATGCTTAGCCTTTAAGATCACGCTGCCTACCACCTGAGATCAGATACAGAATGTCAAAGAAAATATATTCCAGGAAGAGAATGGTGAGAAACGCTTGCTAGGCGAGTATAATGGCCGCAGGATCGCTAACCGTGATGAGCTTAAAGTGCCTGAACTGTCATCGTAACAGGTTCGGTCAGTGGAAAGGCATGATGTACGAGTGTTTACATTGCAGAAATGTAAGCGCAGATTATAGATCCACATTACAGCGAATCACCCCCCTCCCTAATGAGTAACCCTTGGAACCCCAGACTCTCACAGAGTGAAAACACTGGATGTTTAAATTCACTAGTTGGATTCATCACGATAAAGTGGATTCAGACTAATTCATGCCTTGGGGAATGAGTGGACCATTTAAAGTGAGAGAATTGCCAAACGCTTTGTGTCCATGATACTTAATGTGCACTTACTATGATTATTCTGCTGATACAGTTTATCAGATAAAGCCTGTTCTATGCTTCTACCTCTCTCAGATTCTGCCATGCATGTTGGAGAACTCCGTGGAAAAACCACAGAGAAATAGCCACCTTTAACAAAGCTACACTACAGCCTATGCTGGCTCTATAGAGCGAGTAATGACTAATTCTGTGGGCGATTAAACACGCAGGGTTCCAGTAGTATCATTTTACTTGGAGAGGAAGGACCCCTACATTACTCCTTGGCTCTCTCACCACGCTATCTGGCTATTTGACGCTGTCTGGGTAACAAAGTTCAATTAAAGGGACGGCTTATTAATATGGCTTGGGGGTCCCTGCTGTCGCTGGAGTACTTGGATGAAAAAGTTATAATGCAAAACATTTCAGTGAATTGCTCCAATTTCATGAAAAAGAAAATTCTTTGTCTGGTAGCAATAAAATGCTGGTACATAGATACAGTAGCTCACATTTTTGTGAATATTTTATTATATCTTTTCATGTGACAACACTGAAGAAATAACACTGCTACAATGTAATTTAGTAAGTGTACAGCCGGTATAACAGGGTAAATCTGCGGTCCCCTCAAAATAACTCCACACACAGCCATTAATGTCTAAACCGTTGGCAACAAAAGTGAGTACACCCCATAAGTGGAAATGCTCCTTCTTTCTCCCATTCTACATTTACTCTGCTCCTTCTTTCTAACTCGCTAGTGTACTCTGCTCCTTCTTTCTCCCATTCTACAAGTACTCTGCTCCTTCTTTCTCCTTAATGGAAAAACTCTGCTCCTTCTTTCTCCCATTCTACAAATACTCTGCTCCTTCTTTCTCCCATTCTACAAGTACTCTGCTCCTTCTTTCTCCTATTCTACAAGTACTCTGCTCCTTCTTTCTCCCATTCTACAAGTACTCTGCTCCTTCTTTCTCCTATTCTACAAGTACTCTGCTCCTCCTATTCTACAAGTACTCTGCTCCTCCTATTCTACAAGTACTCTGCTCCTCCTATTCTACAAGTACTCTACTCCTTTCTCCTATTCTACAAGCACTCTCCTCCTTCTTTCTCCTATTCTACAAGTACTCTGCTCCTCCTTTCTTATATTCTACAAGTACTCTGCTCCTTCTTTCTCCTATTCTACAAGTACTCTGCTCCTTCTTTCTCCTATTCTACAAGCACTCTCCTCCTTCTTTCTCCTATTCTACAAGTACTCTGCTCCTTCTTTCTCCCATTCTACAAGTACTCTGCTCCTTCTTTCTCCTATTCTACAAGTACTCTCCTCCTCCTATTCTACAAGTACTCTGCTCCTCCTATTCTACAAGTACTCTGCTCCTCCTATTCTACAAGTACTCTGCTCCTCCTATTCTACAAGTACTCTCTCTCCTATTCTACAAGTACTCTACTCCTTTCTCCTATTCTACAAGTACTCCTTCTTTCTCCTATTCTACAAGTACTCTGCTCCTTCTTTCTCCTATTCTACAAGTAATCTGCTCCTTCTTTCTCCTATTCTACAAGTACTCTGCTGCTTCTTTCTTCTATTGTACAAGTACTCTGCTCCTTTATTTTATCCCCTTTTTTCTATTTTTCTTCCCTTTTTAAAAAACTTTTTGGGATCTTTTCCTTATCTTCTTTTTTATGCTTTTCTTTTACCTTCCTTATGGCAATGTACAAAAGCAAGGCTGAGTTATTAGCCAACAACAATTCTCTCCTTGTCCTGTCGATACATTTTCTTTCTCCTGTTTTGCAACTGCTCTGCTAAGCTTCTGCCTGACCCTGCTATCGTGCATCAGCTTCCACTCCTCCCCTTCCCATGTGTCACACTCGCTTGCATTGGCACGCGCATGCACCCGTTCTCTTGTTCGCGTGCAGGCATTCTTGTGTTTGCACGCGTTGTACTTGTGTATTACTTGTGTGTTCGTCATGTGTGTTACTGCACTCACGCCCGTGCACTCGCACGCGCCCGCCCACTCTCTCAATAGGAAGATTTAGCATTAGCTTGTTGTGCAACCGAAACCCTACCGCCCACCTGGAAAACAAACGCCCACTAGTGAGCCATAGGGACCAGGTTGACGACCCATGTGTTATAAGGTCTCAGGTGTGTTAAATTTGGTGTTATCGCTCTCACACTGGTCACTGAAAGTTCAACATGGCACCTTATGACAAAGAACTCTCTGAGGACCTGAAAAAGACAAATTGTTGCTCTACATAAAGATGGCCTTGGCTATAAGAAGATTGCCAAGACCCGAAAATGAGCTGCAGCACGGTGAGCAAGACCATACAGCGGTTTCACAGGACAGCACTCAGAACAGGCCTCGCCATGGTCAACCAAAGAAGTTGAGTACACGTGCTCAGCGTCATATCCAGAGATTGTCTTTGGGAAATAGTGTATGAGTGCTACCAGCATTGCTGCAGAGTTTGAAGGGGTGGGGGGTCAGCCTGTCAGTGCTCAGACCATATGCCGCACACTACATCAAATTGGTCTGCATGGCTGTCTTCCCAGAAGGAAGCCTCTTCTAAAGATGATGCACAAGAAAGCCCGCAAACAGTTTGCTGAAGACAAGCAGACTAAGGACATGGATTACTGGAACCATGTCCTGTGGTCCGATGAGAACAAGATACATTTATTTGGTTCAGATGGTGTCAAGCGTATGTGGCGGCAACCAGGTGAGGAGTACAAAGACAAGTGTGTCTTGCCTACAGTCAAGCATGGTGGTAGGAGTATCATGGTCTGGCCTGAATGAGTGCTGCCGGCACTGGGGAGCTACAGTTCATTGAGGGAACCATGAATGCCAACATGTACTGTGACATACTGAAGCAGAGCATAATCCCCTGCCTTCGGAGACTGGGCCACAGGGCAGTATTCCAACATGATAACGATCCCAAACACACCTCCAAGACGTCCAATGCCTTGCTAAAGAAGCTGAAGGTAAAGGTGATGGACTGGCCAAGCATGTCTCCAGACCTAAACTGCATTGTGGTTCTGTGGGGCATCCTCAAACGGAAGGTGGGGGAGCGCAAGGTCTCTAACATCTACCAGCTCTGTGATGCCTACATGGGGGAGTGGAAGAGGACCCCAGTGGCAACTTGTGAAGCTCCGGTGAGCTCCATGCCCATGAGGGTTAAGGCAGTGCTGTAAAATAATGGTGGCCACACAAAATATTGACACTTTAAGCCCAATTTGGACATTTCCACTTAGGGGTGTACTCACTATTGTTGCCAACGGTTTAGACATTAATGGCTGTGTGTTGAGTTATTTTGAGGGGGCAGCACATATACCCTGTTATACAGGCTGTACACTTACTACTTTACATTGTAGCAGAGTGTCATTTCTTCAGTGTTGTCACATGAAAATTTTTAATAAAATATTTACAAAAATGTGAAGGGTTTACTCACTTTTGTGAGATACTGTATATCTTTATACCCACCTTGGGTGCCTACATTAAGGAAGAAGAGGCACACCTACACCACTATAGCTAATGTGGAATATATTTCCTATGATGCTGTAACTGTGCACATTGGGATATGTAGTCCACAATAGTTGGATTGTGAAACTTAGTTATGATTACCCCAGGTAGGGAGGAGCAGGAAAACAAGCTTTGGTTGTAAGTTTGGCTTTACAGGGTTAATATGTTATAACTCTTTGTGCAGGAGAGAGACGTGCAGATTCAGCTGGTAGAATAAAACAATGTTGGTGTATACAGGTAGGTGATCGGTAACCTGGCTCTCCTTGTCAAGGACTGAGAGAAACTTACCACCGAGGAAGCAGCATCGAGAGCCAGAGATGCCCAGCTCATCGTTACAGTCATGAGACCAAAGCACAGCATACTGCAAACAAAACAGAAAACACTGTCACCGTCTTTCACAAAACAAACACTGAATTCTTACAGGCACTTCTAGAAGAGTTAACAGATTGCAAGCTCCCTGGGCCAGCTTCCACCATTTCTGTGTATATAATGGATTCCCATTCCCACTCCATCCCCATCATCTGCGCACACGGAATATTGTGCATTGCGAAAAATACTAAACTCCATTAGGAGCTTTCAAAGACCCTCACTCTCGCCTTCTCATTGCCCTCTAGCATCCTTATCTCGGGAGAGCAAGAAAGAGACAGATAGACAGACGGAAACAGAAAAGATAACTAGAAATCTCTAAATCACGATTTTGTTGTAAACCGTGGACAAATAAACTGGTCCAGAAAGCAGTCACTCCAGTCTAAGTGATAGGTGTTTATTTTACAGAACTCTATACATAAACACACACAAACATATCTAAACACTACCCCAGCCCACAGCTGGTCACTGCAGCGCCTCCATTATGCAAACAGATCAGCCTTGGTCAAGCACGTCCAACAGTCTCTCTATGCAGCTTGTGAATAATTTAGATCTACGCAGCCCTTAGATCTCTGACTCCGATACAATTAGTTTTACCCCCCCACCCCATGGATCTCACTCTGTCCCGGGCAGCACTATTAGAAATCAATGGGTGCAGCCTGAGAGGAGGAAAGGAAGACAGAATAAGCTGTAATCAGAGAGTCTCAGGGGAAGCAGTGAGCAGATGGAGAGCATCAATCTCTGTATCTCCTGTTTCTCTTCCCGTATAAACTGCGGGCTCCCAGCACTGCTTTGTAACACAACAATTAAAAGAACTCAGAGTTATCCAGTATAATTGCTGATTTACGACACATTGCATTACATATCCGTTTAATGAGACCCAATGTAAAGGAGATAAGTAGATAAGAGACATAAAACAGCCACAAAATATAATGTATAAATAGAAGCTCTCATCAATTCACGGCCTAAACATAAACCAATTCCATCTAAGACGTGGACACCCAGAACCACCAGACCCTCACCTCTCAATAACCCGCACACACAGGGGGCAGAGTCATTGCATAACCCCTTGTGTATACATGTTTTCCTGTATTAATATACCTTACAAATCAAAGACGTTTGCATTATATTTTCACAATATAAAAATCTGAATTCAAGCGTTATTTTTTGGTTGGGGCCAATACTGAAATAGTGAAGAGGTTAATATTGATCAGCATTGCAAATCTCTCCCCTCTCAGATCTGTTATACTGGGGGGCTTTCAGAGGTTGCAGTGTAATTGGTATTGACATAGCGTGAAAGCCATATTCTGTCGTTTTACTTTGCTGTGATCCAATGTTTTGTACTGATGTCTCACTGAGTTCTCTGCCTGCATGCTCCTGGATAATGGCACATTACAGTATAGACACACGGCCTTGCCCCACATATAAAAGCTCATGCTTTTTGGCTTTCACATTAAAGTCACAGAATTCTACAACTTTCAGGATTGCAAATCATCAAAGGACTTCTAATCGTAGCAGCTTGAGTTCTACATTCTGCCCGCTCCTGGTAAATGTTAATCTGGGTGTTCCAAAAAGTAACTTTTACTTTTGGCCCTTACATCTAATTATTTATTAAACTGGTTTTAAAATGAATCAGCCTTCAATCTCATATCGGACATTATTTGGAAGTAACGCACATTTTAGAGTTTTTACAAATGCAGCATTTTAGAGGGAAAAATAGAGACAAACTACATCTCCTTGTATAAAAAAAAATGATGGGAAGAATGATTGCTTGGCCAGACAAATGTCACACATTCAAAAATAACAGCAAGGCGCAAAGTGAAGCAACAAACAAAAAAAAAAAAACAGATTTAATAAACTGAGCAAAACAAACAGGAAGAGTCTGCAACAGGTTGATAAATCTCTCCCCGTGTGAGTTCCCAGTGTGCGTTCTAGCAGTTACTCACGTGATGAGGAGATACTTGGATCGCTTGGCCAGTCCCAAACAGGTAACAAGACAGATAACCAGGTCAAAGATAAAAAGAAACAGATAAGACAGCCACCTGCAGGAGGGAAACAAGACCATTAAATACCCTCAGTCAGATATAGGGGGAGGAATCTGACAAAGACAAACTAAAACATTAAATCATCTCAGAAATTAAAAAATTATCAAAGTTCACATTTGGCCAAACACCAAAATCAGAAATTTAATGATATGTATAAAGTGTAATTCTGCAACAAAGTTCTCAAAATTGAGCAGTCACCATGGAAACCAATGGATTGTAACCCAGGATTGCTTCCTGCGGTTCTGAATCCAGACACACCTTAAAACAACTATAAAGAGGAACAGGTCCGTTTAACAGATCATTGGATCGACAAACTTCCCTCATCCAGCCCAGCAGTATTTCACAGATTCCTTAATTCTGCTACAATGGGGAGACTGATAACATCTGGATTTTTGGGATGCATTGAGACTGATTGTGAATCCTCTCCCGCACACACAGTAACTGTCTGACCAAGTGCTGTTCGTAGTCCTGCAGTTCATCTGGTGACATCCCAGAACAGTCAAAACATGGCAGCAACACATGGCCTTCACTGTGCAACCAAACCAGCTTCCCCCCAGTGCCCCCGGCTACCTGTAATATTCGATGACGCTGGCCTCCCAGGCAATCTGAGAGAGGTTAATGGTGGTTCCTTGCCAGTTGGGCAAGCTGGAGAGCTGCTGGATGATATTCCCAGCCATTCTCTGCATTATCCGCAAACTCTGCACATAATCGCCTTTCACCGCAAAGATCTCGCTTAGGCGCAACAAGTGCTCGTCCAAACCTTCCTTCATCTTAAAGCTGGTGCCCGAAACCTGGGGATAATGAGAGGAAAACATGGGTTTATCCCAGTTTAAAATGCAATCCATAGTAGGAAATATTAAACAGCCCCAATTACGGTATTAAAGAAACATGGCCGTGTTTCTGGTTTTTCTATACTATAAAAAATAAAATAAAATTCGTATTATGTTTATTTTTCAAATTCTGATTAAGTTACATCAGGAATATTTACCCTTATTGTCCCTACTTATTGAATACCCTGTACGACTCCATTCTGATCCCCCTTACGGTTTCTCATAGCTATGTTTAACTCGACTGGTGGCTGCTGCTGGCGATCAAATCAACTTCTACGGTAGGAACAGCTGGTTAACAGTGGCACCAGGAACATTAAATTAAAATAAAATTCCGAAAATGTATTCAATCCAAGGTAAGCTATAGGTAGATACACACAGAATTAGGAGATACGGTTATAATGCACACAGTTTGCTTAAAAACCCCTGTAACTAATAATGCATTGCTCTCAATGTCACCTGTTCCTCTGGGACAGCAAATCCCGTTTCTGTGCACAGCCTTAAAATACTCAATAAATCTCTCAAGAGTAAACAGATGTTAAATAAGGCAACATGAAAAATCGGCACCAGTTCGCGTGGCTAATTGGTGCATTAGCTGTAGTGTGGATTTGTTTCAAACACATGTTGTAATTTGTCACCGAGAAGTGACCATGTAAACTTATATTTCCTCACTTTGCTACATTAAGAAAAAAAAAAAAAACAATAAGATTTGAGATAAAGTGCATTAAAATGTCTTTCTGGTGTGAAAAACAGGAATGTGTCCAGATTCTCATAGTACAGAAACTTTCACGATACAAACTTAGTATATTTTCCAACGCCCTGTACGCTGCTTGGGATAGTCTTATTTTACTATTAGATCACAAGCTCCTGGGACAAAATCCAAGTCCAGCCCACAATACTGCATGCTTTGTCTTAGTGCTCGCTTGGGTTAGTGATCTATAAGTGTGCATGCGCCCCTTGTAATAAAATCACATGACTACTTGCTGCTATTTCTGTTAACTCTTGCAAGTCTAGGCATCTTTTGTCAACAGCATTAAAAAGAAACGGTAACATCTAGCAGGAGAGCTGACAAGGGAACAGCACATGTAACATTCAAATAGCGAGTGTAGGGAAATTTGATAGAATACCGTCTAATTCCTCGTTGGGGTATAGTGGGCTAAAATTAGCAATTTCCTTTTAGGTTATTTTTAATTCTCAGTTTAGGAAATAACCCTCACATTTCCAAGACATTGTAAATATATTGCTGCACTTTAACTATTTCATGGGCAACAAGATAAAAGATATTGCTCATCACCGATACTGAAAGTATGAATAATGACTAAACTGAGCTCGGGTTAACGCCTCCATTGGAAGAGGTGAAATTTCGGCATTCCCCTTTGGAACCAGTGGGAGAATATTAATCATAAGCTGCTGTATATCTAAATAAGGCATTCTTGTCATATACAGTGATCCCACTAAAACACTGTGACGGGCTCAGCAACATACCACCCAAGTGTCCCTGTTTAGGAGGGACAGTCCCTTTTTTGGTCCCAAGTCCCTCCGCCCCTCTTTTCTCTCATGTCCCTCTTTTCTAGGAACTTCATATTGGTGGCGAGTCTGAGTGTATAACAGAGCTCCAAAGCAATAATACTCCCAGTAATGTGTCTGAGTGTATAACAGAGCTCCAAAGCAATAATATTCCCAGTAATGTGTCCAAGTGGATCACAGAGCTCCGCAGTAATAATACTCCCAGTAATGTGTCTGAGTGTATAACAGAGCTCCACAGCAATAATACTCCCAGTAATGTGTCTGAGTGTATAACAGAGCTCCACAGCAATAATACTCCCAGTAATGTGTCTGAGTGTATAACAGAGCTCCACAGCAATAATACTCCCAGTAATGTGTCTGAGTGTATAACAGAGCTCCACAGCAATAATACTCCCAGTAATGTGTCTGAGTGTATAACAGAGCTCCACAGCAATAATACTCCCAGTAATGTGTCTGAGTGTATAACAGAGCTCCACAGCAATAATACTCCCAGTAATGTGTCAGTGTATAACAGAGCCCCACAGTAATAATACTCCCAGTAATGTGTCTGAGTGTATAACAGAGCTCCACAGCAATAATACTCCCAGTAATGTGTCTTTAAACTACAGTAAATGTGTTTAGAAATCAGTCTGTGTAAAGAAGATTTGTTGTTCTTGTTATAAATTACATTTTAGTTGGATAAATCTAACATTTATCAGAACAGCCAGCCTCTGGTCACCCCCACTCACACTCCTAAAATGAAAGTGTCTCTCTGTCCATTTGAAATGTCAGCAGGTGCAGCACTGATAAACCCTTTATAAAGACAGCAATGCAGCAATTAGTTACTCCATGTTAATTGTTGGGTGTGGTAGTTACAAAGATCCGTTATTGTCAGATTACAATTTACAATATAAAGAAAGTTATCTTCACGGTTGGGAATTGTCATTATATGACGTGGCACACAGATATTTAACCAAGGCATTCCAGCTATTGGACCACGAGTCCCAGAATTCTATTCTGGTTATACATTTTTTTTTAAACTTTTCTGGAAAGAAACTAAGTGGCCACCCAGCTTGTTTTCTATAAAGATTAATACGGGATCCATATTGGAAGAGATCAATTAAAACAATGCATCTCATTTTAACCCCTTAAACACCGATAACACCCCATATAAGACAGGACGGCAATAGGATTTGCTTGTCCCCTTGTGATGATAAAGGGGTTAAGGATTCACGGTGTTACCCTCTGCCCTGTTCTATGCCCAGTCTGAGAGGGTTCAAAAAAAAAGCAGCAGCTGGAAACTGGTCCCCAGGGAAGATTTAAATCCCAGTTTGAGAAAGCAGTGCTGGGAGAGGGGGAGGGTAGGCCAGCAGCTGGGTTAGCCAGGGAGGGTAGAGGAGAATAGGGTATTGTATGAGCGCTCTGCGGTCTGGCGAGCGGAAATAAGAGATGTGAGGTTGATTACACAGCGAGTAATAGGTTCTGAGGTCTGTAGTGGATGCAGCTTTTCACATCTGAAAGCAGATAAATTAAATCGGCTTTCAGCTGACAGACACTCCGGCCCCATAATGAGTAAATTGAGGAACCCATCAGTAACATCATTTGATTCTTTTTACAATACCCACTTAGGGAAGCGGGCGGCCTGAGAAAAGGAGATTGTCTGTGCAACTGTAATATCCTAAACATGGCGCACATATAATATCCTAAACATGGCGCATATAATATCCTAAAACGCAGGGCGCATATAATATCCTAAACACGGCGCTAATATAATATCCTAAACGCAGCGCACATATAATATCCTAAACACAGCGCACATATAATATCCTAAACGCAGCGCACATATAATATCCTAAACGCAGCGCACATATAATATCCTAAACGCAGCGCAAATATAATATCCTAAACGTAGCGCTAATATAATATCCTAAACATGGCGCTAATATATCCTAAACGTAGCGCAAATATCCTAAACGTAGCGCTAATATAATATCCTAAACATGGCGCTAATATAATATACTAAACATAGCGCAAATATATCCTACACGTAGCGCTAATATAACATCCTAAATGCAGCGCTTATATAATATCCGAAACGCAGCGCACATATAATATCCTAAACACAGCGCACATACAATATCCTAAACACAACGCACATATAATATCCTAAACGCGGGGCGAGCCTGACCGTCAAGATGGCCGGATGCACATGCTAAATGCTCCGGTGGCAATGGGCATAATCTGAGCCCTAGCGGCGACCTACTGAGCCTGGAACAGCCTACCAGACTGAGAAGGATAACCAGCACCTGAAGCGGCACCTAACGGTACGCGAAGCTTGCAGCTCCGACCGCAGAAACCGGAGCCTAGCAGCGAGGAATACCACGCATCGAGACAAACGGACCACGGGGGAGACAGCCGCTCTCCTGGGGCCATATTAAGCGACAACCTCGACATGGGTCCCCTTCCCCCCCCCCCCCCTTGGACCGGCGGGGGTCATCTCGGTCCCCACCAAACCAGGGCAAAAGACACCACAAGCCCCAGCTATACCCCGCAGCCTGAACAACGCGGCCAGTGGGCCACACAAGATGGCGGCCGCAACTCAGTGGCAAAAGCCCGCGCCAGCCCATCAAAGCAGCACGCTGAGAGACGAGACAGGCTCTGGGAGCGCCTGAAGCTATGTTGCAGATGGGAACCACCTGACCCGGTGGGAACAGTAAGGAGGGACGAGGTGCGGAGCTGGAAAAGCCCTACATCGGGTAAACCACACAAGTCCAATGTCGCAGCCCGCCCTGCAATCCTTTCTGGGCTGAAGGCCTCCCGGAGGAAACATCCACGGCACCAACCACACCGCCAGAAGCCCGACCATCGCAGGCGACGGCAGAACATCCGAGCACCCCATGGCACCCAACAGAGGGTAGATCCGGCCTCGACCACGAGAACCCGAGTCTGTGGACTGCAGGTGCTGGCCTTCATTCCGGCCTGGGGCTGGAGTGCTCCCTCCTTGTACCAACAACTCACCAGCCTCTTGTTGACCCGTCCAACTCATGGCTCCGACCTCCCCAGCAGGCTGATAGATGGACCGTAAGCCTGCGACCCCACTACATGCCACCAACAGCCAAGGACTCTTTAGGGCACAGCATGAATTGTCCACGCAGATACACTAAATTGAGCCTCCACTGAGTAGCCATATTACATATCCCATCCTCTTGCATAGAGTACACCAGACTGGCTCCGGGAGGTTGGTGGATAATCCAGCGTGTTTCCAAACTAGATAAATGACTCCACTTGCAGTTCACACCAGGACACTGCTTACTAGAAACTCATGCAACTCACCAGTGGGTCCAGCAGAACACCACCACTAAACGCTTCACCGGTCACATCCCTCACACATGTATTAAGCTAAGTGCAGTTTGAGCAATCCCCCACTATGGTGCACTACAGTTATGTCACAAGCGCATTAAATGTGTTCACATATTATAACTGCTTGCTCTCAGCTTGTATTACAACACGCAGTTTAGGCACAGTTAGCAGGATACATGGATTACCTATATACAACATACGACTAGCAAATGCATACCAGCTGCCTCAGTTTAACCTACACTGTATTATACTGTTGGTACATTAAGACTAGTTAATGCATTGTTAATTTAGCATGTTACATACCGGATCTTACGATCCATAGCTTGTATATTCATACTACAGTTTAAACTTAAAAAAATGAGGCATTGTTATTCTGGAAATGAAACGTACTCTTGCTGAATGATGTATCAACCTTATATTGTAAACCACCCGTACATTTCCCCTGCTTTCTCTTATGTACCCCATCTTATATGCCTTCAATAAAACCAGATTGACAAAAAAAATTAAAAAAAATAAAATATCCTAAACGCAGCACACATATAATATCCTAAACGTAGCGCTAATATAACCTAAACAAAGCGCTAATATATTATCCTAAACGTAGTGCAAATATATCAAAACACAGCACTAATATAATAATCTTAAACGTAACGCTAATATAAATATCCTAAACGTAGCACTATTATCATCAACGCCATTTATATAGCACCGACAGATTCCGTATGACTTTACAATATTATGAGAGGGGGATTTAACTATAAATAGGACAATTAAAAAAAACAATTTACGGGAACAATAGGTTGAAGAGGACCCTGCTCAATCGAGCTTACATTCTATAGAGCTAATATAATATCCCAAACGTAGCGCAAATATAATATCCTAAACACAAAGCTAATATCCTAAACACAGCGCTAATAAATCCTAAACACAGCGCAGATAGAATATCCTAAACATATCGCTAATATATCCTAAATGTAGCGCTAATATATCCTAAATGTAGCGCTAATATACTATGCTAAACGTAGCGCTAATATAATATCCTAAACGCAGCGCTAATATAATATCCTAAACGCAGCGCTAATATAATATCCTAAACGCAGCGCTAATATCCTAAACGCAGCGCTAATATAATATCCTAAACGCAGCTCTAATATAATATCCTACACGCAGCTCTAATATAATATCCTACACGCATCGCTAATATAATATCCTAAACGCAGCGCTAATATATCCTAAACGCAGCGCTAATATAATATCCTAAACGCAGCGCTAATATAATATCCTAAACGCAGCGCTAATATAATATCCTTACCGCAGCACTAATATAATAAACAGCGCAGATATAATATGCTAAACGTAGCGCAGATATAATATCCTAAATAAAGCTAATACATTCTATTAATTATATGGATTTCACTTGGTTACAGACGCAGTACTCTGTACTAATATCAGAGATGCAGAGAGTGCACACCTCAGACCAATATCACAGGACATACAATTTAATTTATACCAGTAACTGTTACCTTTGCTCCCCAGACAAGAGTGAAATGCATTTCCCAAGGTTAGTCGAGGATCTTGGGAAATGTAGTCCACTAACATCTGGTCAGACAAAGGCAGACGTCACTGTACGCTGTGTTAGAGAAATTATGTAGATATTAGTTCCGCATAGAGATATCAAGAATGCAGCCAGCAGGGGGTCAAAACATATCCAGCATTTTAACAATGGGGGTTTAACTTCCACAATATACAGATTACGGTTTATAAGGCAGTGGCAGATTTAATAAATTCATACATTTGTGGATAACAGTTCACTTTAACAGAGGATTAATATCTCTAAATATAGCAGGCCCCCCCTCCTCCCAGCTCAGAATGTCTTACAGGAAAACAGCGATATCGTTTAATCCAGAGCGGTCTCTTACCTCCCAACATTTCACATGGACAAGAGGGACACTTTCATTTTAGGGGTGTGTAATTTAAAAGAAGAACAATTTATCTTATTTACACAGACTGATTTCCAAACACATTTATTGTAGTTTAAAGACATTACTGGGAGTATTATTGCTGTGGAGCTCTGTTATACACTCAGCCACATTACTGGGAGTATTATTACTGTAGAGCTCTGTTATACAGTCAGACACACCAACAATATGGAGCTCCTAGAAAAGAGGGACATTATGAGAGAAAAGAGGAGCAGAGGAATTTGGGACCAAAAAAAGGACTGTTCCTCCTAAACAGGGACTCTTTGGCGGTGTGGTGCTGAACACTGAACAATGTTTTAGTGGGATCATTGACTCATTGGAGATATCTTTGCCAGAAGCTCAAGGAAGCAAGGAGAAAGGTTAGTGTAGGACCCACGTGAGAGATTTGCCTTGACGTGGCAGGCGGGCTAAAGTCTCTCATGGCCATTGGAGAAACTAAATCATCTCCATTTGCTTAAATAAACATAGGGATTTGGGAAAGAGCGCAGGTAACTTTCTTTGGTTTTTGCAGTATGTATTGAGGCTGATTTGTACTATGTTCATTGCTGCGGAGGGATTTGTGCCGATGATAAGGACTGTCCTTACTGAATAGGGACACTTAGGAGGCATGTCTATTTAAATGGCTATAGAATGCTCCGTGACACTGGAATCAGAGAAAGCTCAGGATTGCCCAAAGCTCCCATGGGTCTGATAGCTTTGCAATACCCGCGCCAGCTGTGAGATCCTAGTGTAGAGGATGTTGTCCATGAAAGGTCACTCACAGCTACACCAACTGCGTCATCTCTGTTCTCGCACACGAAGACATAATACCAGCTTGGAATGACAAAAAAAAACATCTCTAGAAGAAAGTATGGCCATCATCCAGTGTGCAATAAAATAACACAAGATCTAGGTCTCTGGCAGCATCCATGATTTGTATCAGATCTCTATAAACAATCACTCTAAGACCCTTAGCCAGCCCTCTCATTCTTCTTTCTCCAACTCTTTAAATCTGTCCTTCTTTCCTCTCTTCCTCCTCTCCAGTGCACCTTCCAATCTCGCTCTCCCACAGATAGCGGTGAATAGTCCGGACGGTCTATAGTCACAACTCTGAGTTCTTGTGCAATTCAGGGACAAGAAGTTAATCTTTTAATATATTGATGCAGAGATAAAGATAAGACAGGCGTCATGTTGTGACAAAACAGTCAGTCAACCAGATACTGTAACACATCATCAACTGGGAGTCGGAGGACAAAATACATGAGTTATTTTTATTAACTCAATCCTTACCAGAGAATCGATTCCGGCAAGCGTATGGTTAGCGTTGTCCAGGGAGTAGGTCAGTTGATACACTCCATCGTTTGTCTCGCTGTTGCCATAGAATCCAATTCCCACCGCAGCACTAGAAATAAAAGGAGAGAGGGTCAACGGCTTTATCTACTTCTCCTCTTACTACATTTCCCAAAATGCTCTGCGTTATGTGGAGACTGTTCCTAGAGTTACCCTTCATTAGTCCACTCTACAAGTATATTGCACCGCAGAAATATCTGGAGTGCTTTCAGAAACAATGTCATTCATAATTTGACAACATGCGACTAACTGGAGGTAGACTACAATTCCCATTATCCTCTATCAGGAATGGGTTCTATTTCATTTAGTCCATCTGAAGCTGGCCGACGAAGAATCAGCACAGTACTTTTATTTTTTACATTTCTTATATAAAGAAGAGAGAAATTGGGAGAGCAGTAGAATATATCAGTACATGTGTTACATAATACTCCAGCACACGTTCTGGTCAGGTAACTCCATTCGCAGAAATAGAAAAAACCCAGAATGTACAGGAACACATGCCAATACACTGATACAGCACTCAGAATAAGACATACGACGTATAACGAAACCATTCAAGAATTATTCGGGATAAAAACAGTTTGCTAACAATCCCAGAGAATTGGCGTTACATTTGAAGAGCCCCTTCGAAGGAGGAGACCAAGGAAACGTAAAAAGGAGCTGTACAGGACTTTAACAGCATCTGCAGTGCTGTAAATTCTTTAACTCTGACCTTAAATATCCGTCCAGACAGAGCAGGGACACGCTGGGGGCATTCAAGGTTTAGATGTGAACTGCCACGAACCACAGTTAAAAAAAAACCTGAACTAACATTTTCATTAAATCTCCACAATATTTCACTGTGGTTACATCCAGAACATACTGGAACCTATACTGAGCCCAGTGACACCCCCTGAATCATTCTCACCCCCATTCCTAGATTGTAAGCTCTTGTGCGTAATTCTCTTGGTGCTCTCTTTCCTAGGCAGAGTTATTGACTAAAGTGAATTTTAAATTTTAAGTAAAAATTTTGTAATTCACATTGAATAGCTGGCGATCCCCAATTTAGTGAATAAATACCCCATGGATTGCACCCCATTTCCTTCCAGCTATACAGTACTTTGATGCTTTTATAAATAAACAATCTAATTTATCGGAGCTCCATGGGATGGTCTGGAACTTGTCCTCAATTAAACCCAATTAAAGCACTCCAACGATTAACTCTTCTAGCGCCAGAAAACAAATACTGCACCTGTGTTATTAAGGAGGAGGGGGGAGAAACGTACTTAGTTGGCAGTAGATTGCCATAGCGGAATTAACCGCCAGTGACACATTGAAAAATACAATGCAGCCCCCAGGCTAAACAGAGATACGTTTTATCACGGCAGAGTCTAGCTCCTCGTACTGTGGGAGAATAGGAGCACTGCTGCCCAACAAACCTTTTTAATTGCATTACGTGAACAGGTCTATCTATGGTAGAAATGACTAAAATCCAGCATCACTGACGAATGACTGTAAATTCGCTTATTTCATTTTTTAAAGCGGTGATTTGGGCAATCGGTAGAGCCAACAGTAACTACATCTCCCACAATGCTCTGCAATCTTGGAGAAAGTCCGCAATACGAAATAAGTCCATCGATGGATTGAGAAATACTTGGACAGCAATCTTAAAGGACAAGTTTATTAATGCAATGGAAATAAAAGGAAAAAAAAACACACACACACAATTAAGAGATGAAAACGCTCTGACCCAGTTGTGTAGCCATCACTATTTGGTTCTTGTCAAAAATCACTCAGATCTTTTCGTTTGCCCATTTTTCCTGCTTCCAACACATGAAATATAAGACCTGACTGTTAACCTCCTGCCTAATATATCGCACCCCCAGACAGGTGTCATTGTAACGATATAATCAATGTGATACACTTCACCTGGCAGTAGGTTTAACGTTCTGGCTATAATATACTAACTACTGCAGCTATTCCCAATAAAGCAGACTAATGTGTTATTTAGACCCCCTGGATATTTCACTAGTTCCCATCACTAGAGCTCAGAAGGACGTTTCTCATACCTGCCCCAAGCCAAGCCTGAGAAGCGATATGGACTTGGTAACCACAAGCAATACTCAGATTTTTTTTGGCACAGAAAGGTTTAGGGAATTTTTCACTCTCTGCTGTCTATTTCGATTTTAACCCCTGTCCAACGTTCTCTTCCCAGCCGGATAATGAAGAGTTCTTTGTTCAGCCAGGAATACATGTTGCTATTTAAAGGCACGGCTGTTAAAAACCAGCCCAAGGTTTTGTTATATAACAGGATTGTACCAGCAGCCCTATTTCAGAACCCAAGAGCAATCCTCGCACTGCCTCGCTCATTAGCCACTGTCACTATTTCTAGCATTTTGCACTGCAATTTATTTATTTTAATTTTTTTTAGCAATTATACATTTTAAGACATAAATAGCAAAAAAAATAAAAAAAAATAATGGGGACTAAAAGAAAGCCATTATTAATGGTCTGCAGGAGTTCCTATTTTGTCTACGTTATACCTACTCCCAATTCTTACTTGGGGTTTCGAGTATTTAGTTGAAGTTTTACGATCCATGTAGAGAGAGGTCTGTCTGTGTCTGTCTTATGGGGAGGTTACATGCGTTAAAGGTTATGTAAACAGTCTTCTTCTGGCTGAATGATAGGAGTTACAGTCCAGAGCATCTCAAAAGCAGGTAGGTTCTAATGCCAAGTCCCCACTATCACCTCCGATGGGTTAAGTGTGGCGTACGCAGAGCATTTCACGCTGTAGCGACACTCTGCTTTTTAATGACCTCATATTCTTTTTAACACAATGACTTAGAGAGCCCCTATATCCAACAACGCCTTTTTAACCTCAGTTGTCCTAAGCACAGCTAAGTGTGGGAATGTGGTGAATGAAGGGGAATGTAGGTTAATCTCTGTGAAGAACTACCACACACTTTGAAGATAAAATGAGGAAGTTTAGATCAAATTAGGGAAGAGTTTTAAATTTACGCTTCTGTAATAGGGGGAAAATGCAAACTATAGCAAACTATAGCCAGCAAGAGACAAAGACAGGAAGCAGGCAAGCAATGGAATCTGCGCGAGCTGGAGAGGGGTATGCTGATGAACACAGGGTGCCATAGTCAATTTAGGAGACGATGAGGATTTCCTTTGATGCTGAACGGTATTATAACATATGTTTAGGTGACCGTGACTGAGCAGTTGAATCAAAGAAGATTAACAAGTAAAAGCTTAAAAGGGTAATTAACCTGAATATATGGAAAGTTGAGGAACATGCACATCCGTGCTCAGACAGAATGATTTATTATTATTTATTTAGGAACCAATAAAGAGGTAAAACTGTAGATCTTTATATAAAAGTCCCATGAATACCGGCCACCTTTGACTCCCATGGCACACAGTGTGTTAAGCTCTGCATAAAGTTACTAGTTCATTGAACACCATGACAAAGGAAAAGCAAAATAATATACTGTGTGCTACATATATACTGCCTGTTACTGGCTGTATGGCTGTACAGATATCAGACTGTTATCCATATAAAACATGCAATATTCTGTGCTAGCAATCACCACAATATATTGTAACCCTATTGTATATATAGGACATGAAAGCGGCAAAACAGGGCTACAGGGAGCAGCCATTTATATTTTGTGACTAAATAACCGTAGTGGTTGCTAGGAAACTGCTTTAAAATAAAGTGATAGACCATTATTGCTCTGTGTTACCAGTGACATCCAACCTGTGCATTATTTTGTAAGCATGGTAACACACGTCTTGAAACCGTGGCTCTGTATGTTATGGTATTACACGCATGTCTTGAAACTGTGGCTCTGTATGTTATGGTATTACACGCATGTCTTGAAACTGTGGCTCTGTATGTTATGGTATTACACGCATGTCTTAAAACCGTGGCTCTGTATGTTATGGTATTACACGCATCTCTTAAAACCGTGGCTCTGTATGTTATGGTATTACACGCCTCTTGAAACCGTGGCTCTGTATGTTATGGTATTACACGCATGTCTTGAAACCGTGGCTCTGTATGTTATGGTATTACACACCTCTTGAAACCGTGGCTCTGTATGTTATGGTATTACACGCATGTCTTGAAACCGTGGCTCTGTATGTTATGGTATTACACGCATGTCTTGAAACCTTGGCTTTGTAGGTTATGGTATTACGCGCATGTGAAATCTTCTGGAAAATTAGACGCCATTTCTGATTGGCACCGTTACAAAGTAACAAAATAAACATTGATAAAGGAAAAAAACATGTATTTTATGAAGGATTTGACATCTGTCTCCTAATACAAAGCGTGTTTATTAAAACAGACTTTAATAGTGAGATTTATTTTCTTTCAATGCTGTTGGGACAAAGTTACAGGAAAGTCTAGGGTTTTAGAATTAATGGGACACTCAAGGATGGGGGAGACAGATGGGGTACATAATGGCTACTGGTTTTAGAAGGCATCTTTCCATAGCCAGTCTGTTTTTAATCAGACATATTTACAATACTAAAGGGAAAACACCCATCATTCCAGGAGAGGTGTCCCTAGGGCAGCACTCTAGACAGATGGACAAGACTCATCTTTTCCAAAGTGTGACACTGGGGGGACCTAGAGGGACTGACGCACAAGCAATAGATCACGCCTGTACAGCCAGGGATATATTATCTTAGCGGGCGCTGGTAGATAGCAAATTACACCAAAATGCTAATCACCACTATATTGTGAAAAAAACATGATGGCAGTGTGTTATCACTGCTCCACATGCAAGCAGCAGAGATTTCTGAGACTCCTGCTGTCATGCTGACCTGCCACTTCCCCTTCACATCCTCCCGATCCCAACGCGAAGATCAGCAATTCACGGCTGGTCCGGATTATAAACACAATCCTCTAGCTAAAGCTCGGGAGAGAGCAAAATTTAATCAAAGTGATTCATGGGCCAGGCTGAAACCCCTGCTGTGCGCAGGAAACTCCAGCAACATGAAGGGGCAGGAAAATGCAAAACGCTGTGACGTCATCAAAACGCCAAACAGCAATGCAAAGGCTTCCAGGAGAAATAAGACAACAACTTGCATGTTCCAACAAAACATCAGTGAATGTATTGCACCAGACACCTGGGCAGTCTGGAGAGCTAGTCATATTTTGGTTATGCCAATTTAGGAACCAGTGCACCCAGCTTTCAAATAAATAGTGATATCAGCCTTGTTATTTAGGCCCACGGCAAAAGATAGCTCCCTTTCAGCTGTATTCAGCATGACCATAAATATTAACTCTCCCCATAGAAGTACTGGAGGACAATAAAGAGAAGAAAGGAAGGAGGGAGGGAGAGATGTCAAAGCTTATTCCATTAATGGGGGGGAATCTATATGTATTGGACCAGTGAAGGCCCTAAGGAGAAAGTAACAATGAAAAGGAGAGATGTCCTACTTGTAATACTTCTAAGGATGAAAGAATAGCCGGTAACAAATTAGTGTAGATATATGTACAAACGAGCTAAGGTCCAACTACAGACACACAATGTGTCTAAAAAATCCAAATAATGTCAGAACCCCTAGCTCCACACACTCCCAGCGTGTATACTAACGGCTCGTAGGGCATCCTCTCCTTTTCATTGTTACTCTCTCCTTAAGGCCTTCACTGGTCCAATATTTTTTTTACCCTTTCATACTACCTGTGGATCATCCCTCATCCTCAGTGAGAGTAACGGTGGGCCTGTTCTTGGAGCTAATCTACCAGCCCCTTATCCTTGTCTTTTGAGGCTCCTGGATCAGCTCCTTTTTCCTTATTATTACCTCCTATATTATTCCATTAATATCCAGGCACAGAAGGAGTGAAGACAGGGTCCACAAACAGAAGTTCTGCCTTTGGCTCCAAGTGATGTAACCGTTTACTGGTAATGTTATCCACTGACTTGCCACTTGTGTCCTGTGACCTGGGTACCCGCTAGAAGCCGAGAATCCTACATGGCAGGTGACAAGTATCCGAATTATGCAGCTTTGCAGAAACTGAAAGATGACTGCGCAGGCCATTCATTGTCTGAGAGCATCAGATGACCGCTCTCAGCGAATGAATGCAACTCTGTGCACAGGAATACTCACATAATTCGGCCTGGCTGACAACATCTCAATGTTGCTGCCGGTGGTGGAGTTACACCTATGGTAGCAAAGTGGTTAAACTCGATATGGGCAAAGTTTCAAAGCAAAACACTGCACATACAGGCTCCAGCCACTGTGACCACTTCAAAACACTGCACATACAGGCTCCAGCCACTGTGACCACTTCAAAACACTGCACATACAGGCTCCAGCCACTGTGACCACTTCAAAACACTGCACATACAGGCTCCAGCCACTGTGACCACTTCAAAACACTGCACATACAGGCTCCAGCCACTGTGACCACTTCAAAACACTGCACATACAGCTCCAGCCACTGTGACCACTTCACAACACTGAAGTGGTCGTGGTGTTTGAGTAACCCTTTACACTTTCACCCTTGCCTATAATTTCCCTTTAATTAATTAATTTTATTTTTTTATTAAATATGAATTTAGAATTAAGTTGACTAATTAGAAAAGCAGGGTTTATTCATGAAACTGTGAATGGTGGAGGATTATCAAAGGTATTACAACCTTCAGGCCAAAGTAGTCAAAAATTGAAACTCTCCCGCTCAGCTACTTCTTCCTAGTTCTTCCTAGTTCTCCATTTAGTGAACTGATCAGGCATGTCCCCGGTACCTGATATTACAGAAGGTTGGGGTACACTTTATGGGACTCTCACCAGCAGAGCAGGCCAGAGATGGCGGCCGTCCACGTAATGCAGCAGGAGCTGATATTCTTGGTCTCCGTCTGTTCGTCTTTCTTGCAGCAGCAGAAACAGACCAGACAGACTGTCAGGAAGAGGAGGTTGATGGCGGCACAAAGAGCAAATGCCAACGCCCAGAACAGCAATGTCTGCAGGGGGAGAACGAGAGATACATTGTTATGGACAGCAATGACCAGAGGGGGAGAGATACATTGTTATGGACAGCAATGACCGGAGGGGGAGAGATACATTGTTATGGACAGTAGTGACTGGAGGGGGAGAGATACATTGTTATGGACAGTAGTGACCGGAGGGGGAGAGATACATTGTTATGGACAGTAGTGACCGGAGGGGGAGAGATACATTGTTATGGACAGTAGTGACTGGAGAGATACATTGTTATGGACAGTAGTGACTGGAGAGATACATTGTTATGGACAGTAGTGACTGGAGGGGGAGAGATACATTGTTATGGACAGTAATGACTGGAGGGGAGAGATACATTGTTATGGACAGTAGTGACTGGAGAGATACATTGTTATGGACAGTAGTGACTGGAGAGATACATTATTATGGACAGTAATGACTGGAGGGGGAGAGATACATTGTTATGGACAGTAGTGACTGGAGGGGGAGAGATACATTGTTATGGACAGTAGTGACTGGAGGGGAGAGATACATTGTTATGGACAGTAATGACTGGAGGGGGAGAGATACATTGTTATGGACAGTAGTGACTGGAGGGGAGAGATACATTGTTATGGACAGTAGTGACTGGAGGGGAGAGATACATTGTTATGGACAGTAGTGACTGGAGAGATACATTGTTATGGACAGTAGTGACTGGAGAGATGCATTGTTATGGACAGTAATGACTGGAGGGGAGAGATACATTGTTATGGACAGTAGTGACTGGAGGGGAGAGATACATTTTTATGGACAGTAGTGACTGGAGAGATACATTGTTATGGACAGTAATGACTGGAGGGGGAGAGATACATTGTTATGGACAGTAATGACTGGAGGGGGAGAGATACATTGTTATGGACAGTAGTGACTGGAGAGATACATTGTTATGGACAGTAGTGACTAGAGAGATACATTGTTATGGACAGTAGTGACTGGAGAGATACATTGTTATGGACAGTAATGACTGGAGGGGGAGAGATACATTGTTATGGACGGACAGCAATAACTTGAGATTGAGAGTAAGACATACATTGTTATAGACAACGCTAGGATCTAGAACACCCCTTGTACTTTCCCAGCCAAGTGCTGTAATCACCGCATTATAGCAAACAGTCCCCTGCTAATTAATCATCAGATCAGTATACACACTACACTAGATGGTCAGCGGGTATATTTTGACAAGAAAATCCTGAATGAAATCACTTCCCTGTCTGTGTTTAAAGTACAACAGGATGAATGTCTATTCCAGGTGTCTCTGGGCACCACAAAGTGTTAATGAGAAACTCGGAGCAAAAACAAATGTATCTCGCTCTGTGTTGGCGACTAGAGACACACATTTATATATTTGGAACCCAAATTCCAAAATCCTGTGCTTCTTCATAGTGTTCCCAGTTTATACGTATATAACAGAGCTCCACAGTAATGTGCAGTGTGTATCACAGAGCTCCACAGCAATAAAACGCACAGTAATGTGCAGTGTGTATCACAGAGCTCCACAGCAATAAAACGCACAGTAATGTGCAGTGTGTATCACAGAGCTCCACAGCAATAAAACGCACAGTAATGTGCAGTGTGTATCACAGAGCTCCACAGCAATAAAACGCACAGTAATGTGCAGTGTGTATCACAGAGCTCCACAGCAATAAGACTTACAGGAATGTGTATTTAAACTGCAGTATCTGTTCATTATATCTCTGTTTAACATGTGGTTACAAAATGCTGAATGCCCGAGGCTGGCAGAGAATTAAAGGGCTGTCTAACAGCTGGACAAGCGAGCTCCTATGTCTGTAACAAGGAGCACACTGCCTGCTATTAAAAACACATCCTATGCTGGCTTGCTCTGTGCGATTTCAGTTTGTCCAATGTGAGGATTTGGTCCTGTGACCTGAATCCCACCACCCCACCCCCTCGTGACATGCAAAATCCAGATCTTGTGATGTCTGTGGGAATAAGTAAAAGGGGGGGGGGGGGATGAATGGTACATGTAGCCTTTTATGTTTTGGAAGAATTTCAATATCCCCCTACTGCTTCCTGTCCCTAAAACCCCCTCTATGTTCCTAATAAGATGCCACAGAGTGTCTTGTTGTATCCGGTGGTCCATATAGCCACGAGATGACAAGATAACTCCTCTGTGTTACTGCTAATCATGAAGACACCAAACGGTTAACTCCACTTTAAATCTGGTCTTCGATGACCAATAAATTAATCAGAACCGCACGTCTCCACTTCCTATTTTAGTGGTTTCCAAGAAAAACAACTGGCCCACACATGTTTTCCTGTGACTTAGAGTGACTTTATCAAGGAAAACCTGACAGATTTCATCATCGTTTGTGTTAATCCCCTAATAATGTGATGGAAATGTGCTAGTTCAAAGGTCCAGAAATGATATATATAATATCTGTGTTCTCATCACCGGCAAAATGTATGAAAATATCTTTTAAGCAAAGCCCATCAGCCAGTATAAAGATGGGTCTTTCAGAAGCATTGTGATCAAAACAGCCTGAAATGCAATTACTGCACCTTTATCTTTAGGACATTGGAGGCGCCCCCTTCCATTTAGACATCCTGTTTGCAGTTTTGTTTTGCGCTCACAAACTCGAGTGTATGCTTTCTGCTAAAGATTCCCCTTCCTGTCCCAGACATGACCTCAAAGTCCAAGCTAAAATTATTCTTACTTTTATATAGTGTTTCCCATATGTACTGCGGCATCCAACCGGCCAGTAAAAGTCATGATTAAATGCAAAACGTGCGCTGAAATTTACAAACTATATACATGAATTTATTTTTGCCAAACTGGAGAAAAAACAAAAACTATAACAGCTCAGCGCAGGAGTTATGTTGCCAAGTGTCTCTGGGTGCCTTCCCCGGGTTTATTGTCAAAACATTTACAAGCACCCAGAGACCGCCCCCTGCCAAGAGGCACTGATAATGAATTTACACTTCCGTGTTTTCAATGTCGAATTCATTCAACCATGACAGTGTTAAAAGGCTGAGAGCAGGTCACCGAGCTGCAGTGGATATGGTGTTTATAATGTCCTCTGCCATACAGTTTAAACTCCATAATTTATTACAGAATCATCAGCTCTAGCAAATGAAAGCATTATATGTAGGATGTGGGATGGGGATTTTGTCTCCCCAGAAGGCCAGGAAGACTGATCTAAGTAATAAATATTAATAGCAATCAATGAGGGATCGCTGTGAGCTCATTAGGGTCCATTACCAGTGCTCAGAGGGTCTGCCTACACATTAGGACACCATCAACTCTCTACTTAATGCTCTTCACATGGACGAATTAAAGCCCTCTTCAGTTTAACACCTTCAGCAATACAAGCCAGTATCATTCACCGCCATTTATTTAAAGAAACACACACCTTCCAGGTAGCCAATCCCTAAATACATGCGGTGTGTAGAGGCTAGAAAGAAACCACCTACATCTCCATGCTTCGAGGATCCACCGCATTGTCTGGTACGCGGGTAACCTCTGCATAATGCTGGGCACTACATGTAGCATTCACAAGCTGCAGCAGGGAAATTATTTAAGCTTTTCCTGCGTGATCCCGACCTGGTTAAACAATTTATTTTCCTCCTCATATTACAGGGCAGCACTTTGCTGAAAAGCACAGAGAGAATGGCAGCCCTGCCCTGAAAGCCTGCGCAGCTCAGATATAGCTCAACCTACCTACCTACCGATAGCCACAATGTTAAAAGGACACTGCAGGCACTATATTCATTCCATCTTATTGAAGTGATTATAGTGCCTGGAGTCACGTGGCCCTCCATTCAGTGTGAAACCATTTTCAGGCAGTTTAACACTGAATGAGGGCCCCTGGCTTCCCATAGCTCCACCCCCACTGTAGGTGTGGTTAAATCACAGATTACTTCCTTCTAACCATACCAGTTCATACCAGCAATGAGCGTTGTGATAGGCTGAAAGTCATCAGCTGACAGTCTCAGCCCATCACAGGTCACTCGGCAGGAAATGGTCCTTTAAACTGTCTGATGCTGTGGGGTGTCCTGTGGGGGGTGAAAACATCAATTAGACACCATAATGTAATGACTTGTGCAGAATAAACCTCCAAAACTGTGTTTCAACATAAACGGACCTGTAAGTACACCCCTTACCTTTTTATCTTATCACACATGCAAGGATAACACCCAGGCACTTTAATACACAATACAGAGGGTGAGTGACACATTTTCTGTATGTGTGTGTATATATATATATATATATATATATATATATATATATATATATATATATATACATATACATACATACATATAAATAAAGGCAATTCTCTGCACTCAGGCTCCAACACTCCACAAACTGAAAACGGTAAATGATGGGTGCCAAAGTGGTAGTTACATGAATAAATAGAAATATAAAGTATGGTAGTCTGCATAAAGTGCATATAGTGATGCAAGAGGTCGTTTCAGTCCCAGACGTTTCACTTTCAATTAGATGTAACTTACTTTAAAAGTTCTTATTGCCTGCCTGCTCTGTAAAGTGAACTTTAGTCATGCACAGAATGCTTCTGTGGGGTCTAGTAATATATTAACCATGCAGGGGATAATACATTTTAAATTAAATAGAATTTGCAATGAAGGAAGTATAAACATTAGCTGACTATTTACAGGAAGTGTTTAGGAAGGCTGTGCAAGTCACATGCAGAGCGGTGTGACTAGGGTGCATAAACAAAGTGCAATAAATCCTAAATGGCAGAGAATTGAGCAGCGACACTGTAGGGAAATTATCTATACACCAAAACTGCTTCAATAACCTAAGGTTGTTTTGGTGACTATAGAGTCCTTTTAACTATGAGGAAATAAACGCTACTTTTAACCAAGACCTGAATGAAGACTACATATATATATATATATATATATATATATATATATATATATATATATACACACACACACACACACACACACAAAATTTTGGCCAGCACTCCTGGGATTTCTTTCAATAATCTTCTTTAAAGGACCACTATAGTGCCAGGAAAACACACTTGTTTTCCTGGCACTATAGTGCCCTGAGGGTGCCCCCACCCTCAGGGACCCCCTCCCGCCCGGCTCTGGAAGGGGGAAAGGGGTTAAAAAAAACTTACCTTTTTCCAGCGCTGGGCGGAGAGCTCTCTGCCTCCTCTCCTCCTCCGATCCGCCCCGTCGGCTGAATGCGCATGCGCTGCAAGCGCATTCAGCCGGTCACATAGGAAAGCATTCTCAATGCTTTCCTATGGACGCTGGCGTGCTCTCACTGTGAAAATCACAGTGAGAAGCACACAAGCGCCTCTAGTGGCTGTCAATGAGACAGCCACTAGAGGGAATGGGGGAAGGCTTAACCCATTGATAAAAATAGCAAATTCTCTGAAACTGCTATGTTTATGAAAAAATAGGTTAACCAGACCACTTCATTAAGCTGAAGAGGTCTGGGTGCCTAGAGTGGTCCTTTAATATATATCCCAAAAAATACATAGGAAAAAAAAGAAAAATTTCGACGTTTGAGAACGTTCATCAGGACATGTTAGTTTGATTGACACACAAGGAATACAAAGTGTCACTTTAAAAGAGAGAGAAGACATTTGCTGCTGAGGTGAGTGGCTGCCCAGGACTTTGATCTGATTCATTCACAGTTGATTCAAACTTTATTGATACAATCAGATCCTTCCAGACATTTGGCATTTGTCCTGACACTGTCCCAATACCAGTCTGGGATCTCGTGTCCAGCACACAACAATGAAATAATTTAACAAGAGACAGGGCGACTGGTGGTTCTGCAGATACTGCTGGCCATCACAGAGGGGTGGGGGGGGGGGCAAGACCTTTCAGTAACTATCAGTCATTAAGGGAACAATGCACAATACTGCAGCTTTAAATAGCAACACGTACAGTACAAGATGTTAAAACACTGATTGGAGAGGTATTAAAATAAGGACGGTCACTGAAACTCCAGGACACCCAGTTGCGTAACTTAAAGATAAAGTTGTAGGCAAATCTCTGTCAGTTTTTTAACATTCATAAAGTAGTGATTTTAATTACCGCTAAACACATTTTCCTTTCATCTAACAGAATTATTTTTAAAATGGTTTAAATTGTAGACCATGTTTCACAGAATGATTCCTAGATAAAGATAAAAGTCGTTATCATATAGAAATCAAAATGTGAACAGAGTGTGGGGGATGGGGATGCCGCTGCATCACAAGGTATGTAATGGTGTCAAAATTAGCATCGTTATCTATATATAATGTAATTAACACAGAGAAGAAAAAAGCTATTGAATGAGCTCACTGTAAGCATGCTGGGAATAGGAGAATTTTTCTATTCCTGGTAACTCGTTGAATCCAAACTATTAATAAGTGAGGTCACAGGACAAGGGACACAAAGGTAACCAGTTTGTGAATAGCCGTTCTTATACCGGTGCTGTACAGAAAGCCATCTCTGAATGCACTCGTTATGATGGGCCTGCCCCTTATGTCCGAGACCGCAACATTATTGGAGATTCTGCGACTTCCCAGGATTGGTCTGATGACAATGACTAGGAGTTCATGTGCTGTCTAAGAATAGCCTTGTTTTAGTCATCTATAACATTACTAATGTCACCAATTTGTTCCCCAATCAGCACAAGCCCCAGGCCAAACACCTAAAGATCATTAGACAACATTGTTATTCCTCTACTCCTTTTTTTTTGTAAATTCTTTATTTGTCGTCCATGTGAGTACAATATAGATACATACACCAAAACAGTGCACATGGGCATAGAAATAAGATGAACAATTTGAATAACGATACAAATAATGAGCATTGGTATCTTTCAGTTACGTAACATTTGCAAATGTCATAACAGCAATCATTGAGATGCAGGTAGGTTGAACAGCTGTAGGTGAGTGTGCATTTCTGAAGCTGAAGCCATAGCAATAATGACAAGCTAGTTAGTTAGAAACGGGCAGCTACATTCTACCAAACTTTAAAATTCTGCTGTAGATTTAAGCTTACTGGTCTGACGGAAAAAATGGGGTAATAGGTGTATTACTAAAAATATTTGACACTTGTAGCAGGGGAGCAATTGCGTCAATGAGTAATGATAGTTGGCACATAGGTTATGGAACCTAGTATAGTGAATGATTTGCTTTATTAATTCTATTGTAATGGAATCCGTAATTCGGGTTCCAGATCCTCACATGTTGCTGTTGCGACAGTGATTCCCTTAATCCTAACGTTAGCCAGGGATCTCTTAGAGAAAGCTGCCTCGGGGGAGTATTGCGTAAGAAACTTTGGCTTGACTGGTTCTGTGCGTTCGTGTATCTCCCTGATCAGTTGTACGTTCTGCCTGCGTCTAGTCGCCCCAGTCTGTCCTGGGACAGGTGTTAGTTTGTGTCTTCCCAGCAGGTAATTGTGTCTTGTTTGAGAACTAGTTCTCTGCTTGTCTGGTCCCGTTCCATCTCTCTCAGTCAGCTGTTATATAAGTCGGTGACTCATATCTATGGGAGCTGCTTCGTGTCGTGGCTATATATCGTTTAGCGACTCGTTCGGGGCCTTCCCGACTCTGGCCTCCTCGGGGGCAGGACAAGCCGCATCTACCCAAGCCCTCAGAAAAGGAAAAGAAGTTACGTGAAGTTGATTAGATGCAGAGGGGAAAAGGAAAGGAGGGCAGGGGCAGGAGGGGGGGAGAGGGGTCAGGAGTAGGGGTGGGGGAGACATGATGGATAGCACGTGTCGGGGTGCGCCGGGTCCTCTCAGACCCCCGGTGTTATGGTGCGTGCTGTGCCTCCCTAGTTCCGGGACGTGAGAGGTATAGATACCATGGGGTCCAGATATCGACGTGTTTGGTGCTTCTTCCTATTAGTTCTGCGTACCGCGCCTCAGCAGTGTGTATTTCCTCAACTCTCTGTAGCCACTCCGTGACGGTCGGTGGTTGGGTCTGTTTCTATTTGACAGGTATAGCTGCTTTCGCTGCGTTAAGCAGGTGCCGTAATATCGATCTCTTGTATTGGGCTATCGAGCCTTCTGTGTAATGCAGTAGGGCCATTTCTATGCTAAAGTCCGGCAGATCTCCTAGAATTATCCTCATTTCCCTTTTTATGTCCTCCCAATATGGCTTGATTAGCGTGCAATCCCACCAGATGTGCCGTAAAGAGCCTGTTTGGGACTCACACCTCCAACATGTATCTGAGGTTCCTCTAAAAATTCTGTGTAATAAAGATGGGGTCCTATACCAGTGAGAGATTAGTTTAAAGTTAACCTCTTGATATCTGGTGCTTATGGAGCTCTTGTGTTGCAGGATTAATATCTGTTCCCATTGTGCCTCAGTGTACGCCCTAGCTGTCAGCTCTTCCCATTGCCTCTTAAACGCATTTTTCCGTGTGAGGTCTCCTGTTATCAATTGTTGGTAGATGAGCGATACCCTACCATCCAGTGTTGGCCACGCAGATGTTTTCGAACCAAGTCTGTTCTCTGTGAATCGCTGCCCTGTTGGGGAGGTTGAAGTAGAAATGCCGTAATTGTGTGTACCGAAATCTGTGCATCAGCGTCTGTTGTGTCATCGTGTTCCATTCTCGCAGGTTTCGCAGTCCGGTATTGCTCAGGACCTCTGACATAGGGATATACTCTCCTTCTCCCTCAATCGGCCAAGCAGATCGGTGTAGCCCCCCGCCTATCGCAGTATTGTGTGTTATCGGAATCAATGGGCTTGGTTGTGGGGAGAGATGTTGGTTCTGCCTCAAGGATGACCATGTCTTCAGCGTTTGTACAATGGGTGATGAATTGCCTAGTTTTGTTGCTGCATCTGCCGAGCTGTGCCATGTATACATGTGAAGGGCTTTGTTTGTGCTTTCTCTATCCAATGCGGCCCACAGTTTGTTTTCAGACGCTACGTGCCAGTCCCTAATCCGTTGTAATACCGCGGCCTGGAAGTATTTGCGTATATCGGGTAACGCTAGTCCGCCCCAGTTCTTTGGTAGGCATAGCTTGTCGTAGCTGAGTCTTGCTCTCTCTCCTTTCCAGACATATTTTATTACTGCCGATTTAAGAGTTGCGAAGAATTCTGATGGTATGTGCCAGGGAATGGTGTTAAAGTAGTAAAGCAGCCGTGGTAAGATATTCATTTTAATCACCGCTATGCGTCCTTGCCAGGATATATGGTCATAATTCCAGTTTTTTAGGTCGAGCAGGATTGTTCGCAGGAGGGGTACGTAGTTCCTGGTATATAGCTCTTTCGGATTGTTGGGTATCCAGATTCCCAGGTATCGCATCTGTTCTGAGCACCAGTGAAAGGGATACTCGCGTGCGATCCGCTCTCGCACTGTCGTTGGGGTCTGTATATTCAGCAGTTCGCATTTAGTTTGATTAAGCTTCAGACCTGATACCTGGCCATATATGTCGAATTCCTGCATCAAGATCGGCATGGAGTCGACCGGGTTGTCCACGAAGAAAAGCATATCATCAGCATATGCGGCCACCTTGTGCTCCTGGTCTCCGTGTTTAAACCCTCGAATCTCTGGGGTTTGCCGTATCCTGTCCAAAAATGGTTCCAATGAGAGGGCAAATAAAAGCGGCGACAATGGGCAGCCCTGTCGGGTTCCGTTGTGGATGGGAAAGGTGTCTGTGAGCGCACCATTCACCCTCACTCTGGCACTAGGGTCAGCGTAAAGCGCAGCTATCCAAGCTATCATTCCCCTCCCCAGGCCGACTTTATGCAGTGTTGCCATCATAAAGCTCCAGGTCACCCGGTCAAATGCCTTTTCGGCGTCTGTTGAGAGCATTAGTAGTTCCGTCTTCTCTTTAAGCGCCAATGCCTGTATTGAGAACGCTCTGAGTGTGCAGTCTCTGGCTTCCCTGCCTGGTACAAAACCTGTTTGATCAGGGTGTATTAGGCGCGGCACGTACGCCTGCAACCTTGTAGCGATGACCTTGGTGAAGAGTTTCACATCCGCGTTAAGGAGAGAGATCGGTCCGTAGCTACTGCAGTTTTCGGGGTTCTTGCCTGGTTTGGGTATCACCGTGATTGTGGCTGCTAGAGTTTCTCGGTGGAATTTATCGCCCTGTTGGAGTCGGTTGAGGGCTGTTGTTAAGTGTGGAGTCAGAATGTCCCTGAACAACTTGTAGTACCCCACTGAGAGTCCATCTGGTCCCGGTGCTTTCCCCTTCTTCGCTGCCTTAATCGCCGCTTGTACCTCTTCTGTGGTTATTGGGACTTCCAGTAGGTCTGCTTCCTCCGGTGTTAGGGCGTCCGGCTGAAATCTTTGTAGGTAGCGCGTTGTTGCTTCCTGCAGTTCGGCGCGTTGAGCATCGGATGTCGTTGGTGAAATATTATACAGTTGTAGGTAATACTTACGGAATTCATTGGCTATTGCCTCCGGGAATTGTGTGAGAGAGCCATCGGTTGTTCGTAGCGCATGGACTTGCGCTCTGGCCTGTTGGGGTCGGATCATGCGGGCTAGGAGTCTCCCGCTTTTATTAGCGTGAATGTAAAAGAAGGCCTTGGATCGCTGTGTCGCTCTATGGTGTTTGCGGGCCACTAGATCCGCCAGCTGTCGGCGAGCGTCCAGTAGTGAGCGATAGTGCTCCTCAAGTTGCGACCGCTTATGTTGGGTTTCCAATTTCGATATCTGGTCAATGAGTTCCAACATGTGCCGCTGTGCTTCTCTCTTTTTGCGTGATGCAATCTTTATGAGATGTCCCCGGAGCACGCTCTTGTGTGCTTCCCAAAGCGTCACTTTCGACACGTCCTCTGTATCGTTCTCAGCAAAGTAGTTAGTTAGATGCTCTGTCAGAAGGGATTTCACTTCCGGGTCCAATAAGAGCGACTCATTCAGTCTCCATGCTGTCCTAGTAGGCCTAAATAGAGGAGAATCCAGATGTGCGGACACTGCGCTGTGATCCGACCATGGTGTCGGAACAATGTCAGCCGACTGCAAGCGTTGTAGTCCTTCTTGTTGTATGAGAACATAGTCAATACGCGAGTATCTCCTATGTATGGCTGAGTAGTGCGTATAGTCTCGAACTGTCGGATGTAGGGTTCGCCAGGTGTCTACCAATCTCAGGTCTCGCAGGGCCTTCCTTATTGCTCTGATCGCAGTTTGTGGTATACTGCTGTGTCCAGTCGATGAGTCAACCAGTGGGTCAAGCGGTGCGTTGAAGTCCCCCCCTACGACAAGTGAACCTTCAGTATACGTTGCCAATTGGCGTATCGTTTTGCTTAGAAACGGTGCCTGCTTTGCATTTGGTGCATAGATAGAGGCGAAGGTGTAAAGTTTTCCCGAAATTGTGCCTTTGATGAAAAGGAATCTACCGTTAGGATCTGCGAGTTGATCCATCAGAGTGAATTGGGTATTGGCTGCTACTAGGATTGCTACTCCTGCACATCGGTCGGTAGGGTGGGTGCTGTGGTAGTTGGTGGGGTATCGTCTGTCCTTCAATCTGTGGATATCTACTGTTTTGAGGTGCGTTTCCTGTAACATCGCTACCGAGACCCGTTTGCAGTGTAGTTCTCTCAGCAGATGTGAGCGCTTCTCAGGTGTGTTAAGGCCTCTGCAGTTTTGCGATAGCACATGAAGTGGTGCAGCCGTATAAGCCATAGAGCGAGTGTGGTCGTGTGCGCAGATCACTCAGCAGTCGTGTTCTGGTGTCTCCAATGGAGATACCCGCACGCGCCCCCGCGGTTGCGTGAAGTTTCTTCCTCTTTTTTTTTTGGGGAGGAGGGGGGGATAGAGTTTGCGGTTGCAGGAGAGTAAGAAGAGGGTTATGACACCCAAGAGTTAGGTCGCCCAGGGGGCAGGACACGGCTCAGCCCTCCCCCGATTCAGCCCGACCCGAGAGGCCACCGATGTGAGGTCACGGGATTGTGACCCCAGTAGGGGGAAATTGCCCTCAAGATGAGGGAGTCCCGTGTAGCTGGGTGGAGTCCAATGCCGCACCGTCTCCTAGTTGAACTAGGGCAGCCACGGGATTGGGTCTCCCAGTAGTAGTGTCTACACGGGTCTAGTCAGGGGTGGTGTAACCAGTTGGATCCAGTGTGTTCACCTGCTGAGAGGCAGGAGCACTGTGGCAAGGGTTAGTAGTATTGTGCATGGCGTACTCAGTGAGTCGTCCGTGTCCCACATGTATTCAGTCTGATGTCAGTAGCTAGATCTCCTAGTCTAACAATCTGTACGGTCACGTTACGTCTTGGCTCGGGCCACTTTCCAATTATCTAGCGTGTCATGGTTCGGCTTTGTAAACAGTTCGGTCTTCCCCAGGGGGCTATTCCTTTAGTCTGTACGTTCCGCAAATTGTGTGTTTGACCTGTTGCTTGCGGTGGGTCGTGATAGGCAGAGTTGGGTGTGTGGGCAGGTAACATGGGATCCCTCGTCTCAAATAAAGGCTCTCGGTAAGTGTCCCTAGAGTCAGGGGGTCAGTGTTTAGCGGCTTGTCTGTTGGGGATATATCCCGTGGGCAGACGAGTGCCCAGCTGCAGTGTAGGTGTATGTATTCGTGGGCGTCTGTAGTGCAGTGTTGGGGAAGCATTTGTCTAGGCAGAGCACGCCTCCCATCTCCTCTGTCCGTCTTTGCCCTCACCTAGTCTGACTAAACTACCGTGCTACAGCTACTTGAGCAGAGTAAGTCTTAGGGCAACAAAGTCGGAGTCCCTGCCTGTCCCTTCCCTTACCCCATCACCCCCATAGCGTTTGAACATCCTATTATCATAACCTATCTCCTGTCTGCAAAACCGACATACCAAACACAGCTCAGTAAAACATTTTGAACATAACAATTTCCCAGATATAGGCTCCTCCGGGGACCCTCTAGCTCCCTCCTGCCACCCCCCAGACAATATTCCAGATAGCCTTCATAAGTGCGTTGTGGTACGACAAGTGCACTCCATCAACCCCAGAGGATCTGCGGTGCGTCATGAGTTCTAGTGTCCCAGAAACGTCCAACTGTCCCATGTAGCACCTCAATTTGTGTCTTACGGGCCCATATGTTCCAGGCCCTCCAAGGACCGCATTATACAAGTGCGTTGTACCTCGCCCATATCAGGCCCCCCACCCCAATCAACTTGGAGGAGCTCTCCACCCCAGGGAGGGAGGTGTATGCTGCTAAGGTGCTGCTATTCCCAATCGTGGGTGTCCATGTAAGTGTCCCCTCTTATGTATGTGTGCAAGCAGTACTTATCTGTGCTCTGCGGTGCGTAGGGTGTCTCTGGGTTCCGCCAGGATTCTGCAAGCTCGGGTATGGTGCACGTGTCGTGTTCTGTCCTCCTTGCCCAGTGGGAGCAGGGGGGGGATTTCTATCTTCACTCCTCCGGGTCCGTGGGCACCAATTGCCTGCGGGTCTGTGGGCGCCTTGGCGTGTTGTCTCTCCTTCTACGCTGCTGGCCAGGAGTTTGGGGCCCTTGTCTCTGGTCCGTCGACCCCAGGATCCAGTCGGTGACCTCTGTGGGTGGAAGATTAAGGCGCTGTAGAAATCTGGGCACTTCTTCGGGCCATCTTAGTGGGAACCATTCATCGTGATGTCTGGCTAAAAGCATAAAGGGGAAACCCCATTTATATGGGATCCCTCTGTCCCTGAGGAGCGTAGTGACGGGTCTCAGGGCCCTGCGGGCCTCTAGCGTAAGAGGAGACAGGTCTTGATACAGGGCCACCTCCGCATCACGGAATCGCCAGGTGGGTCTGGAACGGGCTTTGTTCATTATTTTCTCCTTTAGCTTGTAGGCGTGTAGGCAGCAGATAATGTCTCGCGGTGTGTTATCAGTTGCGCGAGCTCTGGCAGCCCTGTGTGCTCTGTCGAACACCATGGATTCCGGTGCCTCTGCCCCTAGGATATCTCGGAACAGCGTCTGTAACGTAGCTTCAACGTCTTCGTTCCCTTCAGGTTCAGGTAGGCCGCGGACCCTTATGTTTGATCTGCGGCCCCTGTTATCAAGATCCTCTGTTTGCCGCCTTAGCTGTAGAAGAATGTTGCCTTGCCTGTGTATTGCAGTATTAGTGGCTTCCAGCCTGTCTCCCATGGCCTGCACATTAGATTCAGCTACCTGCATCCTGGTAGCCTGGGCAGTGAGTTCAGCCCTGAGTGAGGTCACCTCTGTGCGGATTGCCGCATGTAGGGTATCAGAGAGGGCTCTCATGTCCTCCTTTGTTACCATTGCCGCTGCCAGTGCCCTGATATCTGCGCTGATATCAGCCAGCGAGGGTTCAGCCTGCTCAGATGACAGTGAGCGTGTCGGGGAGTCGGCCATATTTGCGCCCGCCGCCTCGTGGTGTCCAGCCGTCGACGGAGCTAGGTACCCGTCCATGGGTCCCGTCTGTGAGCTGCTCGGGTGAGCCCTGGGTGTCTGTGCACCGTCCGGGCGTTTTGTGCGCCCCATAATCGTGCCGTGCTGATGTGTGAGCTTGCTATTTTGGCTGTGTGGGTCGGAGCTCTTCCCCTAAGCAGCCATCTTCACTCGCGGCTAGACCACGCCCCCTAGTCTACTTTTACTTATTTTGCATCTAGTACATAGTAAATACTATCTGCACTAGAGTTGTTCTATTTTTCTCCTTTTCGTATAACTCCACATCGAGATTTGTAGAACCATACAGAGTGGTAAGCTATTATCTGCTTGTCTACTATTCAGCATTCCACCCATTGATGATAGGGGTTTTTTTTCCCTCTATGTATTCATGGTGAGGGAAAAAAGGAATCCCCTCACGGGTGTTTAAGAACAGCTATTCACCACGTTGATTTTGAAGCGCTATTTACTGTTCACACGGAGCTCACTAGTGAGTTACTTTGGTTAAAAAATAAATTTTCAGCTGAATCTATTCGGCCAAAATTAATTTTTTTTGTGGGGTGCACAAGCCTAATATTTAGTAGGGGTGTCCACATATTTTTGCCTTTAGAGTGTATTTTCTTTTAATATTGTAATTAAGAGACAATTTTGCAATTTACTAAAACATCCTACATGATTTGAATAAAAAACAAAAATGTACAAATTAAGAGTTTAGAGGGATTGTTAACAATGAAAAATAAACTGTAATTTACTTATTCAGTGCTGTGTTATATTTTTTGTGCAGTTTGTATAGCCCAGGTCCCCATGCCCCTCTTACGAAGTTACTGCACAAAAAACATCTTTTTAAAATATACACTTTGAGATTTTATGTATTTACTTGGCCATTTGATCATTATTGCATCATATATTTTAAATGCACATTTTGTGCGTAGAGTTGAATAGAGTTTTTACTGGAATTACACTTTAAATTTTTTCCATTCTGATGTAGTCTAGAATTAAATATATTCAAGGTCCTTCAAATACATTTTGTTCTGCATATTTTAACATTATTTTAAGCCATCTGTCTTCTGTTTTGCATATCAGTTCCAAAAGGTTTTAGTCTTGCATGCTATATTTATCTAACTTTGTGCATCTGTTTTTATTACACATATATGATAGTTTTGAAATGTGTCATGCACATTCTATATGCTATTATATAATGCGAAGAAAACTAATGGTCATGGCATTTAGCTTTCACCAGATATAAAGAGAAGCAGACTCAAAACAGATGTTTTTTTTTTTTACATAAAATAAAGCTCTGTTACAAGGTACTAACCCCTTGATTTGCCAGAAATGTATTCTTTTGTCAGATGAACAGCTCTAGCTGGTATAAAGAAAAATCTACACATATTCCAAACGTGACATAGATAATGTATGCCATATTTCACCTTTTTGTAAAGAACACAAAACAAAAGTGTGCTGATAGATTAGTATTATTTTGTATTAGTATTGCCATTTATATAGCACCAACAGATTCCGTAGCTCTTTACAATATCACGAGGGGGGGGGGGATTTAACTATAAATAGGATTATTACAAGAAAACTTACAGGAAGAAGAGGACCCTGCTCAAATTAGCTTACAGTCTATGGGGTATAAAACACATTAGGACAGGAAATATCAATCAAATAAGTTAGGAGTGAAGCAGAGCTGGAGGAGAGAATAGAGTGCTGCCCTTTAGGAGAAAGCAAGAGACAGGTATGTAAGGTAGAGGTTATTCTGAGAGGCCATAAGCTTCCTAAAGAGATGGGTTTTAAGGCACTTCTTAAATGATTAAAGGGAGAGTCTGGTGGGGGTAGGCAGGCTATTCCATAGGAAAGGAGCCGCCTGCAAGAAATCCTGCAAGCGGGAGTTGGCCATACGGGTATGAGCAGCGGTCAGGATGTGGTCACGGGCGGAGCGGAGAGACCGAGAAGGGGCATACCTATGGATTTGTGAAGAGATATAAGGGGCTAGAATTGTTCAGTGCTTTATAGGAATGGGTTAGCACTTTGAATTGACTCCTATAGGATACAGAAGGCCAATGTGAGGATTCACAGAGGGGTGAGATGTGAGAGGACCGACTAGAGAGGAAAATCAGTCTGGCGGCAGCATTCATTACAGACTATAGCGTGGCAATACGGCTTTTGGGAAGACCAATCATGACAGGATTACAATAATCCATGTGGGAAATTACTAAAGCATGGACAAGCTCCTTGGTAGCATCTTTTGTAAGAAAAGGGCGGATGCGGGATATGTTTTGAAGTTGGAATCTACAGGATTTGGCAACATACTGGATGTGAGGCTCACTA